GCCGCGCGCGTGCTTGCAGATTGTTCTTGGCTCATGCTTGCTTCGGGTCCCTGCTCACGTCTGGATTTCAGATGAGAAGCTTTTGGGGTTGGGGGTATCGGGCGTGGGATCTGTGGTAGGGATTTAGCATACAAAAGGATTAAGGAGGCAAGCCTCACTCCCTGATCAGTGACTTTCGCTTCGTCCTTTTGTTCTCCAGTAGTTCGCCATACTGCGCTGGCCGCCTGTCGAGGTGTTGGAGCTCGTCGGCCGGTGTCATTTGAAGACAAGGCCCACGGCTGCCCATGTATCCAGTACAAGCAGCGTATCATCTGTCTGTGCCTGCCAACGGTAGCCGGGCAAAACTTTCATGATGCATGTCTGATAGCCCAGTTGCGCACCAGCAACGTCGGAAAGATCCTCCTGACATGCTCTGCGCGGCATTGGTGCTGGCATCCCGAAAACCACAGCGAATTCAAGTCGGAGCTTTCCGAGCAAACTCGCTTGCAAGTCTGTATATAGGTCAGGCCAGCTGTGCTAGTGACTTCTTGGGACAAAGGGAAGCTGACAAACATCCGTCTGGCACAAGCACGACAGCTACACCAACCATCCCAATGAATGGCCCGCATCCAACGCGATTTGCTGAGAAACCAACTCGGCATTGGAAGTGCTGTTGACAGCAAGAGACTCACCGCAAGTGCCCAACTCAAGCATGGGCGTTGCCGAGAAGTTCGCTCTGCTCGGATGGTGAGATAATCTCCAATTGCTGGCTTCAATCAAGTCGGCGGATGAAGCAGTTCTGACCACTGACGCGCGTTCGGCTGCTGCGACTGTCTTGGATGCCCACGGAGTCCACATCCACAGCAAAGGATGCGCGAGAACCACCACTGCCGAGTGACACAAGCAAAGTCGGTAAGCAGATGATGATGATGATGATGATGGACGGACAAATTCCTGTCTCCCAACAGGCACGTCGTCCCATTAACACAAGTCCATGCTTGGTTGAGCGAAGTAAGACGCTTCAACGTCATAGAGGGCCAGTATCTACTTTGAAATCTGGTCCATCTTCACACAGAGCTGGAGCCGTCAACAAGGCCACACCAGCAAATTCAACGCTGACCCTGCCTGCCATCATGGTTTTCTGAGAATGGAGCAAAGCTCAGGCTGTTCAGGTCAATCTTTCCCGGCCAGCCAGGACACTTCAAGAACCGCAAATATCAAGCATCAAAAGCCGCGCGTTGTGAGCTGTGTGCTGTAGCTGACTGAAACCACACTCCTCGCCTAAGTCAATTCCTGCTTAACGGCATGGTGCCCAAGACCCGCAGCTGACTGAACTACAATTCGAAACGCCCACTGTCGACATCTTCTTTGCACGAGCACAGGCTGTAAAGTCCGCCAGGCGCCAGTAATGGGGCATGTCCCAAGGTTTGCAAGGTGGACACCGAGAAGCTTGCATCAACAAAGCCGAAGCGCCCTGCGAGCAGGGGAGCAATGGCAAACAGATGCCCACCCGCCGACTTGAAAACATTCTGCGTCTCAGTCGTGACCTGCGCACCAGCCAAGCCCCAACATCTGGGAATGTCATGACGATGGTCCGTGCTGGGCCCAGAATGCACACCAGCACGTCGCAGGAATTCGGGTGGATGCCTCGTGGCGAACGCAAGCAGAGACCTGATGGAACACTGATTAGACACAGCCTTCTCTAAGAGATGACAATGACAACGCGCTGCTTCCAGTTTTGCATGGCTTTGCGCTTGTCAAAGGCCTCTACCAATGTAGGTAACCGCCCGCCCATGGTTCAAGAGCCGTCCCCAAACGTAAAAAAACTTGTCTATGTCAGAAGAAGTCACGCTTGCGCATACGTCGGCAGGCCCCCAAAGCTGCAAAGCGAGGTGGAGGAGTCACAGCACCACCTCACGCCAAGCAGACAGGCGATCAGAAGCGATAGGAAGCGATCGTTGCAAGCAATGCATCGTTGCAAAGAAGACTCTTCAGCAGCCTCGTGATCATCTTGAAATGTCTTAGCCTCATCTGGACGTCTGCTGGCTTCGCAACAGGACTTCAACACGACAATGGTGCATGTGATTCGGGGTTCCTTAGACCCAGCAATGCAATGACACGCAAAACTCGTGGGAAATTCATCCTGTGAGCGGAGCCCGCCTTGGGTGAGACCCTTTTTGAACTCGCCGAAAGCCGGTTTCTTTTTGCGGACACCCTCTGTCTGGGAGCGGTGGGAGGGCCGGTACACTGCATACATGGCTGTAATACACTATAGGTACCGGAGTCCTGAACCCTACTAAGTCTGGATACCCTGACCCTGAACCGTCAACCCTCCCCCCCGCCGTCCTGTGCCGGGGTGTCCTTAAGCCCAAACTCCTAAAAATCTATTAAAGCAAAAACTCCCAAAGCTCGTCGAAGCCTCTCCACTAAATCCCTTAGAATCACCAGCAAGCACCCGAACCCTCAACCCTGAAGAAACCCAAAACAAAAATAACTTTAGAGCAATTAAGTACCGATGTCTTTTGGGATTGCCGCGGGAAGTGATCAAACAAACGACTCACGGAGTTCACGCTCATCCCGTCTTTAGTTCAAGACTTTGCACTTAAGAAGGTGCTCTGTGTTGCGCCTCTCGCTGTTCAATGAAAAGTTTTCTGAACAAAAGCGCCGCCTAAAAAGTATTTTACTTAGAACATCCCCGCCCTCTCGGGTTGGGCACTCCAGGTATTCTTGGGCTGGGCACTCCAGGGACACTTTGGGCCCTGATTTTGGGCAGCCCAGGGAAAGCTTGCGGTTGTGCACTCGGGACACTCTGGGTTGGGCACTCCAGGGACACTCTGGGGTGCACTCCAGGGATGAGCGAGGCGTAGACCGGGCGAGGAGAAGAGTTGAAGAGTTGAGTTTAAAATCTAGCAGCCCCACACCGAGGGTGGGGAAAACCAGCTTTTCCATGATTTTTGAGACACGCCCGCGGGAATATTCGAAATACGGCGGATCGTAGAGCGAAAAACAGGAACTCTGTAACAATTTCCCCCGCCGTGAAGAAAACTCTAAAAAATGAATCATCCACTAGGCACCCCCCTTGGATTATGATGAAAAGCAGCACCGCATTGCATGTATTTGCATGTGCTCCAAACACATCAAAGGCCAGTCAGGCCCCCCCCCCCCCCCACAATGAGATCAGCGGCGTCCTCTTCCCAACTGTCGTTGAATGTCTTCAGGGCATGGATCAGCGCATTGATTGGGAGGCCTCAGCTCTTCGAAACACCAGCTAATTAAACATCCCAGCACTCCTTGTGACCTTAAGTGCACATGCAGCTTTCAATCCGCGGCACTCGACATGACCACCTGGAACACTTTGCGGAAGGAAACCCGCACTGGACCTCACTCTACAAGTCGATCGCTTGAAAAGCCCGGCTCCGGCTGCAACATTCAGAAGCTGGCATCGAGCAACTTGGGCATGCCTCTTTCTGTCGGCTTGGATCAACATGTCATGCATTTGGGGTATCTCAGTTTCTTGGGGTTGTCACTCCTTTTGTGACTCCTTTCCCTGCCAGCTACTGCACCTACATGGCTGCAGACCTGATGGCACGAACAATCGAGTCCCCCCGACGGCGTTCTGCCCGGGAGTGTTGTCGGCAAACCAGAATCCAACCGAGCCGAGCCGAGTCCGAACCCCCCGAAACGAGCTACACGGTCATCCTCCTGCATTCCCGGAACCCCCCTTCTCGACAAACGAGGGATGAAATTCCATTGCAGTTGGCTTTCTCCCGGCCGTACTGTCTCTACCACTTAGAACGACCGACTCACATTGTCTACAGCAGGCTACAGCTGCTTCCACATCGTGGCAACTTCGAAGAAGCAAGGAGGTCATCAGACCACAACCCAACATGGGTTGCCACCCCCCCCCCCCCCCCCCCCGCATACCCAAATCGGGTGCAGATTTGCTGGAAAAATCGGCTCATGGCAACCGAATGTTCATGTTTCGAAAGGGTTGAGGCCGTAGCCTCACACTGGAAGGCAAGCAGACCCTAGTGCGACTACGAGCACTCCATGAACAGAAGCTGGCCTCTGACAATCTTTGGTGGAGTCAACAGCTGGAAAGATGACCCTGGCCCGGGTTTCTGGCCGCAAAAGTCACAAGCGGGCCATCGAAAGGGGAGTCCCGTCTGAGGGGTCCCAAGATCACATTCTACCAGCCCTATTTTCTGTGTGGAGCCTTGCACAAAGTGTCAGTGAGCATTACAATCAGCTACGGGATCCAGTACTGTTTCCAGGAGGTGTGGTCAGTAAGAGCATTAAGGTTGGAATGGTGTTTTCGTGCGCCCTTGAAAGCCCTATTACATTGTATTGAGGGCGTCTTAGAACGAGTGTGAACCCTGGACTTCATAAGACAACAAAAAGTCACGCGCTTGTCAAAACATAGTCTTTATGAACCAATTGAATCTTCGTTTGCACAAAAACTATGCTTTTTTACTGTCTTTCTATGCCTTTTTACTGTCTTGGCGTTGTTCTAAAAAACGTTCTTCATGCAAGACGCAAGGACCATCATTTTTCCCGTCGTTGAAGCCCAGGGAGAACAAAGCATGAAGCACCCTTAAAACACTATAATATTATGGGCTTTTAAAGGGGCCCGTTCAAATACTATTAATATTAGGTGGGGATGCGTGGGGGCCGTGCGGGTTCCCACTGTTGTCCGAACATGTCTGACTGCTCGCAGGCCTGGACACTCAGGCTGCACGACGGGCGAGGGCTGAAGTCGAAGGGCCATAGGCACCAGAAAACAGGTGGAGTTCTTTTGGGGGGTAACATTTTTTGGGGAGGGGTGTTTTGTTTTGGTCGATTTCTAGGAAAGCCAGCATTCCCTCTACATTTTCATAGGAGTTGGTCCATTTTTCTTGATTTTGTCCTATGAAAACCTCCATTCCCTCCATATTCTTACAGGATTCATTCTACTGTTCATGGGTTCCAAGGCGCTAACCCGGTTGATACTTCTGCCGCTTATGCGATTTCATCAGGCACGCCAATGCCCAATGCGGCGCAGTGGTTTGGACATGTGGGTTGCTTGGGATTCGTAGTCAAAGCTTGTCTGCAGTGTGGGCAAGTGCTTAGCATGCCATATGTCCGAGTTGGACGTTAATTGCAGTGCAGGAGACTTCAGACTTGCAAGAACGGTGACAAACAGCATCTGAACCTGCAAACGAAAGCATGAAACGCGTCGTCTGAGTTGCCAGTGACGTGAGCAGTGGGCCTCCCAAAAAAACGAAACTGCAGACTTACAAGCCCTGCACCTATGAAATGCCGGCGTAAGATACTCACTTGCGCCCAAGGAGGTGGGGGGGACGCGTCGGGTCCATGGCTTTGGGTCTCGGATTTTGGGCTTTCGGCCAGGGCTCCGCAGGTGGGTCGGACGATTGGAAGTGCAACGCGTTGCCAGCAAGACAACTCTGCTTTACAAGTTGTCGCCGTAGCGAATTGCAGCTTGCTGCTGAACATCTTGTATTCAGCATGTGCGAAAAGTCGATGTCAATACCCTCTGGATCGGCCCTTTACTTGATCAGCAAACTGGCCTGGAGAGAGGGGGGCCCTTTACTTGATCAGCAAATTGGCCTGGAGAGAGGGGGGCCCTTTACTTGATCATTGATATATTGGGAGGGGTTATAGTTCCACCCGTGGAACACTGGGAGGGGTTGTAGTTCGACCCGTGGAACACTGGGAGGGGTGGTAGTTCCACCCGTGGAACACTGGGAGGGGTTGTAGTTCGAGTTGTAGTTCCAAATTCAACTCCTTCGGAATAAATCTCAGAAATGAGATCCACGAAAGGCAACATCAAAAAACATAACAAAACAAAGAGGGAAACATTTCTGTAATGCGTAGAAAAGAAAAAGGAAGAATCTTATCCTTTCAGATGCCAAGATAATATCTCATATACGAAATAAAAGGAGGACTCTTACTCAAAATGTCTCCCAATTGATTGGTCGGTTGCTAGTGCAAAAATCCCAGCAATCGCCTTCATTGCGCACAGAAGTTTGATACCTGAGAATTCATATAAGTGCTAGATTCCTTGGTCCGTATTTCAAAATGGGTCGAATGGAACTAATTGACCAACCATCCACACACACCTGAATCCCCAGAGGCACAAGAATATCACCACAACAAAACAGCATGAGCCAAGGACCATCCTCAAGCATGCATAGAAGTTGACGTTCAAGCTGAGACATTGCAAGCAATTATTTCAATCCAGACAAAGGACTTGCGTTCCAGAGCCCAAATGTCGCAGCCACTTGCAGCAATCTCAACCAGAGCACTAGTTCCATTCGCTTCCAGTTCAGCGATTTCAGGCATTTTTACCTCTCTTTTCCAAATCCTTTTCATCTTTCCCTCATGGTACTTGTTTGTTATCAATCTCGAGCCTGCATTTAGCTTTAGATGCAATTTACCATCCAATTTACGCTCCAATTCCGAGGAGCGTGACTCTGAGAGCAAGTACCAATACAAGATTCTCACCCACGTAGACGCTCTATTCCAAGAGGCTTACGCTCGCGCCGCCGTTGGTAGTATGTCTAAAGGCCACAATCCAAGGCAGAAGCCCCGGTTTCCAACCCAAGCTAATCCCTCTTCGTTCGCCATTACTAAAGAAACCCCATTGAGTTCCTTTTCCTCCGCTTATTTATGTGCTTAAATTCGATGGATTCACTTATCTGACTTCATGTTAGGAAGTGTTCAAGACACCAAGTATTGAATTGCCTGATTGAAAAAGACATGAAACGTTGATCAATCAACCCAGTGGGCAATACTTAGTACTGAGCATGCCAATGCAAAATATGCAGTAGCACACAGCAGCACCCCTTGAAAGGAGCAGCAGGAATAGAAAAAGTAGAAGCGCTGAAACAGACATGCTCTCAGGCATATCCCAAGAGCGCAGTGCACGTTCAAGAGGCCATTGATTCACGGAGTTCTGCAATTCACAACGATTATCGCACTTCACTACGCCCTTCATAGGTGCTCGAGCCCAGATACCCGTCGCTGAAATTTGTGCAAACTCGATTGCAAGAAGATGCTGAAACAAGTACAGCTGTCAATAATGGAAGGTCCAAAAGGGACCCATGACGATGGGCAATAGCCAGAACATATACTCTGGATGCAGCTCCGAGTACACCCACTCGCCCATAGTTTCCACTTACGTTCGAAGAAACACAAGCAATCGTACTCAACAAGGTTCACGAACTGAATTGGATAATGCGAATGATCCTTCCGCAAGTTCACCTACGGAAACCTTGTTACGACTTCTCCTTCCTTTAAGTGATAAGGTTCATGAAACTTTCCAACGTAACGTCCAGAAGTTGAGCATTACATCAGTCCGAATAATTTACCAGATCACTCAATGGGTAGGAGCGACGGGCGGTGTATACAAAGGGCAGGAACGTAATCAGTACGAGCTGATGACTCGCGCTCATTAGGAATTCTTCATTGAAGATCAATAATTGCAATGATCTATCCCATCACGATGCATTTTAAAAAGATTACTCGGCCATTTCAGGCAAGATTGCAAACTCGTTGAGCGCATCAATGTAGCGCGCGTGTAGCCCAGGACATCTAAGGGCATCACAGACCTATTATTGCCGCAAACTTCCTTGCGTTAGATACACAAAGTCCCTCGAAGAAGTTGCCCATATAACCGTGGTTACATGTAATTATTTATCAGATTAAGGTCTCGTTCATTAATGGAATTAAGCAGACAAATCACTCCACCAATTAAGAACGGCCATGCACCACCGCCCCAAGAATAATCACTATATATGAGATATATTAATGAATTTCGAAAATTAGACGAATCATGATTGCGCAATATTATCATCTCCGCCCCCCCCCCCCCCCAATTAAGAGAAAATACCGATGAAGAAATTCAAGTAAAACGAAAGCGAAGAGTTTTTGATTCTTTTGTTTTTGAAAAATTGGGCGGTTTAGAAATGGAGATGATTCGAAAATATCATTTTCTATAAAAAAATGATTGATCAGAAAATTTTAAAATGGTGATTATCGAATATAAATCTCGAGCCTTTCAATAGGACATTTGGAATTTATTAATCATCGAGATATCCGAAGAAATATTAAAATCATTATATCAGATTCATTTATGATTTATATCTCGTATTTCGATCGATAATGAAAGATACGTATATCGATATTGGGAATGGGCATATATATTTAACTTATCTATTTCTTAAGATTGTGGTACCTGCCGGACATTCTTGATGACGATGAATTATGTGATGTTCTTGCCAGGAGGGATCCCCCCACATAGGTTCGGAGATTCTGATTTATGATTGATATATTTCATTATCACGATATTAGAATAAAAATGTCTGCGTATATTCATCTCTCAAATCTATTTTTATTCAATGAACATTTTTGGGCGTATGTGCCGCTCGCACTCCGGAAAATTAACATAATCAATTCATATCGGTCCTCTAATTGGTTCAAAACCTACCCCTGCTCTATATAATATTCTTGAATTTTCGATTCATCCATTCTTATTCAAGATAGCATTCGATACTCGATTTGTTACCACCTGCAGCGAACTAAGAAATTATCGAAAAAATAAAAAATAAGAGAAGAAATTCCATATATTTCATTAGAAAACCTTCATTTTTCTTTATACTTTTTCGTCTTTCTGAGATACCTCATAATTAAGGGTGGTGGCGGGCTTTTAAGCATGTCGAGACGTCTGCCCATAAATCGGAATTCTCAAGATCTAAGTATCTATTCCGGTTTGAACCCGAACTCCGAAACTTCAGAAACCGGAAATACCTCCTCGAAACTCGTTCCCCACCAACAAATACAAAGTAAATTACGATAGATCATAAGAAAGACCTTATTTCTCAGCGAGCTTGATTTCTTCTGAGAAATAATAGAAAGCATTTTCGACCCCACCTCCACTAAAATATCATCAGCGTATTTTGATCAGAAGGAAGTGAGTTCCCGGCAGCCTTGCTGCCCTCGAGAGCTAAGATATAATAAGTCTCCAAGCCAACCCCAAAGCTAAGATTTCCTATCTATGATTTTTACTTATTGGAAATTTTCTGTTTTTAGGGGGGGTGGTTTGGTTGGAAGAGATAGATCGTTCTCAAATTCATGTTCACTCATCTCTTTTGCAAGCATATGGATTCCGTTTAAACGTATGGAAGCTCATCCCTTTTAGAATCGCATGGATCCCCTTTAAATTCGTATACTCATATCAGCTCATTGCTTTTGAATCATATGGATCTCGTTTAAAAGCACACACAAGCTCATCCCTCAAAATCATGGGAGCTTTCGATATTGTAAAGCCAGACCCCCACCCCCACACTAAAGCCAGACATCATTTTGTGGGGGGGGAGGGGGGGGGTGGGCAGCAAAACTCTGCATCCAGCAGAACAAGTAATTAAAGTAGGATCAGCAGCAGGCGGGCCTCAAACCCATTCAACGGGGTCCGTCCTAGCCTTCGCATCGGGTCCCAAGCGCGGACACCACTTGCGTTGTCCGAAATCGCTTCACAGACCAACATTCTGGTCAGAGTCTTTTAAGCCCTTTTGCCCAGTTAAAGGTTTGAGGCACATGCTGCTTCTCAGGAGCCACTCATGCACTTCGAACTGATTACCTGCCTTTGCTTGCTATTTTCATGGCGCAATGACCATGTTCATTCCCCCATTTTCCAGCTGGAAGGAGACGACTTTGAGGAGCGACGTTTACAGAATCAACTCTCTCATTTCTCCGACTTTGGTGGTTGATGTCGTTGGAGTTCACTGGAACCTTGACGTGAGCGCGATTACTTTGTAGAGAGCCATTCATGCAGTCCCTGGCCACTCCATGTCCAACGTACCTGTCTCCTATGGCCAGAATTGCCAACTTGGAGCCCAAGACACCTAGCTGCAGCCGCCGAAACTTTCCGAAGGTCTTCTTGAAACGAAGTCTCCACTTGCACCCTGCGCGCTGCGAAAGGCTTCAAGACCAGCCGTCGCAGCGGGAATGATCCGTCGGGGCGTCCCACAACCGCGGACTTGAATACTATGCGGCGAGATGAGAAGAAACGCCGCCAAGTCTGTTGCAAAAAGTAGATGGGACAACACGCATCGCAAATGGCCTGCTGACGGGTAAACGTGCATCATCAGGGGTTGCCAGGTGGTGGCTGAATCTCCGAATCTCCCCCATGGACTCTCACCCAGCCACTAAACTTTGCCGGGGTGGAACTTCTGAACTTTAGCCTGAGGTCTCCTAGTAGTTCCGAAACGAAGCTCCCGAACCACCCGAGAAGCCCTTGTGGAACCAAGTTTTTTTCACACCGTTGGCAAGCTCTGAAGGAAAAGTCTCAAAGTTCTCAGAATCCAGAAAAGAGTTCTGGAGCGCGGTACGGCTTGCATGGGCCAATCTGAGGATTCTGTTGGGACTCTGAGGACTCCTAGCAAAGTGAAACATCTGGTATTCAGACGATGTCTTTGCCTCGAGGGGCAGAGACTGCTGACGTAGTTGGCGACTGCAAAAACTTCTTGGCAGGCTTTGGAAGCACCACCCCAGTCAACGCCGATGCGTTGACCAGCATATCGACCTTCTCGTGCATCTTTTGCATTTGACGGTCAAGCTTGTTGAGGTCGATGCTTCGCGCGTAGCCTTTCATGCGAATGATCCCAGCCTCGAACTCCTCCAATGAAATCTCACCGTCTCCATCATCTAGCCTGGCTCAGGTTTGGCATGTTTGGGCAACCAACAGCTGATTTATGTGAGGATCCCTCATCCCACACCACGGTTTGGATGTAGGGCTTCGGGTCTGAAGGCCCTCTGATTGATGTCTTATGGAGGGTGGGGGAGAACAGTATCTTCGAAGCGCGGGCGTCTTGTGCAGAATCCCCCGGAACAATGTTAACAGCAACCACGTGGCTTTCTTCTGGGAGCAGGGACAGGGGTTGCGAAGGGTCCCATTGGATTAAAATCGCTTCTGACAGCCTTAAGATGAGATCTGATGAGCCAGCAACTCACTGGTTTCCCGTCAAGAGGGTGCTTGGTAAAGTAGGTTCAAGTGGCTGCGGTTTGTTTAGGGGCTGTAAAGTTCCGAGGGTTTGCAGCACGCAGCTAGAAGCCAGTGAAAGAGGGCCTCCTACGATGCCTCCTCAAGGTCTGGCCTAGCAGCATAGCATTCCGAGATCAGTTCCTCATGCATTCTTGTAACTCGCTGCTGTTGTATACGGCGCATTGATGAAAAAAACAGACTCGCAGGACTTAAAGCAATGCAGGATTTGTGGCCCACAAGTCGAGAACGCAGCGACTTACGGATGGAGCACTTGCACATCAAGGTTCGTTGCAAGTTAGCAGGCACCAACGCCTCAAAGCGTATGACCTAGTATAGAAGGGCTAGCAAGTCAAAGCTTCGACCCCTAGCTAAGCATAGCCAAACGCAGCTGAAAATTATTTCAGACCTGACCCAGAAGCATCTGGAAGAGGCCGACAAGATCTGTTGTCTCTATCTCCAGCTGTCCAAGCCAGATCTGAAGCTTGGGGTTCTCGAGAAGGTCCGCGAACTCCTGGATGTCAATCTTTCCATCACCAGAAGAATCAACTTGCTTGAACAGGTTCGTTAATCTCCGGCAATACGCATCTTGAGCTCGCTGCTTCTCCCGTGCCAAAAACTCATCGTCTGCTTGGGCTACCTTCATGGTGCTCTGCACAAAGACCGCGTTCACAACATTCCTTGGATCACAAGAAAGCAGGCAAAACTCTCAGATGGCGGGTGAAATTCATTGATCTCGGTTCGTTTGACGTTTGGACCCATCTAGCTACCGAGCAAGCGGGCGAGCGAGAGAGAGAGAGAGAGAGAGAGCGGGAGCGAGAGAGCGTGTGGCAATCTCCGCCCCAAAATAGAGCAAATACTCATCCTTGTCCAAGTACAAGGTTGCTCAGAAACTCGGTTGCTCATGTATCACTCGCTCTGACTCTCTCACTCTCCCGTTCTCGATGTTAACAGCGTCTGTTGGTATGAGACTGGTCACCTCGGGAGATCTGTGGCTCACTCTCCTCGCTCTCTCTCGTTCTCTCCCGCTCTCTCAGAGGCTCACTCTCCCCCTCTCTCTCCCTCCCTCTCAGCTCCTGCTCATGTGCGAAAGCGCTTGATTCTCTCACCACGAGAAGTGGTGCGCCAAGGTTAACCACCAAGTGTCAGAACTGCAAATCCCACGAAGCACCTGTAGACGATGAAAACTGCCGAAAACCATTCGCTCACATTGTCTATGAGTACTCTGCAGGCAGGAGCCCAGTTGGCAAATAACCTTGACTGCTTGCAATGGCGTGCAACTGCTCTTGGAATCCCTGCAATGTTACCTGTTTCACCAACTAAAAACCGCAAGTTGGCAAACAGTCAAGCAACACCTCAAACATCGTCAGCAGCGTTTTGGAGAATGTTCCATAGTAACGGAAGACTTGAAACTTACTGTCCTCACTCACGTCAGGGTCAGTCCAGAGCTCACTAACCATGTAGGAGATTGTCATTCCTGCGCTGCACTGAATAATCATCAGGAGGACCAAGGACCAAAAGAGAATCCGGACGCTGGCAGCTATGCACTTGAGCAAGAGCTGCAGTGACTCCAGGACCTGCGACATCTTCACCACGCGGAGGGCTCGTAAGAGCTTTCCCAAGCGGAGCATGCGCAGAAATGTAGGGCTGATGGGCAGTGCGGATGCAAAGAGCTCGGCCCAAGAGCTGCAAACCACAATGAAGTCTATCCTGGACCATTTGGCGCTTAGCAAATGTTAGGGTTTGGGATTCCTTGTAGATTTACTCGTAGATGCATAGACTTGTTACGCATGTGTTCCTTCTGGCGGTCAAAGTGCTCGTTAAACAGCATACAACGTCTTCTCCAACTGCGACCCAGTATCCAGTTCAGCCAGTGTCTGAAGAATGCAAGGCAGCGAATCCAGAACAGGCGAATCAACATCTCAACTGTGAAAATGACCGCGAAAATGATGTCTCCAACGACAAACAACGAAGCCACGTTCGGCCAATACTCTTCAGCTGGCAGAAGATAATCTTTGTACCCGATTTCATAGCCGAACTTCAAGCCATCGTACTGCAGCTGAGCAGCCATAAGGAGAAGATTGAGAAGTAGAATTACCGCAATTCCCATCTCAAAAGTATTTCCGAGGAACACATTTCCGAAGCGCTCGTAGAATGCCCTGTCAGCCTCTCTGGTGTTGACCTCCACAAGCTCACCAGAATCCTCACCGAGGTCTATGGCCTGATTTGAATGAAGAGATGCCATCGACATCAGCGAGCTCATAAGGCTCGAGGCTGAGAAGCCTTTCTTGAATTTGGGTGAAGCCGAACCGGTTCCCGAGTGGCGGGAGTTGCGGCGTTGCTTGTTTGGGACGGGCTGTTCGGCTTCAGCCACTTCGGCCCTGCAGTCTGTTGTGCTAGGCTCATCTTCGTCCTTTTCCACTAGTGTGCAAGACTCCCTGACAAGACCCTTCTCTGAAGCGGAAGGCAAACGTCGGGAGTCCTCCCTTGCAATGGGAAACACAGGTGGCGACATACGAGGATACGGCTGCAAAGCCGTTAGCTTGTGGAGTGCTGCCACTTCGGCCTGAAGCCTCTTGGTCTCTTCCACGTGAAGTGCCTGCAGAGCACCAACATGATGCACACCCGACTCACGCCCCTGCCGTCGTACATGGCGAAGTAAGCAACATGTATATTTCTTGTGCCAGTCCCACCCCAACCCCCACCCCGCAACCGAGTCAACCCAAGCAACGTGAGTCAACCCGAGCTGCACATGGCCGTAGCGCTAGTCAACCCAAGAACTGCTGGGCCCTGAGACCCCAAATAACATGACAGATTGGAGGCCCTGCAAAACCAGATACGCACGACGATAGTACCTGAACATGTGTAGCGACTGCAGCCACCATTTGCCTGCTACGTGATCTTCTTACCTTGCGCGAGGGTCGCGTGAGCTGGGGCCGTACAACAACACATCTGCGAACCCTGAAAAAGTAATGATTCACTGCGGAGGAAGAACTCCCTGGCACATGTCGTTTCGGTCCGAGCTAATGCAAAGATGACTCGACATATGGTATACATGACTGGAAGCGACGCGTCAAACCTCTGACAGGTGCCCGAGCACACACCACCCGTCAGCCAGGACGTCTTAGGGCAACCACAAAGTGGGACAAAACATGCAAACAGCATATGAGATTGCCCTGAAAACTCGCCTCGAGCTCCATCAAGAGCACCCGGAATGGTGACATGACGCCTGCTGACTCACCCACCGACCCAGGCGCCATCTCCTCCATGGCCTTTTCTCAGTGCCCTGGCAACTGAATGTCTACGAGGAGTCTACGATCTCCCGAGGGCGGCCCAGCTTGGCGTGCCAGGTTCCTGGTGGCCAAAGGGCCGCAGATAGGTTTAAGTTGAAACCTTGAGCCGATGCAATGATCCAGACTCAGGAATCTGGACATTCAATCATTCTATCGTGTGCCGTTGTCCTGTTGCTACCTGAATTACTGGGGCTGTGACTAGTAGTAAAATGCAGCAAACATTTGTGGGTTCTCCCACGCACGGGGGCCCAGGGCATTTGTCGAACAACCCAAGACTGGACGGAAGCAACGATACAAATGCTGCAGCTTTCGGGCTCCTAAGCAGGAACCTTGAAAACCTTGGGGGTACAAGAGAAGGCTTTGTTGAGATTTTTGCTAATATACGACTGAGGGGTGGAAGATTTGGGAAAACATCTACAGTAGGATTTCGTGAGGTCTTGTATGAACTGACATGTAGGAGTTGGGGGGGGCTCTGGATGCCCCAAAAAGGGTTTGGAACTGGGAGGCAATGCTCGTAGCATAGAAGCTGGTGTGTGTGTGGCATGCATGAAACGGTGCACTTATCGCTACGCTCGTCTCATGTTGGAAAGCCCCAGAAGTCTGACCCCGCAGCCCGCAACAAAATTCTACAACGCTCAGGGCACATCGGCTTCCCATATCGTGTCAGTTGCCTCCAAAAGCAAGAGCAGCATGGAAATTCTTTCGCAAGCGGCTCTGCCCTCTGCCAGAAGTGACTTCAACTCCCTGCTGGTCACTTTGGTGTGCCAGGCAAGCTCGAGGAAAGCTGCAGGGTTGCAGGTGAGGCAGGGCGGGCATTCCTTGAGATGACGAGAGATGTCCTCCAAACACGATCGGCCAAGCGAGTCAGCTGATTGCTGGAAAAGCATGAGGGCTGCTCGAAAAAGTGCCTTCGGCGTGCCATCCAATAGCCACGCCTCCCAAATTCGACTAAGCAAATCCCGAGGCATCCAGCGCACCCCACAAAACAATGTCTGCAGCCATGGCAGAACGAGGAGTTCACAACCAACGCACTCGCTTGCCAAGTGTTGTGACAAAAGGGGCAGGTCACTCTGCAGTAACTTCCAGAAAGCAACGGTCGCCGCTCTCAGACCCAGAAGGGGTGGTTCAAACCAGTCTCGCACACCAAGATCCAGAAGAGCTTGAAGGAATTCAAACACTGCAGTTTCCAAGTCTAACCCATCCAACATCACAGTTTCTTCTGCCACTGACAAAGCAAAAGCACAAGCCATATCCAATCCTTGGCAGTATCCTACTGACGGACAAGCTGCTGCTAAAGCTGTCAAGATTCGAGACAATGCTTCCGCACGCTCCTCCAGTGGAAGAGATGTCTCAGCATTCTCTGGCCAGAGAGAAGGAGGAGCATCGCAGGAATGCAATGTCCTCGGAACATCTGCAGCAATCACTGCCCGGGCTTCTGCAAATTGGGGCTGCTCCATTCCCTGCCGAAGCATCTTTTCATAGATCTCTGTTCCTGACGCCCTTGTCACTTGCCTCCTTGCCCTGTGTCGCTGCAAAAGATACTGCCAGAACCACCAGCGCTTGAGGGGCGAGACGTTCTGACCAAAGCGAACTATAGACTTCTCCAATCTGTCTGCACGGCGTCCTGCCAATGTTGAGAGTGCCTTGCGCCAGGATGAAGCAACTACACGGCATCTTCCCAGCATCTCGGCATCTCTGCTGAAGGCGACGACTTGGCACAGCAACGCAGACCATGGAAGCCTGCAGCTAACAGGGCAAGGTAAACTTTCAAGTGATGCTTGTGCAGCCGCTACCTAGAGGACATCGATCGAGGGGCTGTCAACGCCTCAATGCCCAAAAGAAAGCATCTCATCGCTGGAACGACAGACACACTGAAAAGCTGAGACCGACACCTCGATGTTGCAAAGATTGCCCTTGCGCAGCATGAGAATGGGGAGGCCTACAGTGGCCAAGAGATAGCGAGGGCATGCCATGCCATGTTTGGGTTAGTTTGGGTTTTTGCACAGCTTCAAAACTGCAAGACGATTAGACATCCGAGCGTCCCCTTGCCGTCAATGAAGCCAGTGCCTGTGTCACAAACCAGCAGAGATTAACACAGGCGAAGCCAACAACAGTTCGGATATTTCAGCAAAGCTTGCAAGGCAAGTGGCCGCGGCACGACCAGTCAAAGCTCGCAAAGCTCGAGGGGAGGACACTTGCCACACCTCCACCTGTCAGGGATTGGGATTTCAGCTCAGCTCAGGCATGCCCAAACTGCTGTGTTGGCACTTGTAGAAAATGCGATGCTGCTCCGCCTTCAAAAGATGCCGCCAACGCTCCATGAGTGGACAGCTGGATAGCTCAACATCCGAGGCTTTGCAGCAAGCCCAGAGTATGGGACATGGCTGGAGAGCATGGGCCATCGTGGCTGCTCTCAAGCACGCGGCTGCCACTGCGGATCGTTCGGCCCAACCTTTGTTAGCTGCATTGTCAGCCACCAGAACCAGGACAGCTCCCGCGCCAAGCCACGGCAGATCCTCCCCATCGCATAAGCATTCGATGCTTGGTTGGGAAGAAATAGCCATTGCTGCCAGCCATTGGGGCGTTAGCTTCTGTGGCGGCACAAACAGTGGCCTTCCAGACAAGCCCATGCCAAATAAAAGGCAGACGGCTTTCTCTGCACAGCTCTGTAAAGAGGCTTCCGCCGCTTGAATTGTGCTGCAGGTGTTGGGTGGAGGCCGATCAGCCGCCCTTCCTGAAAGGAGCCCGCTGAGTCGATCTCGAACGTCATCTTCTAGCTCCTTTTCCAGCAGCTCCGGTGATCTGGCAAAAAAGCCTCCACGCCCAAAGTTGGACCTGGAGGTGAAGTGCTTGTCTTGAACCTCAAGCATCACTGTAGCCTTCAGGTCAGCGAGAGAGCAAAATGGTCTGCCAAGCCGCAAATCTGTGTCCACCAGAACGAGTAATCCATCTCCACACATGGGTACTAAGTCTCCGAGCTCTGCTTCTTTTCAACTTGCAGCTCCAGACAACACCTCAATTCTAGAACATCAGCAACACTCGAGACAGGGATGCCTCTAGCAACCAGCAGTACGACACAACTCTCGATGTTTGCGCAAGCCAATGGCTTTGCCTGATCTTGCGTGGGCAGGCTCGGGCGAAGACTCAACTCAAGCTGCACACCCTTGACTCAGCTTCACGACAGATGCATTCCGTGACATGCCTGCCACATTGGTCTGTTTTTTGCGCCCCGTCTCTGTGGCTTCTGCCCGGGATGTCGCAGGAAGCTTGGCTTGACCTGCACCTTGCAATGCATCAACCAGTGCGCACCTGGCAGCCATGCTTTCAGGCAATGGACAAACTTCTACGCGCACCACACTGGCATCTTTGGGGCCTCATGCAGCCACTTCTGGTTGCCCACCTGCTGTTGCAGCGCACAGCTGTGAAAAGAGCACGACATGGCAAACATGTTCGGAGCCCGTCATGCGGTACTGGATGCCTTGATGCTCTTGGAGAGAGGTTCTGTAGTAACTTGGTTCCTGACATACGAGCTCTTGGAGGGGGACTTGCGGAACATTGGGCTCATGCTAGGGGGTGTCAGAATGTATCAAACGTCACGGTTCGTGGCACCTAAGTCGTTCCGGAAGTACATTTTGCAGAGCTTTTGAGGTCCTCATAGGACGACTGCTAGATCCTTGAGTTTTCCATTTCTTCCACGGCAAGTGCATGAGGGAACACACCACTCTAACTTGTATGAATGAGTGAGACATTCTCATGTCTTGGATGATGCTTTTGCAACAATGCCAGAAATATCCAAGTATGGTCAGTCCCACCTACACCACACTGACTGGCCTCTTTTGATCCTCGCCATTGCGCAACTTACGGCTTACGGCTGAAGAGCTCGAGCAACAAAGAGCCAGCACAGTCACACTTGCCATTTCGGAAGCCTGAATATACAAACGTTCGACTGAACGTGTGTACTGAATGACGGAAGATGCGGACAAAGTTGGCGTGGGTCCCCCTCACTCTAGTGCATCAAATTTCGCACACCACGCTCTGGTTTGTCCCTTGTGGGCAGGAAAACTCAATCCGCTTGAGGACTCCAGTGATGTTAAGAATGCCTTCGCATGCTCGAAGTGTAGGACCGCTACTGGGGACCTGCATTTTCCCTCGCCCCTTCCGGGTTCAGCCATGGCAAGCATGTGTTATCGCTGCATGTAGATGCCCAGCAACGACTCCTCTACACGTCCGCAACTTGCCGGAACCAGTTGCAATAGTCGACATACCAATACATGGCCGCACTTGCACAGCAAGCAGCTACGAAGCGTTTCTGGCCCAACAACGAAAAAGGCAAACGACGTGGGCCGTCCTTACCTATTCGGGGAAAATGCTCTTTCCAAATAGCTTAGACGGGAGAACCGTTCTCCCCGAGTAGACCCGTGCAAAGCTGTCACACTGTTGCCCTCACACCATGTCGCAGGTCGCATCGGCCACCTTGCAGCCAGGGGGGGCTGAAGGCAAAACCATTTCAACCTCGAATCTGCCCATCATCTTGCACTAGCTAGGAATTAACTACACAGGACTATGTTCAGTACATCTATGGCAACTGGAGGGGAGTCGCTGCCTCAGAGCTTAGGACCCTGGAACCAGGTCTGCAAATGCATTCCAGCAGGCAAGAGCACGCGACGCGTGATGGAATTGAACACGTCTTTGGGTTTGAATTCCATGTTCTTGAAAAGGCGCAGCAACCCCACCAACAGCAGAGTCGCAGAAACCAAATTTGGTTTGTAAACTGACCAGTATATAGCAGTTTTTTTCAGACTTGGGTTTTGAGCACTGGGTAGTGTAGTTTCTACAGTAGAGGATCTGGCCTCGAGATCATTTTTCTCGGAATCGTTCAACCACACAAAAACAATGCCAACAAAAAGGGCCAGCCGGGCATCTGTGGTACATCTTGTCAGTCCTCTACAGCATGTCCTTCAGACACTGCACCCTACTGACCGCGGCTTTCGAGGGGGCCGCAGGGCCCATGGTCGACTTTGCGGTCCCGGTCCTGGAGAGAACGCCGCACAGACCACGGACCTACAGAGTGCCTCCTGGGCCTACTTGCGAATGTTGAGACACTGCCTGGGGGGAATCATCAAGAAACAACGTCTGAGCCTCAGCCTTTGGTGGCCACTCTGGGCCGAAGGGGCAGTAAGAGTGCCAAGAAGACCCAGACCTCTCAGACTCTGAGTTGAGCGCGCCGCTCTCTTGCACATCTCCTTTAAACAGCGATTGAACCATTGAATTGACTCGATACACTAAGCCGCCTCCGGGCGCGCCCTGCTGCCAGTCGCCTTGGCTCTCATCTCACGTCCACCAATCAGGTTCCACAATGTTCTTTTTGTCACAACTCTACACTACACCTCCCTACACGCATCGACAATGCCTACGGCCTACTGTAAGGACACGAATAACTTGAAAGAAGCACGCGAAGATCCCTGATGAACAGAAGTTCGGAGAATTTGATTCAACATGCACTCAACCCCCTTGATGCCCCAAAATACTCAACCCCCCCCCCTTTCCGCGAAGAAGTGTGGCACCCATCTCACTCCGTTCAGCGTCTGGAGTTGCTCCTCGTCTCTTCCAACCATAAAACCAACAATTTCAAATCAACAACGTAAAAATAGCTCATGGCGAGAGCCAGGAATAGTCGAATCGGCAGAATCCTGCGCTGAGTCAATGCTAAGAACTGCTCCCTCTGATCGATTGCATGGCCTTCAGAGTTGCGCCTGCAAGCACAGAATGCAAGCTGCGCGCATGCGCATTGTAGAAATATGTGTAGAAACAAGTCGACCAGTCTCACGACGCCCTGCACGTATGATTGTCCTTTGGTATGAGGGGTGGGTTTAATTTCACTGTTGACGTCATGTCTGGTGATTCTGCCTTCTGCTGCGCCAGAGATCAACGCAGGGCCGTTTTGTGTTTCAGTGTGATTGGCTGTTTTGCTTTAATGATGGGTGCTGGTTTTGCTTAGCGTTGCGTCTTGCCTTAAGGTCTGGTTGCTGTTTTTATGTGTGCATCTTTGCCTCGACGAGTAGCTATGGTCTGGCTGCCTGGCTCTCAGACCAACGACCCAGCATTTAAGATATTCTAAAGCTTCGTACGACTCCTGTAGTTTTTTCACAGGATGGATTGGAAAAGATTCGAACGCTTTGTGCAGCTTAAACAAGCAAGGGGGTTGAGGGGTCGCGCGGAACGCACATTTGGGGCTCAGTCGTCTGTTGCCGAAAAAAAGCGTTGGGTGGGGGGGGGGGGGGGGGGCGGGTTGCAAATCGAGAGGGCGGGCGTTGAGAGAAAAAAAAAAAAAAGAGAAAATGGAGAGGAGAGAGGGTTAGAATGAAGAGGGCGATGGGGGGTTGAAATGAGGGGGGGGGGGGGGAGTTGAACAAAAGCGAGAGGGTCAACAAAAAGATGGGGTGGGGATAAAATGAAAGACGGCCCGTTTAGGGCTTCAAGCGTTTGGCTGTGGCATCTCGATTTTGGGTTGAAGGCAAGTTGAAGGCTTACTACGCTGATTTGCGAGTTCTTACAAAGTAGTAGAAGAAAGCAGGAGCAAACTACAAACAGCTGAGTAGCGGTAACCCGACCTCTAAAAATGATGCATAATGTAGACATTCTCAAAGCCGTCTCAAGCAACACGAAAACTACCGAACTGCCTTCCTTTGAGCCGTACAGGACAGAATAGCGAAACAAGCAAAACGAGAATGCCTTGGTCACGGACTCGCGAAAGGGCGCCATGATCAGGCACGGAAGGTTTAAATGCCTCGGCTTAGGCCCGTAGAAGCTTGAACGTTCATTTCTAGCATCCCCCTGAAGTCCAGGTATCTGCGGTATGCGGCTTGCAGTGCAAGTGTTGTTCAGATGGTCAGCACGAAAAGAGCTGGCGTTGCCTGAGCAGCAAAATGGCAACGGCAAAACTCAACGTGGCTCAAGCTTGCTGGAAGCAGCTCCAGTTTGCTGGAGGTCAATACGACGCGCATTGAGCTCCAGTACAAAATGGCATGTTCCAGCAATGGCTCCAAAACACCTTTCGTGCCCAGAAAGCGCTCGGTGTGAAGGCATACGCAGAAAAATCGAAGCCGGGCTGGCTTGTGAGCGAGTCCAGCTTGAATTCGGTGAACAGCAGCTCACCTGTTGCGAACCACTTCAGCTTGGCACGAGCTTGCTACCTGTCGATGCCAGCGCCACTGCCGAAAAGACCCCACATCAGAAACTCTGTCGGATCCTTCCAAGCTCCCACTTGTCGAGAGCCGCTTCGAGCGCTAAACTAGACTTCCCTAAGCCTCAAAATCGTACGTCGTAAGAATCCCTAACCCTAAACCTTGCCTAAACCCTAAACCGGGAAGCGCAGTGCCCACAAGCTCACACTTGAAACTGACAGAAAGCTATGTGCACAAGCCAGGCTGGGACTGACAGCTCTTGATGGCCAACTCAGCCATAGCCTCACGTCTCAGCGAAAGTAGGCGGGACGTTGAAGGCAACAAGCCTCGAGGCACAGGACCAGGAAGCGCAACACTTAACAACCGTAACAAAAGGAAGGCTGCAGTGATGGAGGCCTGCGAGGTTGTTCGGATTGTAAGGGTTAGGAGAGGGAAAGAGAGGAAAGGGGGGGAAGAGGAGAGGAAGGGAGAAGCCAAAAAAGGTGAGCGGCAGCTCTCGGAAAGCTTCAACCCAAATCAGCCACGCAGCCCATATCGATGCCCCCAAAGCAACATCCACGAAGATGTCCTCGGGCTTCTGGCGCCACGCCAGCACCCCCAAAACCTCGCCGGTTTTGGGAGCGAAGGTGAGCGTCACCAATGGACGCCCACCTTTGAAGCCGCCGGCCAGGGACTTCTCAATGTGGCCGCGCTCCACATCTCGGCGCAAATAAGAGTCCCTCACTTTCAGTCGCGCTCTCACTCCCATGCTCTCACTCTGCTTCTTTCGTATATTCTCTCTTCTTCTTCTGCTGGGCATGAAGGAGCCCCGACGGACCCCTCCTTCTCTCTCTCTCTCTCTCTCTCTCTCTCTCTCTCTCTCTCTCTCTCTCTCTCTCTCTCTCTCTCTCTCTCTCTCTCTCTCTCTCTCTCTCTCTCTCTCTCTCTCTCTCTCTCTCTCTCTCTCTCTCTCTCTCTCTCTCTCTCTCTCTCTCTCTCTCTCTCTCTCTCTCGTGTCTGCTCCCGAAGGCTCACTCCAAAAAATAAGCTTCTCATTTGTTGCGTTTTCTTCTCCTACCGGGCTCAGAGATAGCGCCAGGCGCGCCTGCATCTTCCGTTCGCTCGCGGGGACACGTTTGAGGTGACAGCTCCACACTCGGACCCCCTGCGCCTCGGACCTCCCCTATCAGGAACTAACTCACTGCACCACTTCCGTCTTCGTTTTTATTGCTTTCTCGGGGCTTGGGGACCATATCTATCTCTCTCTCTCTCTCTCTCTCTCTCTCTCTCTCTTCCTTTCTTTCTTTTTTTCTGGGTTTTGCTCTCTTGGCTTTGCTCTGGGGCGTGAAGAGCTCTCTCTCTCTCTCTCTCTGTCTCTGTGTGTCTCTCTCTCTCTCTCTCTCTCTCTCTCTCTCTCTTTCTTTCTTGCTTTCTTGGGGCTTCTTTTCTCTTTCAAACCTCATGACATGATGAAAAGGTGCAACGGCACCCCCTACCAAGAGCAAGAGTCGCGGAAACCTCAGCATCCCCGCAAAGAACAGGAGACGCAGAAACATCTAGCGTGCATGAATGGCAGCGCCCCGACCAACAGCAGGAAACGCAGAACCCCATGCTCTTGAAAAGGTGCCGTGGCACCCCTGACTGCGGTTTCTCTCGCTCGCTTTTTGCCCCCCCTCTCGCTCTGTCTCTCTCTCACTCTGTCTCTCCTCTGTCTCACTCTCTCTCTCTCTCTCTCTCTCTCTCTCTCTCTCTCTCTCTCTCTCTCTCTCTCTCTCTCTCTCTCTCTCTCTCTCTCTCTCTCTTCTCGCTGTCTCTTTCTCTCTTCCTGCCCAGCTCTGTCGAGGAATGACATGGCTACACGGGGTGCCTGACTGCCCAATCAGCACGGCCATCTCCTGCATAACCTCACGCTGTACGGCACGGCCCAGCTCGGAGACGGGCATCGCCGGCAGGAAAATGGGCCAGAAAGCGCAAAACGCTGCAGAAGGTGCTACAGCAAGTCCCAGTCTGCTTGCAACGGTTGCCCACCAGCACAAGACGTTTTTTATATATTTGCATGAGTGAAAAACTTCTTGTCCTCGTCACCTCAACGTTCTCAAGGGCCCCCAGTCAAAACTGTTGGGTTGGACGCCGGTTCCCCTGATCCAGCCGGCCATGGTTCCTGAAGCTAACGTGGCCCCAGCAATGCCATGGTAGCGTTCAACACAGTAATGTGCAAGGGGGAATGTCTTCCAGCTTTGATATGCTTTGATGCTACTTGCAGCTCCTGACAGACGCGATTTTTGAATCCCAAAATCGGGGTCCGTCAAACCTTCATGTTCTGGGACATGAGCCTTGCCATGCAAAGCTCCCCGCGTAAGACTCTGTGTTCAAGGAGGCAAGCTGTGGTATGCCATCGCCAGAGATGATTGCACTGCAGCCAGCCCCGCACGCGTGCACACACGAACACACCATCGTGACTGATTTTGTCAGTGGGGCACCCCTTGGAGTGAACGTACCGACTTCTTGGTAGGTAATCTTTCAGAGGATGACGCGGCCAGGCGCGCTCGAGAGTGCTCGGGTTGCAAAGGGATCCGTAGCTGCACACAACAACAACATGTTCAACTCACTGGCAAAGATTGCTTTGGCGTCATGCACTTGCTCGTTTAGTTGCTCCACCCCCCGCTCAGGCCCTGGTGAACATGTCCTCGCGAGGTCATGGCTTGAGAGTGGATCGTGGCTGGATGGACGCTCATTCGGCTGCCGCTGCACTCATCTGCTGTGTACTCCACCTCTTGCTTGCTTCGCCATCTGAGATGGCGGATTGAGCTTATGAGAAGAATGACCGCGCAAATGTCCTGTCCGCACAATTCCAATGTATATATGCAGTACATGTGTGCTGTTGTGGTGCGTGCCGAAGACTTCTCGTGCCGCGGCGGCAAGCCCACATGTCTGTGTGTGGCCTCCTCAGTCATGTTACGCAAGCCTCGGTTCGCGCTATTACTTCAGAGAGCGTGGTCCAACCCCACCAAACAAAAGCTGTTCTGGCCATGTGGAAGGGATCAATGTGGCACTATGGGAAGCCATGGCGTGGAGTTTCTCGAGGACTGCTGCGTAAACTCACAATCAACGTCAGCTGAGCGGTGCGTGAGAATGCGCCCGCATGTGCCCGCATAATGTTTATTTCGCCTGCTCAGAACATGTAGCATGCTACATCCGAAAGAGATCGACATGAAGGCCCACATGGCGGATGACGCTGCGACAGTGCAACGTGAATGTGGCGCCCGTGTGCCCTCGCGACCCCACACTACACTCACGTGACAAGGTGCCAGCACGTTTGAATGCTGGCGCCATTTCAGGCTCGCTATCAGCCAGATTAACATGATCGACAACAACTTCCTGTACGACTTCAACTGCTGGCACCCATTTTTTTGCGCATGTTGCTTGGCCATCACCGGCGTGAAGTGAGACCTGATCCTGGGCCCGCTGCAGAACAAACGTTATCCTGCAGGCAGGATCTGTGCAAACACAGGCAGCTGTCGACAAAAATGCTATCCTCGAGCATCTCCTGCTTTGCGACACTTGCGGAGGGCTTGGAGCTCTGACATGAATGCAAAGTCGATAACCCACTCTGAGATTGCTTGACGACAGCCGCCGACAATTCATGCCCTTCCGGACTTGGGGCTCGCACTACTTCGGCTGTTCTGCTGCCCTAAAGTATTTGACGAAGGCTTTTTGTCGGGGAATGTCAGGAAGCGAATGGGAATTAACAACATCATCCGCATCAGTCCAGCACAACCCAGGGCAGCTTCACAAAAGCTCATTTCTCGCAATTTTTGGGTTATTGTAGAACACCCCACAAGGAACATGCATTCTAGCATGTCACATGTAGTCAGCACTCCTCATGTAAACTATCTGCCTTGGTGAGGAAGCTGGCTCTACAGGATTTTTGATGCAGTTCGTTGTGAACGCTATCCTAGGAGTTGCAGAATGCGGGCTTCGCATTACAGTACGGCGTAGTGTTGTCGATACCTGTCGATAATTACTTAGAAACAGCACAAAGTCGTTGGCATTGTTGCAATCATGTTTTCTCAATGTTTTCTCTCAGTTGTTGTGTGTACCTTTGTCAGAGAGGCTCCTCCGTTAACGTCGTTCGGGCATGGATCCTCGTGGATGCGCTCGTAGCCTTGACGTCATCACGTGCATGTGCGGTTACGACTACGGGTATGGCGTCATGATGATAACGCTTGCCTATGCAGAACTGCCATCATCACTTGCTCCAACGAGGCAGTGTGCGTGGTTCTTGGCTGCAAACCGCGGTGCAGCCAATCTTGCAGGGGGTGGGAGGGCTGGGGGATTGGGGTGGGGGTGGATTTGGGGGGTTGGGTGGGGGTGGGTGGTGGGTGGGGGTGGGTGGGGTGGTGATTTGCATGTCGATAGCGATACCTGACCGCCCAAAATCAAAGTATCGCTTCTGCGCTGTAGCCTCTGGGCCTTTCCTCGCCCCTTCAACTGACCCCATCAGACGAAATGGGTAGCGGTGCTTTGCGAGGATGAGGATGTGCTTTGGGACAATGCGGTCTCATCATCCCACTCGACTTTGCGCTTCAGGCCGCCAGGGCTATTCCACATAGCACGCTTCATGAGAATGTCACATGTACGACTTGGAGCGCGCTTGGCGAAAGCTGTGTGAAAGGTTAACTCAAGTTGACAGCGCGGCGAGGAGGTGCTCGTGGGCCCAAGAAGTCATAGGGTGGCAGATTTGGGTGAGGCATCTACACTGTCCTACACACGAAGCTCGCGGCGAAGCTTACCAAGGACAAGCATGTGACGTCGGTTTTGAGTGCCTGAGGATCACTGCAGTGTGACTTGCGATTATTCAGAACGCCATGGAACAGAGCCAAACTTTCCTGCGCAAAATGGAAAGGCCGCAAACCGAGCTGAACGTTCACGGGTTTGCAACTGTGGCCATGATGCTGGCTCCGACGCCGAAGACAAGAGCCCTTAAATATGAATCCCTCTGCGCCTCACCCTCCATGGAACTCCCGACATCTCCCAACGGCTCCCGTGGCCATGGACCTGCTATGGACCTGCTATGGCCCTGTTCTGGATGCTTCTATGCACCTACATGAACATCTTCTACGCAGCTAATCCCCTATGACCTCCCTGTACTATAGACCTCGCTACGACCCCCTTCTATACCCCTTTGCTGCGATCGACCTTTCAATGAACCTCACGTACCCCCCTGCTCTTGATTTGTGCAATACAAACAACAGCAGTTGTAGAATCATAGTAACAAATACATACAATGGAGGAGGATCGTGAAATACATTTCAAATTTTCTGCAAGTACGTCCACAAGAATGCGGGCAAGAAGCAACTTCTTGAACTTCGACATGGTCTGCAGAAGCGCCACATGACGTTGCACTGGCGGATGAAACTCTGACAGAACTTGGAGAAATCGCGTGAAACTTTGACTTGGCTCGATACTGCGCAAGCAAGCCGAACACCTGCTCACTTAGGCAAAGTCAGCTCGACTCACATTGCACTCACATCTCTGGAGTGGCAAAGGCGAAAGTGCTAGTATCCTCAGCAGCACCGTACTCTGTAAACGACACAAAGAAGGTTTGCGTGCTTCCGTTCAGGATCCCGCGGCCCCACTCAGTCTCGATATATGGAGGTGTAAAGCGGAGGGGGATTTTTCGGATCACTTCTTGCGTCTGCCAGTCGATCAACTGCATTTCCTCGTAGAAGGCATCTTCTCCAGCATGAGAGCCAGCAAAGAGCATGAGGCGATCCCCGAGGCATTGGCAATGATCGTTCACGTGTCCTTGGGCCCTCCACTTGGCTAACTGCTTCGGCTTGCCATCTGAGAGCTGGCATACTTCGAAGTCGTACACCTCCTGACCATACTGCCATCCCTCAGGAAGCCTTGCCACAACTTGGCCACAGCGATCCCGACCGGCAGCGTAATCCTCCAAGGCATTGGACACACATCCTTGGGCCACCTTTAGTCGGCCACCAGATTGCTCACCGTCCTGCCAATCGAACTTCTCCATCGCAGACTTGTAAGCATGAGCCTTCTCCATATGGGTCACAGCCGGCAGCGCAAACTTAAACTCTCTTGGGCTACCCTCCAGCTCGAAGTGCACCTTGGAGAAATCATCTTCTGCTATGCCATGGAGGCGGAATTTCTGCAGCACGCCATCTCGCAGGTCCTCCGCAAAGGGCGGCGACGGTTGGAAAAGTGATACAGTACTACCAGCTACTACCAGGTATGGAATTCTCCTGCCAGTTACTATGGCGGCATTTGCGTGCTTCCCTTTCTGCCCCCCAGCAGAGAGTCGAGAAAGCAAACTCATTCCAAGCCGTGCTCGCTTGCCTCCAAGAGTATCATCCGATCACCATGCTTGCATTTGCCTGCCTCAAAGAACATCTTTCTGAACACTAGGTTTGGAGAACTAGTTTATCATGAAATGTTTCTCATTGCGACAAGCTTGCGGGGCCCTGAGGGGGGCAACTCCCCCCCCCACCCCCCTGTTTTGCAAGTCCAATGATTGCATGATCTCCCACCCCCCCCCCCCCCTGCCTGTTGGCAAGCATAGCGGGCGCCTGGGCCTGATTCTATCCAGTTGACGTATCGATGGAATGGTGCTCTTTGAAGCAGGCGTGGGTTGCAGAGCTCCCCCCATTTGGGAAGGATCATCCGTTTCCGTATGTTTGCACACGCTGTCTGCCACCTGCCCCCCCTCCCACCCCTCCCCCGCATTGTCTAGGCCCGCATACGACATTCACGTCACCAGTAGTTTTGCAGATGTGGATGTGCTCATCCGCTCACTTTCCTTTGCTAATGGGGTGGAATTTTCAAATATTGGAAAATGAACGAATCAACCTAATCGCTTACTGCATGTTACTCAACTTCGCATTCCGAGACATGATGTGACATGTGCTGAATGCCCGGACTCGTGGTTTCCCTTGCTGTTGTTGCCTGGCGAAGCTTCTCTGAGATGCTGTTCCTATAACTTCCACGGCCTTGAAGGTCCTCCATGGCATCACCCGATCGACCCGGAGCCAAGAGCACGGTGGCAACTTCATCTTGAAACTTAAATGCATGAATGGCCTGACTCGCATCTGCCAAAGGCAAAGGGATCCGTCTTGCACTGATGTAGCCTCTGTCTGTCTGGACAAACACGTCCGATGCTGATTGCTCAGACGCGCCAATGAGCCACACGTCTGACGGCTCGAAATGCTTGACCACATACTTGCCGATGGAATCACTGTACTCATCCACAGCAGGTGCGGGGGGGAAGCACCCGGAGAACATCCCACAGGATGCTTCAGATGCTTCGTCCTCTGTACGGGGGAGGTAATGCCGCCAGGCGGGGTGGGCAGGGAAGGCCAGGAGCCGATCGCGAGCAAGTTGCCGCACAGTGAGGCCTATGCACAGCGGCCCACCTACAGGTACGTTAATGGAGTTCCAGGCAACCTTACCCTCACGCCAGAGCTCCAGCGATGGCACCTTCACCACATCTACGGACCCACCCCCGGCAAGGCCCGAAGCTTCCAGCGTCTCGTGGTCGCGCAACACCCGCGAACCGAACATCAGACGCAAGCCGCACCTGAGCTCGGGCGGCCCGCCATAGGCTGCCGCTGCAGACCGGAGCCGGGATACCAACTCCAGAGGTTCCGCATTCAGCCTGGCAATCTCTGCCCCAGAGGCAGCGACTTTAAGGATGATTTCCGGCATGGCAGCAGACGGAAAACAAATCAATCCCTGAACTGGGGCTTGAAGCAAGACGCAAGCAGCAAGCCACGGCGATTTTCGGCGATACTGCAACAGACTGCAACTGACTGAAGCTGAAGCTGGTGCGGTCCAACGAAAACGTGCCAGCAAACGCGAAGCGACTACACTGCTGCGACGCAATGGCGCACCTTGTTGCAGCTGCTGGGTCTCGATGATGCGTTTCTAGGGGAGAGCTATGCCCAAGTCAGGAATGGCCACCACCTAAACAGCAAAAACAAAAAGAACTTCGGATCCGTGCTCATACGAAATTTGCATGTGAACAACAACCACTGGATGCTCAAGAAGCCACACACGCAGCCACTCCTGAGCCCTGAGGACTGAAAACTGCAACCGCAGCACCTCAGCGAGCTTTGCGCTGATCTGACTTGACATCGCACAGCCATCTGCTTCAAGCCGACAAGCTTCTGTCCAACCGCTGGCAGGCTGTGAATACACGGCTCAGTGCAACGCATATCCTGCATCCCTTTTGCCGGAACCTTGCAGCCACGCTGCTGCACCCCCGACTTGCTGGCCATTCTGGCCCAGCTCAACTATGAATCCCCGCCCATCACGATGATTGGAATTTGGAGTACAGCAAATTAGTTTGCCGTGGGCTTGCTTTTTGTATTGTAGGTTTAGCATCAAAGGCATCGAGACGCGCAAGCTTTGCTCAGGCAACCTTAAGTTAAGTATCACAAGGTTCTTCATCAGAAAGTAGCCAGCAGTTCGGTCGAGGCTTCGTGGGGTTCAAGGGTTCCTTCTAGGGTCCAAGGCTTGGGTACAAGGGCGGGTCACAGGCGTCTTGCCATGCCAAAGCAGGCGGGTAGAAGGACATGCTGGCTCCAGCTGACAATTTGACAGCAATCCGTCCAATCAACAGCTAACGGTTCTCTCAGATCGAAAGGAATGATTCACAGCCGATTAAGCTTCAATCCCTCCAGAGAGCCAGCTACTGCAACAACCTCCCAGTCAGATCACCTGGCTGCTGGCCTGTGCATCAGGACGCTGCGCAGCCCAGTCCCCTACTTTTGAGAAGGCTCGGGCCCTCGCAGGCGCGGCAAAGGTTTGATCAAGCTAATGCTTTGTTCAAAGTGTGATAGCTGGATGCAGAGTTGAAGCTCTTATGCTCTGTTTTGCTGCGCTGGCGATCAGGCTTCCGGAGGCATACACCCTAAACCCTAAACTCTAACCCTAGGCCAACGCAAGCTAGCCAAAATTCCGGAAGCCTCTTCCCTTACCCGAAGCAGGCCGATCCAGTTCTACAGGGGCACCCCGAACTCTGAGACATCGTACACTCTGGTCGGCCGCATCGGCCGCCTGTCGATGTTGGAGTGCGTCGCCCCTCACTGACGCTAGGCGTCGCTCAGGGAGGGTGCCTGCCGAGGCAGGGGCAAACGGCGCGCATTGCAGAAGGCAAGGGAGTTGAGTTGGGAATGCGGTCACACCTTTTGCTTGGGAAAGAGAACGAGCGCTCGCACTCACTCCACCGTCAATGTGTGCTACCGGACAAAAGATAGCCGACTAAGAAGGAGTCTGGTGTTGCAGAAGTGTCCCGAAGTTGGCGGCCTTGGTAGCCAAAGCCTTGCAGCAACAAGCCTGATGACGATCAGGTTCACAGTACATTGCGCTACCCAGCATATTAAAGAAGCCGCTGTGATGCAAGCATACACAATCAACGAAGTGGATTCTCTGCGTTGCAATTCTCTACGTAGCAACGAAATGGCTTGGTCTGCCAGCTTTCCGGTGAATTGCCAAGATGTTTAAGGCGCAACGTGTCAGCTGACCTGCGAACGTTCCCAAGATGAAATGCTGCAGCACTCGAGGCAATTAGCCGCAAGCTCGCAGGGTTATCATCCCTAATTGCAGTTGGCCAAGCAACGGTGAGCACTTTCCGGCATGAACATCTTGCAGGGATCTACGCAGCGATCACCACAATCTGCGTAGGGCTGCGCCGGAGACCAGTCTGCCGAATAGGAGGAAGTGTGTCCAGGGGGGCCCACAAGCATTCTGCTTTCCAAAATAGGCAGCCGGCCTCCGGATAAGGTGAAACTGGGAAACCCTTGTAATTACCCAATGCTAAGTCCAGAGACACAGATTTTGCATACTTCTGAATGCAACAAACTGCAATGTCTTTATTTCCTCATGTGAAGCATTGGGTGATGCGTGAAACCGGCAGCTGGAACCAATGCCAAGAACTCGCACGCAGCCTGCAGGCACAGGGAGGAAGCAGAGAGGAAAGCTAATTTCGTTTTACGGGATGTGTCTTGTCCGCCCGGCGGGTCGTGACCAGTGTACTCCTACCCTCGCTGATACATAATTGGGGGACCTCGTTTGAACAAGTCCCCTACGCAGACGTCACATGCGGAAGCCGTTGGCTCAGAGACTCTGGCATGGGGGGACACTAGGACACCGGTTCGCCTGGGAGAGTTAAATTGCGCAATAAACGCCGCAACAAGCCATCAGACTCCCACACGCCAGACTCCCCAACTGGACCTCGAAGTGTCAAAATCCTAGCTGCAGTTCAACTTGACACAGTGCTCGGTCCTGACCGCTGCGCAGGACAAGTTGCTCGCAGTTCAGCTTGAGCCCCAGACCCTGAAACCCCTAAGCTACCTAAACCTGCCCCAAACTGCACTCATGGCTCAACCAATGCCTAGGCGCCACCGCAGCGCCGACGGCTGCTCGAGGATGCCGTGCGTCCCGCCCCTTCGGTAAGGAAGCGGACCTTGAACTGTTCGGAGTCGCGGCTTTGGAGTTCGTTGGCGCTTTGAGGTGCTTGGAGTTTGCAAGGCCAACAGCTGCAAGATGAAGGGTTGAAAAGCTAAAGCACAGAAAGTTTGGCTCCTAGGCCAACGTGCATGAATCAAATGAATTATAATCATGCTGCCGGGCTTTGAGGCTGAGAAAGATACAAGCACCGCGCTATTTCCCAATGACGAGCGGCGAGCTCTTGGGAAGCCACCTGAAGGCCGGCCTGGGAAGCTTCTGACGAACGCATGCTCGTACCCTGGAAATCGTTGAAGTCTGGGCAGCAGGCGCAGCCTGGAGGGTATGTCTCCTGTATCGACGGTTCCGGTGAGGGCGCGACAGAGACGGCAACAGAAATAGTGGTTGCTTCACTCCCTACACCATGTTACACGCCTCGGCGAGGGCACCGGAAGATTGGACATCCGCACCTGTCGCTTATGGTTTAAAGTTTAAAGGTTAATTTTGTACAAGTACATATGGGTTTGGGTTTGTGCACAAGCGGCGAGTATCATCCTCAGAGGGGTGCCAGAAAGAAACGATCAGCTACTTCCCTCCCGTATGCAAACCATCTGCAGTGCGAAGTGCTTTGCTTCGGCCAGGCATTTCTGTCCCACAAGCTTCCGCGGATCCCTTCCACGACCCGTTATTTTTGTCCGCATTCTCTTCTGCCCCCTCCTGCCGCAAGGTTTTGTAAACGATGTTGCGAGCCTTAAGTGCTCAGCACCGATCATGCAAACGAGCAAGGCTGTGGCTCGAAACTTCACATTCGCAGCTTGGAGTTGAGCACAAACTGACTCTAATCCGGCCGGCTTTTCGGTTGAACACATGCATGAACGTAGAGTTTAGTGCTGGGTGTGCTGTGTAGTGCTTTGACAACCAAACCCCTACTCAGCAACAACAAAATTAAAGACATCAGGGCAATGACAAAGTGAGTGTGAACGGCTTACACGTTTGGAGGTGGAAATCGGCTGGCACCCTTGCACCGAAGGACACGAAAGGCAAGACTACTAGTGTGTTTGGCTCAGCGCACTTTTGAGAAGCTTCCGTCCTCGAACATCCCTCGCTGGAAATGTTGCGCCGCGCTCTCAATGCTGAATTTCGGTCGGGAAGGAAATGACATCTGTCGGGTTGGGGCTACACGGGTATTGGCGCCCACGTGTTCCCACCCAAGCCACACACACACTCTCTCGCATCGACTTAGCCGACTGAGCAAGCATAACATAAACTTGCCACGGTTGCGATCTCGGCAGTCGAGGTTTTGGGTCTCCATTCGTGGGTTTCGGCTTTGAGGGATCGTTTTGCATGCGCTTCCAGATGCCGTGCTCAGGCTGAGGTCGTATGCCTCCAGCAGTATTTGGTAAGGTTCTGCGCCGTTGGGCCCATGCTCCAGAGGGTGTTGTGTTGCATCGCTCAGCACTTGCGTCTTGGCCTCCCCTGCACACGATCAACCATGTTGAACAAATTGCTCTGCTAGTTTCCTGCGGGTTTCCTTGTGAATGGAGCTTGTGAGTTTCTGTGCATCGTGTGCATCGAAGTTGACTTGCAAGGATTCTGCAAGGACTTGCACAAAGTCTGAGCACAATAAGAAATGAGCATTCCTTGAGCGGAATGGGTTAGCAGGGCTCTGAAAGGTGATGCCAGCGCCGCGCCGCTACCTACAGGATTCTCACAGGACGCCCATGGAACTCCCGGAGGACTTGGGCTGCTGGCCCTGTGATCCTTAAGATCTGAACAGGCTCCCTTGCACCATCCCCCCACCTTTCTCAGCAATCTCACGGACCTCACTTACAATGTTCTGACAAGCTCCCCCCCAAAAAAAATCAATATTGACGTATTCCAGCGGAATCAAGACAGTGGCAATCACGAGCATAGTCTACTTCCGATTTGGTAGCGCGTAAACTTGTGAATTTGGAATTAATGGTCAAAACTCAAAACCTTGGCTAGAATTCAAGTTTAAGGGCGCAACGTTTCGTATAGACAGACACAGAGTGGCCCAGCGCGAGTTTCCCACCCAAGCCTGAGCAGGATTTGCTTTGCGTCCTACAAATACGCTTGATAGGGAGCAGCCACCCTTGTGTCCATGTCCAGAGCCCCCCACGCAGGTGTGAAAATGATGCACGCGGTCAATTTACGTTTCTCGAGCTCCAGCAAGCGATCCAGAATGGGTTGCCTTCCCCCGACTTCCCCCCAAGCCTTGGCCCCCTCAAAACCACACCGAGAGGGAGCTGGGATTCTTTGGGTTTAGGCACAGAACTTCCACCGCACACTGAGCCCCCCAACACATGACCCTGACAGACTTCGAGGAGCTCTGCACTAAAGTCACTAAAGCGGCCCTCATTCTGAAACGAGGCACGGCATTAGAGCAGCACCTTGGCGCCAACGATCCTGGTGGCATCACCCTCCATGGATGCTTTGCCAAGGATTTTCAGGAGATGCAGTGCACCATCCTCCCTCAGAGCTCGCGACTGCTGAACTGAACTGCCGCATGACACGGAACAGTTCACGAGTTTATGCCAGTGCCTTGTCCCTTACCGTTCCGGCCCCGGCTCCCTGAGCAGGCAGAAGAACAAGTTTGGCCGGTGCTGATTTACAAGCGTCCTGCGCAAAGCAGTCATGATCCGACCGCTCTTTCACGCCAGACCGACCTACTAGCGCACTGGCCTTCGCCCTGGGAGATCGGGCGCTCATCGATGGGTGCCTCTGCATAGTGAAGGAACAACGAATGCTGCAGACCATGCTGCAAATTGCAGAGCCGCTGCTCCCGCCACTTCAGAAGCAGCTCAACCCAGATGTGCAGCATATTGGCACCGCCGGCCAAGCCTTGCCCTTTGCTTTGCCACCATTCGTGGCCTGGCCGCCATTCCTTGGGGGCGGGAGCCGTGTGGGCCCAGTTGGGTGACACGGACCTTTTGAGGCGAACGGCGTCTTCATTGTCACACAGTAACAATCTTAACATCCGAAGTCGTGAATCCGGGAGCTCAACCTGGGACGCAATGGCAAGAATGGGAATCGCCAGTGGGCCAGTTCCTAGGCCGTGGCCACCCATGCTGCGCAGATCTGCAGCCAACAAGACGGTGTGCTGCAGACTCGCCACCCAAACGTCTGATTCCCCGACCACGACGTACCCAAACAAAAGAATTGCAAAGGAACTTATTGCGAGTACGAGCACTGTAGCCAGCCAAGGGTGTGTGCACATTGACACAAAAAGATTCAGCTCAGCAACTGTCCGTGCGACACACAAGCCCTTGTGCTCTAGAATGGAATGAAGAGAATATAGGTCCACTCCGGGGCCCACTCTTCGACCCACATGTTCTCACCCAAGCCACTCACACACTACTCTCGCAACGACTTAGCCGACTTAGTAAGCATAAGATATTTCGCACGCACTTCCAGACGCCGTGCTCAGGTGCTTGTGGCAGTGCGGGGTTGTCCTCCTCCCCCAGTAATCTACCATTGTGTCACATGCTGAGGTCGTATGACAGACCGACCTACTAGTGCACTGGCCTTCGCCCTTGAAAATCGGGTGCTCATCGATGGGTGCCTCTGCATAGTAAAGGAACAACGAATGCTGCAGACCACGCTGCAAATTGCAGAGCCGCTGCTCCCGCCACTTCAGAAGCAGCTCAACCCAGATGTGCAGCATATTGGCCCCGCCGACCAAGCCTTGCCCTTTGCTTTGCCACCATTCGTGGCCTGGTTCGTGGCCTGGCCACCATTCCTTGGGGGCGGGAGTCGTGTGGGCCCAGTTGGGTGACACGGACCTTTTGAGGCGAATGGCGTCTTCATTGTCATGCGCCTCTACGAATATGCTGCGGGCAATAGATACAGCAACAATCTTAACAGTCTTAACATCCGAAGTCGTGAATCCGGGAGCTCAACCTGGGACGCAAATGGCAAGAATAGGAATCGCTAGTGGGCCAGTTGCTGCCAAGCATCCGGCTTCCTTTGCCGTGATCCCCCTTGGCCCCCATGGCGCGTAGATCTGCAGCCAATTAAACGGTGTGCTGCAGACTCGCCACCCGAATGTTTGATTCCCGACCACGACGTACCCAAACAAAAAATTGCAAAGGAACTTATTGCGAGTACGAGTACTGTAGCTGCGTGTGCATTGACACACAAAGATTCAGCTGTAATAAAACACCAATATTCCAAAAACAATTTATGATCAAAGGACAAGGATATGATTGTAAATGAGATTTCATTAGTAATACAACACATGCTGCATTCACTTTGTTCCTGTACTTCGTTCACGAGTTTACGCACGAATATTAATACGGTTCATGCGCGTATTTCATTCACTTATAACCGTGTTAATTTGCTGCGTTCACTCTGTTCTCTTCGTCTTGTAAGCGTATTATTATTAGTATTAAAGGGGGCTTTATAAGAAAGATAGAGAGCCCCCGTAATGATATACTGAGTGAACACATGAACTTTATGCTTTAGCTTCACGAATCATCCTAACTTTTGGTTGTTTCATTCATAATGTTCGTGCCGTGCTTTCGTTCTTTCATTCACTACATTACGCACTTCATCACGTTACTCTCTTCACCTTTAGTATCAAGTGGTCTAGCTCTTGGAGATGAAGATAGAAAGCGTGAATTTCAATGAATCCTGAACTCGCGGGCTAAAGCTGTCTTGTTAGGATCCCAACCTCGCGACCTTTCCTATCTTTGCTCACGGGGTAACTTTAAGGTTAGGAAAGTGAATAAAGTGCGTGAGGAAACAATATGAAAAATTAAATACAAAATGTACGTTTACTGTGCTCACTCACTACTTTCTTTCGCTTGTAATCTTATAATTGTATTTCACGGGCGCTACCTGAAAAGAATAATAATGCGCCCACTTCGTTCACTTGTAAACGCACAATTCATGCTTCCTTCGTCCACTGTCTTGATTCAGCTGGAATACGTCAATATTGATGTTTTTTGGGTCCAAGTCCTCTGGGAGTTCCATGGGCGTCCTGTGAGAATCCTGTAAGTAGCGGCACAGCGCACCAGGAAACACACCCTAGAACCTTGCAAGACATACAATATATATGCCATGGTTAGAAGAAAATCTCCAGGACAGGCCGTGTCAGTGAATAGGGCTCCAAGTACAAACAGCTTCCGCCTTGCCTGGTGACCTGCTCATACACCGCGCGCATAGTCATCTTGGCCAAGCTGCGACGCATGTCCTCCCAACAAAGCCCCTTTGTACCCAAATCTGCAGTGAAAAACTACTGCAATGCCAAAATGCACACGTCCTCCTGGTGCTGTTGCACAAACTGGTGGCGCCATGCTTCCACAACGCTACCTCCCGCATCGACGCACAACTTCCTCACTGCCGAATCCAAGCTGCTTGAAACCTGCCTGGGCATCGAAAAGCTCCCACTTCTGTGGATCCGACGGACCACTGAAGGAGACCTCTCGGCAAAACCAGAACGCACACGTCAGAAGCAAGCTCGAATTCGAGTTTGCCTGCCTTGAGGAGCTCCTGAAACCTTCGAGATACCAAAGGGAGCGAGACAAAGAAGTAGCATGAAGTAACAGCGGAATTGTCTTCGAGAAAGTGATCGCGCGACAGAGAGAAGGGAGAGAGAGAGAGAGAAAGAGCGCGCGAGAGAAGGAGATAGAGAGAGAGAGAGCGAACAAAACAAAAACACAACAAAAATAAACAGTTGGCCATGCTGAAGTGCATTCAGGTGGCAATTTTGAAAGGAGCCACGACGGAACGATCAACATGGCAGATTCCGATAATTCGCTGGTGCAAGAACCCCGTAAGCAAAAGATTCTGATGCAATTCCGTCAGGTCAAGTGTGCACATGCTGTAGCTAAGGCGCCACCAAAGATTAATTTACAATGATCAAGGCCGATTTCAGAGCCAGCAACACCAAGCCAGCTTCAGCATGATGACGCATGTGACTGCGCTTGCAGGCAGGGCAACATAATGCTGATGAAGCAGTTTTTGTTGTTGCGCTCATGCAGGGTTGTGAACCAAAGTGCTGCGATGCAAAAAATGTCGAGACGCTGGTCGAATGTGTGCCGTCAGTGTCAGTGATGTCGCAGCTCGGGAGACAACTGCGACGGGACCCATGGCACCCTGTGAACTCAGCATGCGGCAGCCTGCAGATATCGAGCAGCTCGTAAAGAAACTAATGACATTAATTACGTACAGCATGTGAGGGAAGGACTGAGGGGCGGCATATGCTCCGGGTGAGTCCCATCTTCCTTTTTGTTACACCGCTCCAACGCAAGCTTCCGGGATGTGCATTTCTTTGGTTTTGTCGGCTCAGTGAGTGAGACAGGCCGGACTTTGGGGTGGCGGCAACAAGGACAGAAGATCCTTACATAAGTAGTGGCTGAAAGGGGTTGGGGTCGGGTTCTCTACCGAAGGCCTGGCCGCTTCGCCAAAGGACGTAGGCGAACTCTACCTGAAAGCCACCATGAAATGCCAGGCTTACGACTGGGCTGCGAAGGAACTTGATTAAGTAATGGGGCTTCCTCAATTTCCGAATAATATACCTGACTGCGCTTCAGTTCCGCAACGGCAAGAAAGGCAATTTGGCAGCGCTGATCTGACCAGTTTGCGTGCTACACAGCAGCTGCGGCACACAAAGCTGGCGCGGGCCACAGTGTCGGGCTCCGATGAAGTAAGAAAACATGGACTCAGCAAATGTCTGGATTCCTGATATCCAGGAGCTTCTAGGTGGCCTTCTGATTGCAAACAGGGGGGGCCTGAACTCTTGGAACGGCGGTCTTGATTTCGTGTGTTTCGAGGATCCACCCAAGGATAACAGGAGGGCTGATTGTCTTGCATCTCTTTTGCCTGACCCGAGCCCTGGGCCCTGAGTAGCCAACCCCAAGACTGACTCCAACAGAAAAAAACTCGAGCTGAGTTGTGCCTATGAACGTCGCGCTTTGCAAAAATTGAGGTTGATCCCGTAGTCGAGGTCCACATGCCCACAGTTTCCCCGCAGCCTTCTGGCACATCACAGAGATAAACTGAAGCCGGGCTTGGTGCTGCCAACCTCTTCGAGCACCTGCACACCGTCTGGGCTTGGATTGCATGGAGCAGGGCTGGAGATGGGGTTCACACGCCCAGCCTGCCGTCCTACAGCTCCGAAACCGTTGAAGCGGACTTCGAGCACCAGAAGACTCGTGTTAGACTTGAGCGCGTCTGCCAGGGCCTGCGCAGCCTGCCAATGCCAGAAAACCCAGACATGTCACCTGAAGAACCGACCACAACTGAGCCCGGAGCTTCGCGCAGGCATATGTTAGAAACTACGATGTTGTCTGGTGAGAGGTTCTGGTGCGGTAAAAATCAGAAGAAGTGGGCTGTAATAGGCAGTGGAGCCAGCGCTCGCAAGAAACGCAGTGGGCAGCCCCTTGTCGTGAGGGCTGGAAATACATCCACGCACCAAGTGCCATCCAACCCTACGCCGATTCATCCCAAAAACTTCCCCCAAAGCATCCTCGGCCTTCTCATCGAGGTCTGCGAGCTGGTTGTCCATCATGGACAGCTTCTGAAGCGTGGAGTTCTCCTGTAAGGCCTTGCCGAAGGCCTGCAGGGGCTTCCCCCAAAAACAGGACACGCCCACTGTTATCGGAGGAGCAGTCAGATCTGTTTGTTCGAAAGGGATGACCTGACAGAGCCACAGTAGAAATGACATCAGAGTTGCAAAGCATCCTCCACACAGAAGCCACAGCTGGATCGGACAGCTAGCTGGCAGCACAGCACATGACACATGACACAAGCTCGGCCTGCCCTCCTTCGGCTCCGATATTGTTGTTCATGAGATTGAGCTCGAGGAGGCATTTGTTGGACTTGAGCGCGTTTGCCAGGGCCTGTCGTCCCAAGAGCGAAGCACAACCAAGCCTCTTTGTGGTTTCGCAAAAAACGCATGGGCTTGGGGGCCTGCCCTCCTTCAGCGCCAATGCCGTTGCTGTTGACATAGAGCGCGAGGAGGCTTGCATTGGACTCCAGCGCGCTTCCCAGGGCCTAAGCAGCTGAAGCCGATGTTTCGCCGCACAGGCACGTAATTGCAGCTACGATGTCTGATGCGAAGTGCCGGTGTGGGAAAGATCAGCCCCAAGTGTGTGCTTTCATAAGCAGTGCATCCAGCGCTCTTAAGGAACGCGAGGGCTGGAACTACAGCTGCGACTTCAGGCACATGCACACCGATGCCCCAGATACCTCCCTGAAGTTCACCCTGCCTTCCCCCCAGCATCTCCCAGCTGGTTGTTTTCCAGGACCAGATTCTGGAGCGTGGAGTTCTCCGCCAAGGCCTTGCCAAAGGCCTGCGGAGCTTCACCCCTGCAATCGGAGGCTGAGGCCATGAGAACTATTTGAAAGGATCACCTGGCAGCGCCCCAAAGCCACACAAAAGCCATGAAAACCAAACGTCATGGAACCTACAAGTAGCTAGACCTAGAGCTGGCAGCATGGCACCACCCGGCCAGGGCCTGCCCTCCTTCTGCTCCGATGCTGTTGCTGTCGACTCGGAGCTCGAGAAGGGCTTTGTTCGTCTTGAGCCCATTTGCCAGGGCCTGCACAGGTTCTCCAGAAATGTCGCCCATGCAAAGAATTATTGACCGGGAACCTCGCACGCGCGCACGCGGAGATGTGACCTTTGTATGCGAAGTTCCGAAAATCACCCAAGCACTAATCATGCTGCCTGCGCTCCGGCGACTCCCAGCTGGTTGTTGGTCACGACAAGCTTCTGAAGTGTAGAGTTGCCCTCAAGCCCCTCTGCAAAGGCCTGCGCGTTGGGACAAGGCACAGGGTCTCGCCAACGGAAGGTCCACGAACACGTGGGAGAACGTGTAAATGGTAAAATGTAGCACCTAGACATGTCGGTCCAACAGAAACCGATTTCACCGTGCTCCCATGGCAGTCACACCAGACAAGTGGAATGACCATGTTGGCTACCTTCACGGGTCATCACTGGTCGGCCAGCGTGACACACGACCACGCTAGAAGCGAACACTTCTCAGCACAGGTTCGTGCCATCTGCCAGTGCTCAGCTTTATTCAGCCATGCAGAAGCAAAAAGCGAGCTGGCAACACCGCGGAGCACAGGGCACACAACCTGGAAGGCCTGCCCCCCTTCTGCGCCGATACAATTGTTGACCACGTTGAGCTCAAGCAGGCTTTTGTTAGACTTGAGCGCAGAACCCAGGGCCTGCGCAGCTTGCCAAGGCTCCACAGACATGTTGATAATTACCCAAAATCCGCCGAGGCCGTCGGCCTGAGGCGTTTAGGTCTAGGGAACCTTAGATAGGCTGCCCACCCGCTCAACCCCCTGCCAAGGCACGACGCCGGTTTTCTTGACATGGGGACGACGACGCCCCCACACCCCTACCCCTTACCGCTTTACCCATCCCTTTCTCCTCAACTACCCCCTCTGCCACCCTTCCCCTCCTAACCCACCCGCCCCTCCATCGTCATGATTCTTTGTGGGAACCCCTGGCCCTCTCCCGCCCCCGACCTCCCTTACCCACGTGAACCCCTAATTCGCCTCCAAGGCTGCTGCGGGTTAGCGGTCAAATTATAATCCCTGCTTTAGCAGCCCTCCTCTGCGAGGGACGCTATTTGGAAATCAAAGGGGCCTTCCCTCCAACACCTCCGAGCTGGTTGTCGCTCATGTCCAGCGTCTGGAGAGCAGAGCACTCCATGACTTCGGCAAAGGCCTGCGGTTCCCGGAACATAGTCCTATGCCATTGAGGACAAAGCCATCACAGTTAAGTATCATTCTCTGCACCGGGCACACAAGAAGGCCTGCCCTCCGTCGGCTCCAAGACCGTTGCTGCTGACTTCGAGCACACGGAGACTTTTGTTAGACTTGAGCGCGCACGCCAGGGCCTGCGCAGCTTGTCGCCCCTTGTCATGAGGCATTGCATGAATCTACATAAAAGTACACCTATGTACACAGATTGTATGAGTGTATGTTAGATGTACACATATTTACGTGTATGTTAGATGTACATATATGTACATGTGTAATGCCGATTCCATCACCTCCCTGGCAACTCCTTCCCGCCTTCCCTCCGGCGTCTCCGAGCTGATTGAAGGGCATTTGCAGCTTCTGGAGCTTGGAGTTCTCTTCCAGGGCTTTCGCCAAGGCCTGCAAGGCTTCCCAAAAAAGCACGAGGGTTACACTAATGGGAGGGGCAACGCCATAAGACTTGTTGAAGGAGAACCTGTCTCAGTGCCACATGAACCGCCTCCATCAGAACTTTACATCATCCAGCGACGGGGGCCTGCCCTCCTTCTTCTCCGATGCCATTCATGCCGATACTCAGGCAGAGAAGGCTCTGGTTGGACTTCAGCGCGTTTGCCAGGGCCTCTCCAGCTTGCCCCCACGAATTGCTCGTTACGGTTCATGTGACGGAAGACAAGTTGACGCAAAGCAGAGATTGATACCCTCGTACTTGAACCCACGTCCCTGTTGAAAATGAAGACTGGGCAAACAACTGGCAAACATCTACGCCGGCTTCCACTCCTATCCGATGGATTTGGGGGGCCAAAGTCCAACATGTACTTCCACTGCACTTTGCAGCAAAACTTGTTCCCAACCATTCATTTGTGAAAAGCCCCGATCCCGCCACCATGCCAGAAAACAGAGGCAACATGACTCAACAACATGAAGTAGTGGCCCGAGTGGGTTTTGAGGTTCTGGTGGGCCCGTGCATTCGTTCCGTGGCCCAGGGTTCTTGTGCAAGAGCCCCGTCAGGAACCGTCGCACAAGCTTCCGACAAGTAGATGTTTCGGGGGGCAGAAGGTTCTGCCACCAACGCAGAATCCCTCCAGGCACGTGGGGTACTTCTAGCGTGCAGCCTTCACTTTAAGGAGTTTGAAAACACATGTACTTTCGGAATCCACGTGGTGGTTGCATTATCCTCAGGGCTTTGGTCCCTGGAAAGCTTTAGCTTGCTGAGAAGCACGTCCACGGCCGTTTTGGGTTCTTGGGAGTGAGGCCCTTCTCACTTCCTGGAGGCCGCAAAACGCACATGTGCAAATGGCCGACAAGTGCCGCAGCTGGCAATCAACTTCTAGCCAGCAACATTTGCTACAATTTTAAATTCCATGATTATCAGCCGTTCATTAAGTAGTATATTAATTGTCACTGCTGGTATTTGATGATTATATCCTATTGCAGTATTGCATTTTATGTTAGTATCCCTCGCTTATATTCGCATACAACTATGTGGGCATTTTAGTATATTCACATATACTATAGCATTGTTATATTAACAGATTTTATATCATTGTATCATACATTGTTATAGTTACTAGTACTGTTATTGTAGTTCCATATGATAAGATGCATTTTTTCTTATATTGTCCCGCCAACACTGCTGGCCTTTGCCCCCTCGTCTCCGAGCTGGCAGAAGGTTAACTTGAGGAATTGAAGTGTGATGTTCACCTCGAGGGCCTTGGCCAAAGCGACGACCTGCGGCAATTTCCACGCAAAGACACCGTGAGACACCCATGACTGCAGACCGTCTACACTTAAAGAGCTCGACTCAAGAAGCCAGAGCTCGCCAATTGACAATAGAATGGCAGAACTAATGGCACCTCGTGTTGCCAGCTAGACCTGTTTGAGCGTTGGCCATTAACGGCTGAATGTGCTGCTATCGCTGGAGGACTCGCGCTTCCTCAACGCTGCATCCGAACTCGTCGCGCTCACCGAATGAACTGTCATGCTTGGTGTTCAAGCACGCGGCTTGGTGACCTCTACCCAGCAAGACAAGAACAACCGCAACCTTGGTTGGCCATGGTCTGTGTTCATGTCCGGCCATACCGACGTTGGCAGCTTGAGCGCCCTCCGACGAAATCCAGATATTTCAGACAAGGATGCCTGATGGACGCGCGAAATCCCCAAGCTGTGTGAGTTAAAGCCCCCCACGGCCTGGAGGGGCTCGAGCGCGTGCTCAGAAATGTCCAACTCAGCCTCGCCATTGGCCTCCAGGCTATCCATCAGTGCCTGTCGCGCCAATGCCACATCCACAACATGATGGCAATTAAGGGCTTGTCCATATCAAGAATCAAGAACAACAAAAAACGAAGCCGCGGACGATGCCATCAGTCGCACCTGGAAGCTGGGGCCTTCAGTGCTGTCTGTACTCCCTTCCATGGCCTGGGCGGCAGATGTCTTACACTGGAGCCTGGACATGCTATCAATCCAACGGGGTCCTGATCTGGGCAGCCGACGAGTACGGTAGAAAACATGAATGAATTGCAAACCCATAGCTCGGCATGAAACCCTTTCACAATATCAAGCGGCAAGAGGAGAGGACAGACGACTGTAGTTTGTATAGGGCTCGGGATACGTATGCTTTGTCAAGCAATGTCGAAGAGCACTTACGCCTTACCCCCCTTGCGCTCCGTCAACAGGGCATCCAAATCGAAAGCAGGGTCTGGCCTTTCGTTCGACGAACCGGTGTCCCCAAGGCCCCAACACCTACCCACTTGAGGAGCAGAGGCCACGCAAACGACAACTGGCTAGCCAAATTGCTGCTGTAGGCTGCCGCTGATGCAAGCTACGGTCTGCGGGGAGGTGTGGCGGTAGTGAATACTGAAACTTCGAACTCGATGCTTGGGGCTCCTGATGATGCTGATTTCAGCGTGAAAGCATACCGAGGGGCAGAGGTTGATGACGCTGAGGCAGATGAAGATGAACATTTTTATGGCGATGCTCAGGACTCCGCTGCCAAGCCAAGGCTGCAAGCTGCACGCCGATAGAAGGATATGATGATGGCGCCGAGAATGATATGCTAAAGATGCCAAGGATTCTGAAATGAAGGCTACATGAAGGGGGAAGTGGGGGAGGATGTGAAGAGACCTGCAAGCCACAGAGAAGGGATGAGGATGAGGATGATTCTGATGATACGCGCAACCAGCCATCTGTCATATGCACTCTGTGTGTACTGGACGCCACATTCCGGCACATCTTGGTTCATCACAGGTCCGGTAGATCAAGATATTCAAGATGACGGTGTGTTCTGGAATGAGCTGGCGAAGCCAAGCGGAGCTCTCCACATGTCGTGAACTGAACTGCTTACGAGCTGTTCTCTCGGAAAGTATATTCGGTCACATTAGCCATCACGAACTTAGCCACTGCCACTTGTCCCAGCAACTTGACCGGAAGACGTCACGACGCACCATTTTCACTGCGCCACAAGACGCCCATGCATTCAGCCAGCGGTCCCAGATGCGTCGATTGAGGCAGCCCATACAGGTTTTCCATAGTGCAACCATATGTCCACTGGACAAGGGGCCACTTCAACCTGCTACGAGCCTGAATTCCATAGCCAGCGCCGGCCTTCGGGCCTCTCCAACCTCTCCATTTTAGGGTCTGTAGCGTTCATGAAATCGATACGGGCCTCTGATTCCTGGAACTCCAGGGAGACACAACCAGCGCCAGCTTAAGGCTACTGTGCTATCCTTCAGCTCTCTAAAACCCAAAACCCTTGCTTCCAAACTCTAAACCCTACATCCCTAAGCCCTCCCAACAAGTGCTTTCAGAGCGCCAGGTGACTACAACCCTAAACCGCCTAAAAATTATAAGCCCTTGTCTACCCTAAACCTTGCTTTCACAGCGCAGCCCGCGCTGCCGCCGGAGCCTCCGGAAAGGAGGGGAAAGCAGGTTTCCATGGTTTCCGCTCTCTTGCAACGGTGGAGGGTCTCAGGGGGTCCACAAGGCCAGGGTTTAGGGTGGGGTTTCCTTCTCTGACTCGTGCCAACGAAATCTTGAGAGCTCAGGAGTTTTGTGTGTCTGTTTGAGGTTGCCCCCAAGCTTCAGGCCCCTTCGGTGCCTTTTGGTGATCTTGACACCGATCTCTGAATGACACTGATAACTCATCAACTTGAATGTTGAAGTTGTTTGTTTTCTCCTCTCGCGCCCGACTTCTCGAGCAAGCTGTCGCAACCCAAGCTCTCGGTGCCTTCTGTTCCACAACTATTCCACAGCCACCATTTCCGCGGAAGCCAGCGCGTTCGTCTTCCAGAGCGCACAGCATGATGCAGCATCGGCCGTGTCCGAATGCAAGCGCAAGGCAATGTGCCACACGCAGCATCGCTTATTGGTATTCCTCCCAAAGGGGGCCCTGCTGGGCATCACGCAGAAGCTGCATGATGAGCGTTGAGTTTTTGTAGGACTCCTCATCACGCCAAGCGATGCTACCGATGCGATGCTAGGAGTGTTCACCGGGTTCACCTATGCAAGCCCTACAGGATACAACCGGATGCAGAGACCCGAACATGAAGCCTCCGCAACCCTAAACATCCTAAAGCCCTCCTCGTCCAAGTTCTCCAGCTCGTCGAAGGCTTCGATGGCTTTGCTGTAGGCGGCCCTGGCCTTCTTCCGCGCTGCTTCCTTGTCCTTCCTGAGAGGGCACTATGTTCAGGTTCAAACATGCAGTTGAGGGATCCCGAATACTTCACAAAAAAAGGACAAAGCATTACTTTACTTCGAACATCCCCACCCTCTCTTGGTAGAGATACTCTGGGGTTGGGCACTTCAGGGATACTCTGGGGCTGGGCACTCTGGGAGACTCTGACCACTCTGGGGTTGGGCAGTTCAGGGACTTTGGGGTTGGGCACTCGGACACTCTAGAGTTGGGCACTCCAGGGACACTCTGGGGTTGGGCACTCCATGATAGTCTCAACAAGGTGGCGCAAGCAAACAAGACAAACAAGCGCAACAATGCGCAAGCGAAAGAGCCATCCTAGTCTTCCCTCTTCGCCCTGAAGACACTCATACTGACACACAATCAAGTATAGAACCCGTGCGTGAGAAGGAAGGTTGAACATGGCTGGAGGCGCCCGGAACCTTGGGCAGGTCAGGAGCAACGACTGCCAACACTGGCACTTGTATGCGCCCGCTGTAGATGTAACGTTCGAGAAGCCCGCACTCTTGGACCCCAAGAGTCCACATCCCGGATACGTTACGAGAAGCAATCGTGTGGTTGCGCCGCGGATGTGCGCATGTTCTCAGTACGATTTCGGGTTTAGGGTTTCGTTGGTTGGTTTTTTTGCTGATCCCGGAGGATACGGTTGCGGTTTTACGGTGGATCCTTGTTCCCCACCCTCGGTGTGGGGTTGTTAGATGTTAAGCTCTTTAAACTCAACTCTTCTCCTCGCCCGGAAATGATGACGCAGGGCGCCCTTAGCAGCGAGGACGTCGCTGAGGTCGCAGCATCGACAGTGGCACAGGAGGAGGAGGAGGAGGAGGCAAGTGCGGCCGAGAAGGCAAGGAGGGCCACCAGCTTGCGGTGTACACAGCGACGCTCGGAGCAGGAGGGTGGGGGGGGTGGGGGGTGAACTGAGAGCGGCCTCAGGGCCCTGTCCGCCACCACATCCCTCATAGGCTCAACCATGGGCAAACAGCCGACAAAGCCATCCTGACACCTAACGACACCTAAACCAAACCAAAAACAACCCCATGGGGGCTTAAGCGTACAAGGGTTCAGAGAGACGCATGCCGAAAGCACCACGCCTGCCACGTGAGACGTAGGTTTTGCTTCGCAAGTTTCTGAAGCAAGTTTGGACCACGAATTCTTTGCAAACTACTGTTTGGAACCGCTCAAGACTCCAGTTTTGGATGCACTTGTCGCGTGTGGCCAGGGTTTCAGGTTCACAGCGCAAATTCGGAGCACCTTTCTGGAAATGAACATGGTTGTTGGTAAAGGTTTGGCATATGTTGTAAAAAGAGGCAGACCTGCTGCAAATAGCAGTGTTTTGGGCATGTTCGCACAAAGCATGGACACTTGTGACAGCGCGTCGTGTTGCAGAAACAAACATTCTTCTGTAGTATTACTTTTCAACAAGGCAAAAACGCTGAACATTCCAGCACTGCTGCAAGTGTCATGGGCATGGTTAGAGTAACATGGTCGTAACCATGCCCTCCCCCCTCCTACCACGAAAAAAGCAGAAATCTATTGCGGGCCGCGCCCCGTTTACAAAAATGCCTAAACAAGATACATGAGGTGTAGCGGATTTTGTGTGCAAACATGAAAGCGACAGCTTGCCATCCTGGAAACAATTGGCAAACAGCGGAACCTAAAACAAAAACCCAACATGCAAAAACAAGTTTCAAAACTTAGTTGTAGGGAATTTCGCGCGCTATACAAGCGAAAGCTTGCGCCCGGCGGCCGCATAAGGGGACTCTTATCGAGTGCTGTAGTGCGTTTGCCGTTCACGCGAACTGGCTTTCTCATTTAGCTAAAGTTGGGAAATAGTTTTGGAAAACTACTTCGTGCACCTCACATACGCTGAGGAGGACGCGCAGGAGAGTCAATTCTGCGGTAGTTGGCACGGGCAACCTATTGAGGTCTCGGAGGAAAACATTACAGCTGACGATTCCTGCATACGCGGTTTTGTCATCACTACTGTCACGTCTCTTGGTGTGTGTGATGCTCTTTCGATCGTTGTCGCTGCCTCTACCCGTGGTTGTTTCCATTTGCAGATCCTCCAGTAGCACTCTGCTGTGCAACAACCAATACATAGTCGCAAAACCATGCCAAACCCGAAGCTGTGAATGCCGAGAGTCATGATGTCCAGCAAGAAAACGGCATAGTTTAATGCAACAGCTAGTCGGATTGGATGCGTGACAGGCAACTTTGTTGCCAAACGCTCTGCTTCGCCATAGGTCTGTCGAGCCCTTTCGCGCGCATAAGAGTCGTCAAAGCCAAGCTCCGCCATGTAGCGGTGGTAGTCGGCTTTCATTTTCAGGTAAAACACAAGCGATTCAGGATCCGACGCACAAGGAATCAAAGCGCTATCCAGCAGGTAGAGGGCTGTGGCAATGAAAGCTTCCAGTTCATCATTCAACTGTTGGATATACTCTTGGGCAAAGACCGCAACCGAATCAGCTTCCTCGGCATTGGCTGCCTTGGCTGCCTTCTGCACAGCAGCCACCGCACCACGCCGGTCGCCGACGCTGCGCTTGAACGCCACGGAGAAGAGGTTTCTCTCCTCTTGCGTCAGCTGCGGCCCACCCTTGACGACTGCCTTCATGTGTTCGACCATGTCGTCGAACCGGTCAAGGAGCTCCGCAGCTTTCGCCAGGAATACGTTCTTGCGACGAAGCTCCATTCCACATGGCAAAGTGTCAGCACATGAGACGCAGCTGACTTGATCCACGGGCAGCTGCGGGAAACAGTCATATGTGTAATACATTATTCTTGGCTTTACTACTATCATCGTCTTCATTCTCACTATCATCGATATCATTATCATAATTGTTCTTAGTGAGATTCCCCAGACTCGGCCTTGTCGTGCTTGCCTGCATTGTGCGAGCGTGAGGAGCAAAACTCTAAACCTTGAAGCCTACGATTCGGGAACACCGCCAGGTGCTCAGACAGCCGTTTCTGGAAGCTAAGATGCTAGAGCCCTGGACTTCGGGCGAAAGGGTGCATTCAGCTTTGCATTTCTCAGGTGTCTAGACGGAGACAAAACCGACACATATTTCATCGAGTGCGTGGCAGATACTGCAGATGAAAAGGGAGTGCATTAATGCAAAGAACGAGCAGGAAATCGGGCAGAATTGGGCAGAAAGTCGGGCAGGGCTGGGATATACATAAAAAACAATGTGTGTATGTATATAAATAGATATCCATTGCGCGCGCTTTTGCACGCGCACGCACGCAGAGGAATATATCTAGGGTTTCGGCTGTCGCTTCCTGTTCTTTCTTCTCTTCTGCTTCCTGTTCATTCTTTTGTTATTCCTTTTATTCTTTCTTATATTCTTCTTTTTCTTCTTCTTATTGTTATTCTTCTTTCTCTTTTTATTCCTTGTATTCTTATTTGTTCTTTTTTCTTCTTATTGTTATTCTTCTTTTTCTTCTTCTTATTATTCTTATTCTTTGTTTTTCTTCTTTTTTCTTTCTTTTTTATGATTATGTCTTTTCTTCTTCTTCTTGTTTTTATTCTTTCTGTTCTTCTTCTTTTTCTTATTCTGTATTTTCTTATTATTCTTCTTTTTCTTCTTCTTCTTCTTCTTATTCTTTCTCTTCTTCTTCTTCGTTTTCTTCCTTTTCCCTTTCTTCTTGTTCTTCTTCTTTCTTTACTTATTACGTCCCGACTCCCTGCGCTCCCTAAACCCCCAAACCCAAACCCGAGATTCAGCTTTCAGACGGCCAGGCCGGCCCGTGCCGCAAGGCCTTTAGATATTACATGATAGGTTATTACATTGTCGTGCGTGATACTACGAGTATTGCATTGTATTGCACTATATTGCATAATATCGAAAATTCTATATTCTTAATTGAATCTAGAAATCGGATGAAAACTACGACCGAGAACCCAACACTAAAATGGGCTTTGCTGAAGCTGCGACGGCGCATCGTCCCCAAGGAATCTGAATGAAAGAGCCCAGTGATTCCCACATCAACGTGTTGTTTTGAAAGCTTACGGATGCAAGGCATGTAAGGTCAGCCTTCGTGCTCCCTCCAGGCAGCTGCCAGCAGGCTCTCTCTCTCTCTCTCTCTCTCTCTCTCTGTATATCTCTCTCTCTCTCCGTCCTCATGCTTCAGGCTTGGCCTTGCCATATCTCAGCACGCGTTTCCGTGTCCTGCACCAGGCTCTATCCAAAGTTGGGCGTGAGAGCTGGGAGACCATTGCACTGCAAACGAGAATAGGCCTACAACAAAGCTTTCTTTACCCTCCTCCGGACACGCGAAGAGCCTTTTCCGATCACAAGCAAATTCACCGCGGAGCTGTGCTGCACAAGCGGAGGGCAACAATCGACTGTACCGTTGTGACAAGCCGGCGCTGGAAAGGATGCTCCGTTCGATTCGCATGAATAGCGGATAGCAGCGGCCTAGAGCTGGTTCTTTTGGGAGAGGCATTAGAACTGGTCGACCCTTTCAATCCCATTCACATCCGTTCCGTGCACCTTCACAACTGACACGCTTGACCCTGCGATTTGACCTTTACAAGTAGCAACCTATCTCTCGGAGATGCTGCTCCAACCTGTCACGGTTGTCGACTCCGGCAGGTTCAATCTTTCAAGCCCTCGGCAGTCAGCGCGGCGCAAATTGCAAGCGAAGAGCCCTCCATCCAGATTTCCCTGCAGAACCTGCTTCTGAAAGGAGAGTTTCCCCGTGGCTGACCAGTTGATCAGATCCAACGTGACATCATCTTGACGCGCAAAGTTGTAGTCTGGGAACCGCGAAGTGCAAAGCAGCACGTGGTCTTGAAGGAAGTGGGCTCCTCTCGTTCGCTGCGGAGTTTTGGGGATGATCGCCCTCTGGCTGCCCCAAAAGTTCTGGCCCAGCTCATATGCAAAGACCTCGTGCTCCCACGTCAGGAGACAGTGCGTGGCGTTGCACGACATGCACTCCACATTCTCATCGTGATAGTAAACGGGCACACGGGTGATCTGGCCTTGCTGGACATCTATCCTGTACCTTCCACATGTGCCGCGGAAGCGAAATCAAACATAGACTGACTCGACTGGTACCTTAACAATAATGGTAACAAGGCCAGGGCGCACACTGATGCCTGCAAAGATCTCTCCGTGGTCATAGGTGCTTCGCAAGGTGAGCACATCTCCCTCCGCATGCATGCTGAAGACGCCTCGACTGGTTCGCCTCCAACCGTGTGCTTCCAGCCTGACCACGCAAGCAACAGCAGCAAGCTGCACTTTCTGGAGTCTAAGGGGGCCATGGGGCCTGAAATATGCCCGGCTGAGTCCCCTCCCTCATCACATGCGCATCACTAGGGCAGTTGGTTTGCAACATCTGGAGTCTACCGTCCTGCCTCGTCAAGTGCGCACAGTCACTGGGGCAGTTGATTTTGCAACATCTGGAGTCTAAAGGGTGCCATGTGACCATGTGGCCGAAGATATGCCCAGCTGATTCTCGTGCTCCCCTCCTGCTTCGCCAAGTGCGCACAATCACTGGGGCAGTTGGTTCTGCAACATCTGGAGTCTAAGCAGGCCATGTGGCCGGAAATGTGCCCAGCTGATGCTCATGATGCTCAGTCTTGAGTGGGCCATGTGGCCAGAAATGTGCCCAGCTGATGCTCATGATGCCTCCCTCCTGCCTCGTCAAATGCACGCAATGACTGGGCAGATGGTTTTGCAACATCTGGATCTAACGGGTGCCACAAATGTGCCCAGCTGATGCCCATGATTCTCCCCTCCCGCCTCGTCAAATGCACGCCATCACTGGAGCAGTTGGTTTTGCAACATCTGGAATCTTAAGGGGGGTCCTGTGGCCGGAAATATGCCTCATGATGCTTCCCTCCTGCCTCAGCAAATGCTCTCAACCCTGAAACTTTCATGTGAATGAGCTACATCTCTACGTGTTCTCTACAGCGCTTGGGGCCTGCCGATGTGGTGCCCGAGCGAGCTGAGGATGGTCACTTCAATCTTGTTTCCTGGCATCCAGGATGCCACGGCAAACCAGCCTTGGCCTTGTTGGCCTTGGCCTTGCAGAGACCCGACCACTGAACCGAGGTGCACGTGTAGACCATCTTGGTCACGCTCGAGCACAGGCTGCAACCCTGCCACTGTATTTCGGATGGACAGCCTCCAATCCGAAAGGCCTGTGCTGGTCCTGTCTGGAAAGGTTTGCCACACCTGCTGACCATCCGCTGCCAAGTGCAAAGCCACACAAAAGCCAACAGGGCTTTGGCTCCGTTCAAGTACGCAGGGGCCTTCCGCTTGGCAGGTCAAAGTCTGCGAAATGCCGTGGAGGATCGCACCAGCGTTGCCGAGATGCTGCACTGAGATAGACTTGACAGGGTTGCCAGTTTCGAGCGAAATGACTTTTATGCAGCTCTTGTCGTAGGGCCTTGGAGGCGAACAAGCTTGCTCAGAGGAAAGGCTGCCTATTTCATGGGGCCTACGCATAAGGACGGCTTGCACCAGAAAGCCACAGCGCCCGCCTACTCCCTCATCGGTGTCTTAGTTCCCTCTAACTGAAAGCATGCACAAGTTCAACGTTCACAATGCTGGTATTTAGTAGTACTGCATGTAGATGTACCTGCATCATGGGCGATAACTATGGCAATTTGCGAAGGTAACATCGCGACGCCATGCTGGCGGGCAAGTTCATGTATGAGATCCCTCTTGCAAGCAGGCGTCTGAACTAAGAGGTGCGGCTTGTGCAGAAACGCCACAATGTTGGCCGAAGCAGACGCGGGGAAGTTGCATCTTCGCAGGAGGGTGTACACCGCGCGCGGACTTGGTTCCATGCTGCGTGTTTCAGTGGTGGACGTCACTGAGTACTGAGTTGGCACTTTGAGAAACCTCGGCATTCTAGGTCTCTGAGATTTGCCACCTCGGCTGCAACTTCCTGTGTGTGTGCTCTTAGCTTCCTTAGTGCCACATGTGTTGATTGCACACCTCTACCAATCAGTCGCGCTTGAGCATATCAGGGCAGACACCCGAATAGTGGCAGCGCTGGCTATTGACAAGCAATTAACTCAAGACATGTGGTCGCTTCGGCTGGCTTTGCGGTTCCAAGCAAGCTGTCAGAACCCCTGCACTGCACTGGCCGGGATGGCCTGCGCCATCGATGGACAGGTAAGATCAGCCTGCGACATTCGCACTTGCCATGTCTTAGGGGAGCATCTACAGCAGGGCCTGCGATATGCAAGTTCTGCCAGGTCTTTCCAAGTTCTGAAAAGCGGAGGGCAGTGCTACTCTTCATGGCGGCCTGCAGCCCGTATAATATTTCCCACCTCCAAGCCTCCAGGATACTAGAATCTTGCTTCTAGGAACCCCCAAAATTCGGGCACCCTATTCGGAGAAACCTCCGCATGCGTGAACTGAACATCAGCCTCTAGCCGACTCTAGCTCATTCTCTCTCTACGTACAGGAAGGCCAAGCGTGACAAGGCCGCAAGAGTGAAGACGATGCATGCTCGTAATGACGGATGCAAAGATACCTGACCATGGAAGGAGGTGCCTGATTCCGAACAGCCTCAATTCAACCCCTCGTTTGGGTCCAAGCTGTAAGGGCAAACCTCCTGGCCAGGGACCTGACCCACCCCAAAGAATCTCGGCTCTAGGATTCGTCAGGATGGCCTTTGCCAGCTGGCGCAGCCACAAGGAAAGCCTTTGGGCCTTTAGAAAATGATGAATGCTGATGCTGCTAAGATAAGCTCTTGCTGCTGCACTGATGGCTTGCTTGTCGTTCGCTTCTGATTTCCGTCAATCTCCGCCGTTGTATCATGCGCTGTCCCCACTACGAGTTCCGCAAACAAGTCCTTGCTACTTCACTCGCTGCGATCCAGAAATATCCGTGTGCTCAACAACGTCCATGCACCGTTTCATCCGCCTCAGCCGAGTTAGATGAATTTAGACCTGCGTGCTTAGCCGCCGGCTTTCGCAGCAAAGCTTGCAAAAACAGGCAAAGTAAAAATAACGAAAACCAGTGGACCTCAACTCAGGCCAGAAACATCAAATAGCAAAAACCTCCCAACCCCACACCCCTGATAAAGCCAAAAGTCACGACGTTCGAAGGTCAATATCTGAAACGGCTGGCATACCGTAGCGTGGGATCTTTTCTGCCAATGCTTTTCCAGCTGCTGCAGTCTTGGCGGGTGACTAAGGCTCATAAAGGCTGCAAGCTTGCATTCTAGGGGGCGAACCTTGAGTTACATGACAGCACGTGGATTACCGTGGATTCCTCTGCAGGTGATCCTTAGGATCCTGATGAAGCTTGCACTGGAGAAGGGCCCACAAGCTTCGCTTGCAGGTCTCATAGTTGTACGTGAACCGTTTCGGCGTTGCTAGGCCCCTCCTCTTTCGAGGAAGCGGCGATGAAGCGATGATGGTGATGGTGCTGCCCTATCGCGCCCAGTGTCGCCATGAAGGAAGTTTTCTGGGAGCCATGTCTCGAGCGCACGATCTCAGCGAAGCGGCCGGCCCGGGCAGCGATGTCATCCATCTTCTCCACGCCCAAAGACTTGTCTGTGACGAAGATGTCCTCTGCATCCATGTGTTCCTTGGTGGCCCGCCGGCAAATCGGCCCGGGATGGGCAAAGCAATGGCAAAGCTTTGTGCGTTTGGCCGCGAATCGAGAAAAAAAAGTGTCATTGCACGAACAGCCATGCTGAGGCTTTTGGGACCCTGGGTTCAGCATGCCTGCACACATCAGGAAGCATTAACTCCGGAGATTTGGGGATCACATGCACAGTTCCCTGTTGCAGATCGTGCACTGTCCGGTCGTTCCTCGGCCTCGACCTGTGGTTCGATGACTTTCAGGAGACAAGACTTGCGAAACGTGCGAAAACTCCAAAGTTCAGTGATGAAAGCTTACCACCGCTTTCGGGAAACCTGCTTGAACAACTTAAAGATGCCGGGCTTCAATCTCGCCAATGACCAGGATTCCATAAATTTGCAAATACTGCCAAAGCGGATTCCCGTGCTGTTTTACGAGGCTGCAGAACTTCTCACAGATGATGCCGTTGTAATATGCCGTCGTGCCGCAGTTTGCTGTGAGACGGCCACGATGCGACCATTCCGCCCAGAGGCAAGGCAGGCACAGCACGTCTCCAGCATGAGCGGGCTCGGATTCGAAGGTGCTGAACTGTCTCGCAATGTAGCCAAGCTTGCCTCAAAAACGGGTAAAGAAGCCCAAACGTATAGGCTACCCGTAGCCCTAGCTGTAGGGCCTACGGCTGGCTATGCGTAGGCCTGTCGGCAGAGTCTGCGGCAGCCTACGCGTAGGCCTATCCGTAGGCCCTCGTGTGGCCTACCCGTAGACGTATCAAAGGGCCACGGGCAGCCTACGCGTAGGCCTACCCGTAGGCCTGCGGGTAGGCTGCCGGTAGGCCTATCCGTAGGCCTACGGGTAGGCTACCGGCAGGCCTACCCGTAGGCCTATGGGTAGGCTACCGGTAGGCCTGCCCATAGGCGTGTAGGTATGCTACCGGTAGGCCTGGTCGCAGGCCTCTAAGTAAGCTATCTATAGGCCGACCCGCAGGCCTACGGGTAGGCTACCGGTAGGCCTACCCGCAGGCCTACGGGTAGGCGACCGGCAGCCCTACCCGCAGGCTTATACGTAGTCGAGGCATAGTAGTAGTGATGATCTCGGGGCTGGGGCTCGGGCACAAAAAGGAGGGCCTAAGAGTCCATGCGTGCGTGATTTCCTTTACGGATGCACATGATGTCTCGGGTTGAGAATTATAGGGAGCAGTTTGACGCGTGCTTTCGTCGTTTCTCGAGTCCTGGGGCTCGGTCGAGGGCCTCGGGCGTACGCCCTGGACCGAGCCCCAGGACTCGAGAAACGACGAAAGCACCCGTCAAACTGCTCCCTAAATTCTCAACCCGAGACATCATGTGCATCCGTAAAAGAAATCACGCACGCATGGACTCTTAGGCCCTCCTTTTTGTGCCCGAGCCCCAGCCCCGAGATTTTCACTACTACTATGCCTCGACTACGTATAAGCCTGCGGGTAGGGCTGCCGGTCGCCTACCCGTAGGCCTGCGGGTAGGCCTACCGGTAGCCTACCCGTAGGCCTGCGGGTCGGCCTATCGATAGCTTACTTATAGGCCTGCGACCAGGCCTACCGGTAGCATACCTACACGCCTATGGGCAGGCCTACCGGTAGCCTACCCATAGGCCTACGGGTAGGCCTGCCGGTAACCTACCCGTAGGCCTACGGATAGGCCTACCGGCAGCCTACCCGCAGGCCTACGGGTAGGCCTACGTGTAGGCTATCCACAGCCCTACTGGTAGGCCTGTCAATAGGCGACTGGTAGGCCTACAGGGAGGCCTACCAGTAGCCCACTCGTAGGCCTACGGATAGGCCTATAGGTAGCCTCGCATAGCCTCTACGTAGGCCTGTACATAGGCTACCCGTAGGCCTAGGGTAGACCTACCCATAGGTCCGACGTAGCCTTAGTTTCGGGCTTCTGTATGCAAAAACGAAACTCTCATCTGGTGGGCTAGCTATAAACATGGACTGCATGTAGACTTCATGGCGCACACACGCACAACATCCTGCTCAAAGCTCGTCTGCTGGGAGCACTGCTCTAGAAACCTTTGCCGAAGTGCGTGGCATGACATGCGCTTCCTTCTTTCGGCATAGGGTGTATTCAACTCCAAAACCAACCATCCGATTGTAGGTGTTTGTGTGCTTGTGCTCGCGAACCGTTAAAGTTACCTGATGTTGCGTTGCGAAGAGCAAGTAAGTTCCTCGCTCGCGTTTCTTGCTGTTTGTTGCTGTCCTCAGCCCTACGAAAAGGAGCAGGTGCAGGCAACCTTGCAAAGCTAGGGCAGCTCACGAGCAGGCAAGTCCTACACGACATCCTGGCCCAAGGCACCCGCATGCCAACACGCATTCGCACTGTTCTCCAGTGTCGTGTGCCTTCGGGATTTCAGGTGTCGTGTCGGTGGTGCCTTTCTCGGCTGTGGCCCGGCATTCCCAAAGGATGTACCACTCAAGTTTGCAACTATTCGACCCTTGGATCTTCTGGCATCCGATGGTTGAAGCTCGGCTCCGCCAGAGTCTTTCTTGGCACACGACTTAACCCAACGCCCCAGCCCCGCAGAACTCCTGCTCCGCTGATGAAAAAAGCATACGTATGAACCTGCGTCCATCTTCTCCTGTTGGTTTAGCTCTTTTGCTTGCTCGTCTTCGATCACCGAAGCGTTTGCATCTACACGGCCCGCGTGGAAAGACGCTTGAATCCCTCGAACCCTTCTTGGCTTCCGATGGATTTCGGGGGCCGGAGACTTTTTTCGCGCTCTGAAGGGCTCCCCTTTAGTCCCTGAGATGCTGAGATGCCTTGCTCGAGGACGTACACCTCCGTGCATTCGGAGCCGGGCATGAAGGCATCTTCTCCAGGAGAGGCGACATGCTCCACAATGGCGAGGTGACAAAGCTGGCGGTGGATCAGCAAATCCTCAGCTGTGGGCAGCCCTGCACCTGTTTTTGGCAAGTCTTCATACCATTTCCAACCTTCGACCTTTCTGCACAGCTGGGGCTCGTCCTCATGGCTCCATTTATGCCAAATGCTCAGGGCCATCAGGGAGTTCATGAACATCTCCTCGTGGAGGACCACCTGAGCTCATGCTTCGCCGCGGAGACCCCAAAGCATGCCGCATGCCTCATTTTGGACTCAGCGCCTTCAAGTTTTCCGGAATTCCACCCAGAAGTCGGACCTCCGCCTCCTTGAGCCGGATGTCGTACAATCCCTGCCTCTTCAGCGAATCGTTAATCTTGGCGTAGGTGTCGGTGGAGAGGTTCCTCGCTTTTACCGGCAGTTTCTAAGTCTGCTGAGCCCTACCATGCCCTGCACGATCTGAGAATCTCAGCTCTTGAAGCCTTTGGTTCTGTTCCAAGGCTCCGCTCATTGAAAAAGCGCACCAAAAAGGAGTGGTGCTTGAACTGCTCGGACCTCGACGCCCTCAAGGTACTCACTGTTGCGGTGATGGAGCTGATGAAGGAGGAGAATGTGCCCATCGCAAGGAGGATCACCCAAACAGCAAAAAACCTGGTGCAGGTCGCCAGGGAGGAGTTTCAAAAGCTTTGCCTCTTTTTTGTCACAAATTGTGGGAGCAGGATCAGCTGCTATACACTTCATGCGCCTAGTTTGCAGATTTGTAGGTAGCCTTGTCTTGCTTCGGGCAAGTCTTCTGGCCGACAGGCATATTAGAATCTACCGCGGTATGGCCACCGCCCTATTTCTGGCTTTGAGCCTTCTCCTGCTGCCGAACCCGGTGTTGCACTGGCAACTTTGCCTTTTGCCTCGGCACACACAAGCGGACACCCCCATACACCCGCACACATCCACACACCCACCCGCACCCACCCACCCACACCCGCCTACCCACCCACGCATGCAAGCACGCACGCATGCACATTCACATTGGTGGCTTGACTGAAGTTATGCATCCTACCGCGTGCCTTTGACGTGCTATGAATGCTGCTCTAGGGAAATAGCAGCTCCAGCTTTGGCAAGGAAACCTCTCCACGAAGTTTACCGGCGCCACGTTATTGGTTGCCGGTGTGAACTGTGTCAATGCCCAGTGGATACTCGTCGCGTAGGAGTCCGAGAAGCCTGCATCCTCGATGCCTGCGTTGAGGAGCCAACTGCTACCACCTTCCATTGTCCAGCGCCCAAGGCCGAACCAGCAACAAGCGATGATGTGGTTCACTGCCAGAATCATGCATAGTCCAGACACTACTCTCATGACCATGAAGGCATAGGTGGAAAGGAAGCTGTTTGCCAGCTTGGTCAGCTCACGCTGCAGCTTCGCCACTCGTAGAAGTCGCAACAGCCGCAGCAGCCGCAAAGTCCTCAAGTAGCGGGCCGAGCGCGCAGGGGCGGGTGCGCGCGCTGTCAGCACTTCCAGTACCAGGAGTGTCGCATCAATGGAAATCACCAATGTGTCGATGCAAAACCAGGACCGCAGATACATTTTGACCAGCTCCATCGGACGCAACTCGAGATGCCCGTCTACCTCCACTCCAAAGATGATGTGCAGAGGCATGTCCAACAACCAATATCCGAAAGTGACCCTCCCCACGATCAGCAGAACGGAAATCATCTGCTCGTGGTCGAAGAGCTCCAAGGGAATCGTAATCATGTCCCACACAATGAACATAACACCCAGGACGGACCAAGCAATCTGAAGTTTGCTGCTGGGCTTTTGCACCATGGGCTGAATGCAGGACCTCCCCACCGAGGCATCTTTCATGCGAGGACCGTGTGCGGATGAGGTGGATTTAAAGACTTCGGTCTTTTCGCGCTTCAAGGCGTGGTGTTGCAGGGCAGCCTTCCAGGGGGAACGCATGGTCCTGAGTCACATGAGTCACATGGTCCAAGGCTGCTCGAGGCATTTGAAGCCTTGTCAAACCCATTAAGCCCAGAATAGTTCTTCTGTGTGCAATCCGAGAAGCAGGATGTCTTTGACATACGAAGCGACCTCGTCGTCCTCGCTCTCGGACTCGGCCTCCTCAAAGGCCACCAGCAATTTGGAGGTGAGGGCGGCCCAGTTTCTCTGTGGCTCTGACCTGCCCAAGAGACCATTTGAAGCCGTGGAGTCACGACTGGGTTCCGTCCAAATCTGCAGCGGCTGGCCATCATCTTGACTCTTCACATGGCTGCTTACGTGGCTGCCCACGTTGCTCAAGAAGCCGCTGTAAAGGCTTGGCTGCTGAGAGCCGCCCGGCAGCTCTGGTGGTACTTGCACCCATTGCACCCTAGGCTCTGGATTTGCGTGTTGCATCTCAAGCTGGTGCTTCTGCACCAGCTTCTCATACCTCAGCTGAGCCGTGAGACAGTGAGAAGCATTACACAGGCGGCAGCATGGCCCCACACAATTCCACACTATTTCTCAAAGACACAGCTCCGCCAGCTCGCTTTTCAGAAACGCTGCATACCCGCCATCCTCTGCCATGTCGGCCAGGCACAGCAAAGACCTCAAAAAGAACTGCGCCTGGCTGAAAATGGCTGAGGCTCGATCGTAAGACGTAAGACACCAACCACGGCGAGGTCCTTTTGGTAAAGTATGTGAGCACAGACCCAGCAGGGTCTTTGGAACTTCGTAAGGGCTCTCACTGACACAGGCAAAAGCTCCAATCTACACCTGCTGCAAGAAACCCAAAACCCTTCTGTACTGCGCATTCCTAAGCTGGCGAGGAGTACTACATGAGATACTCGGCGAACTTCTTTTCCGTCAGACGTGAATGACTTCGCCATGGTCGGCTGCCACCGCGTGGATGAGGCTGAAGGCCCAGAGGACTGCCGAAGCCACGAACTGAGAAATTCGGAGGTTTAAATGGACTTGAGGCTCAGTAAATAGAAAACACCTCGTCAGGATTACGTTGCTTCAGAATTAGCATCAGAGAATGCAAGACTGCTGCACCAGAATTGGACTTTGAACTCCGACCACTCAAGAAGTATCAATAGAAGGCCCTGCAAACTCAAAGGGCTTCGGTCCTAAGCCCCGCGCGAACATCCGCCGGAAGAGCGGCTGCTTAAAAAGCAGGGCTAGGAGCCGCCTCTTGCGCTTGCAGTGGCTTCCAGAGAGGTTTTTTCAGTGGGCTTCCTGCAAATGAGGGGTCCCGGGTTCGCAGAAGGAAGTGGTCTGAAGTTGTAGGGTTGAAGGGGCTCGGGCGCCTGTAGTTCTACATCGGTGTTCTGGGCAGCAAAGCTTCGAGTAAGCTTGGCTCCGCACAGAATCGGTTCATCCAACAGCCGCAGTAATGGATGCTGGCAAGGAGTGCAGCATGGACCATTGAATGCAGAAGACGACCGAACAAGACCGCCCAAGCCTTGCCTGTGTGGACAAATCGCCGAAGGCTTGTGCAATGGCGGTATGTGCCTGCATTGGAGAAATCGAGATGCCAGTGCCCGCACAATCTTTCAACTCGACCGACCTTGCACGTTGACGAGGCCCCTCGCCCCTGCCTCCAGCATGACGTCTCCACCATCGCTGACCTCGATGGCAGCACTTCAAGCTTTAGACTGCTGAGCTGAAAGCGAAACAAACTTGGCAGCACGTCATGGTTGCTGCCTTAAGTATTCCTAGCCCCCAAGGAACTCTGGCCAGGCCACTCCAGAACTGGCCTTGACCAGAAGACGTCGCTCCATGGCGGCATTCTCTGCCTGCGAAGTGGGAAGCGCGAAAAAGTTGAGGCCAAAAATGCTTTGCTCTGGCAAGGGAGTTGGCGCAAGCGCCGAAGGTCTGTCTGTCACAAAAGCAAGTGCACATGGTCATGCAGTGCTCCAGGAGCTTCACGATACTTTGATATTGACGTTGGCCAAGGCAAGCGATCCCCTTGACCCCCGTCGCGAAAAACCCGCATCGGCCTGCAGATCCTGCGCCGGAGCTGTCAGGTGCTGTCACCAATGCAACGGCGGGTGGGTCAGGCGGGTCAGGCCAGGCATGGAACAAGGAGGTCCTGCACGCGACGTTCCTTCGCCTCTCCGGCTCTGCGCAGGTACGACACCTGTGCCGCCCAAACCAGTCAGGTGCTCTAGTGCCTCATGTGGCTGCCGTGGACTCTGCCTCATCTAGCAGCTCTTGCTCCTTCTGGCTGACTTCACGCTGGAGCCGCTCAAGGAAGTTAGCCTGTCCAAGCGAGAAGCCAGCGCTCAGCTTGATTTTGGATGCTAAATGCTAGATCAAGTTCATTTAAGCGCTGTTCATCATGCCGAAGGAGCCACGTGTGTGTGTGTGTGTGTGTGTGAGAGACCCAGAAGAGGCATTCCCCTTCATCGCATGTCCGCGCGAGTGCTCGCAGGAAGTTGCAACACTCGACTGATGAGGCCCATCGCTTGGGGCCGAATGATCTCCATGACAACTTTGTGGGGACGTGTGAAAATTATCGCTGAAACGACGAACAACCTGTAAGATGAAACGGTGCGTGAAGTCTGGCAGCCGTCTAACTGCTGGGCGAGGCTGGGAAGAAGCAAGATGAAACCGCCCAAGGCCCCAGACATTGGTTGCACTTGTGAGCGAAAGATGTTCTGCCAGCATGGTTTCACAAATGTCACATGCTCGCGTACTAATAGTGCTGGGCAGAGCTTGGCCTTCCCACAGAGCCCATGACGGCAACACATTCTGCTTCACTAGGGTTGGAATCGAGATCTCAGCCTCTTTTCTAGGGTTTCTGTCACGTGGGTTGAAACCGTAAGCCCTTGCTGGTTTTAAGGTGACTCTGCCCTTGCTACGCCGAATTCAGCAGGACGAACATGAATTCAAATCTGGCTGGACAAGACCATATGGTCAGGAAGCTCAAAACACCGATTTGTCAGTTGCAAAAGCAAAGCCACAAGCCCAACCAGCCCCCCAGGAAGCTTCAAACCACTTCTTCAGCCGAAGCTGATGCCAAGTTCCAGCCGACCCCTGGGCCGCCTCCAAATCATCCAAGCGCCTTTGGGCAGCCGCCATCTGCACTTCGAGCTTTGTCTGTGCCTGGGCGGGTGAAACAGTGAAAGGCAGGAAAGGTGAATTTCGGGACAAGGGGAAAACGGAGCAAAGGCTGCGGCCTCGGTGGCGGATGCAAGGGTGGCATCCTTCTCCTCTTGCAGAAGCACTCGAGCTTCTTTAGCTCAACTCTGCTCAGAAGCTTCTGACCCCACATCACGTGCCGCCTTCTGGGGGAGCTATGTCTCAGGGTGCTGTTATGTGCTCTCCGAACTTGGTCCGCACCCCGGAACCCAAGGGCTTCTCCTCGATGGCTCGCTTCAGCAGCCATGCCTTCTTGGGGCGAGAGCTACCCACATTGAAACTACCATTGACATACTATTGAAATCATTGAAAATGGGCGAAGTACAAACAACTCAACTCGGCCTCGTGGGCAGCCTTCTCCAAGGCCTCATCGGAGACGGCGCTGACGTCGACCAGACGGGCCTCCAGCTTGGGAGAGTTGAGTGCAACAGGGCCACGAACCATTGCCAGCCTGCAGAGCTTCTGCCTGCGCCAGAGCCTGATCGGAATGGCTTTCGAGTGGGGCGCGACTTGCACGCCTCTATATGCTCAACGCCTCGTCGCGGCATCTCCTCAAAGACTGGATCTCCTAGCGGGCGTTACGACCGTTATGCTCTCCGACTTGGTCCTACTGGCTCTGTGTGCCCTGAGTCGATTTCATTGTCCGTCCATGTCTGTCCTCCGCCTCAGCCCCCGATGCCTCGGAAGCGCGCGACCTTTGGGCGGCGTCCACGGCACGGCGGCCGGCGGCAACCGCCTGAGCAGCCTGGGCACCAACTTCTTTTGTGGGCAAAGCTCGGGAAGAGAAGTGAACTGAAGGGATGTGCAGCGCTTGAGTGCCCTGGCCCTGGAGGAGGCAGCTAGCTTTGGCGCCTCCTCGTGCGTGGGGCCTCGATGCAGACCCTGCGCTGCCCCGCGAAGCAAAAAGCGAGTTCTCAGGGGCGGCTGGGTGCCAAACCAGGACTCTCCTCCTGCCCTTCGAACGGTTCAGGGTCTGTCCGGGTTGGCGTGTCCTGGCAGATATTGGCATACGAGGCAGTTGCGAAGTTGCGAAGTTGCGAAGCTGCGAAGCTGCGAAGTTGCGAAGCTGCGAAGCCGAGCACGTGCTGGGGGCCTCTGCCTCCTCTCCGGCCTCTCCCTTCTCAGGCCTCTGGATGCGCGGGAAGAACTTGAAAGCTCGGATGCAGGAGTTCTAGCTGAACTGTGGCTCCGATGCGCTGGCACCGCATTTGCTAGGCAAGCCGGCGTGCGAGACTGCTGCAATTCCAGCAGTTGGGCAATGGTTTCGTCCTGGGCCAGGCTCTCGACCTGTCCAGAAGAAGCTCGAAGTTGCGGTGGCTAATCATGTCAGCTAGCCATGTTGAAGTTCGATATTAAACAGATAGCCCCGTCAAAGCTAGAAGTGCATCTGATTCCTCTGCGCACAACGATGCTCTGCAAGACCTTCACTCTGCCATCACCAACAAAGCTTCTGGCAGCACGGCCGATGGTACGGTCATGGAGCTCGGCCGTTTTGGTGACGGCCTGCACCGACGGCTCTGGTGCAATTTGTGGAATGCTCTCGACTCCTGCACTTACAGCATGATTCGAAAAGGGCATGCTGCATGCTCCTGAACCTGCGTATGCACTTGAAAGACACTACAACTGGCTTCACATCAAGAAGCCGCTTTGCTTTCCGCCTTTCCCCCCCCCCCCCCCGGAGACTGCTTTCATGTTGCATTGTCGTGTCTTTCGCTCCCCTCCCACCTAAGCTTGCGGAACTTGCATGGGGGGGGGCATTTTCCTTTCGTCCTGCCACTGTCGCCCATCTTGCCAGGAACATCCTTTCGGGTCGAAGTCGGTGACCCTTTGGGCTTACGTCGTGCGCGAGTCATAGATGCTGCGCCATTAGTACGCAAGATGCTTCTGGAGTCAGAAACCCCTATAATTATGCCTCAAGAACGTGGGTGTGCTGTCATGCGACCGATTGCGTGACCGTGTGTGTCTCCCAAGGTCACCCCAACGAGCGGCCTGCTCCTGAATCTGCTGCTCCCACTCGTCCAGCTTGGCCACGTCGATCCCACGATCCTGCACGGGATCCTTAAGAAAGGAAAATGAATGCTAAGTGGCAAGGACATCAGGGACATCAGCTGCTCACAACGAGATGGCTTCAAAGGGGGGGGGTCATTCGTAGAGAGCGCCGAACGCTGGCAGTGGGGAATGTCAGCGTCTCACCTCCGGCCTTGGCGAACTGAGTGTTGGCGATGGTAGTCTTTGCATCCTGCGAAGCTGCGGCACCGGAAAACACAGACCCCTGCCTCGATTCTGCGTCTCGCCCACGTCTCGCCCACGTCTCGCCCACGTCTCGCCCACGTCTCGCCGCGCCTTGTTCAGCTGCTCCTTGAACTCTGCAAAACCTTCCTTGAGACCCAGGTTCTCCACAAAGCTGCCAAACATCACCCTGCCAGGACCGCGCGAACGAACGACTGTCGCACGGCTGCTTCCCTCATCCACAGCTCTTGCAGTGTGCTGAGCCTGCAACGGCGATGGCCGACGTGTTGGACAACGACGTGTTGGACACTTCTTGGGAACTTACTCGAACTCTCTGCTGCGATTAAACAGAAAACCTCACAAGGCGACTGCCCTACTGCTTGCTCTCTGAATTAGCCGCGGAAAGCAGCAGCTGGAGGTCAGTACCACCACTATCGGTCACAGTTGGGTGCTGAGTCTGCTGAGTCTGCTGCGCATCCGTCTAAATAAATCCCAAGATCCATCTGCAGTACAGCAGTAGGCTTTTGATGTGGCATGATTTGTCTGGCGGACTGCTGCATAGCGATCCCTGACATGGCTTCGAGGATGCAGGCGCTCCGAGAAGGAAATCTTCCGCCTTTGACACAAGCGTGACGCGCTGCCTAAATCGCGCCAAGTTCTTCCCAGAGGCGCCTTTTTGCATGGCAAGGCAAGCGAACTCAAACCAACCTAAAAGGGGGCCTTCGGAACGCCAAAGCTTCCGCACATTTCTTCTTTACCCTGCTGCCACTTCGTGCAGCGAGTTGCTGCGAATTCTGGCGCCTTGCGGCACGACTCATAGCATCAGAAAGCTTCTGTCATACTCTGGGCCTTGTTTCGATGCTACGCCCACGCAACACCGAAACTGCGATTGGCAGACTTCCTTGGAAGACCATTGAAGGTGTTTTGGTGCTTTGCGGACTCTGGTTGCTGTGGGTCCGCCTTCTGGGCCTCCAAGACTTACGGTGTGTGATTCTCATGTTGCTGATGTTGATCCAGGACCGCGGCCCTGGGCCTTGAGTCACCGATGTCGACCGCGAAGTTGCCCAGTGCCCCCGTGCTGCAAAACACGGGGAATCGGGGGGCGAAGCTCACCCACTGCGGTTGTAGCCGCCGGGCTGCCCGGCCGCCCGCTGTGTAAGACCATATCCGTGAAGGGCGCAAAAAGCTTGATCACATTTGCTGCACATGTACAACGCCCCTGAAACTCGGACGAGGAATCCTTACTCCTGCCGAACATCATCTCCTTCAGGTCTTCTTTGGGGTGATGAAGCACGTGGAGAGGCCAGTGCTTTGCCACCTTCCATACAGTTCATGACCGCAACAAGCATGTCAAAACTTGTAGAACACTTTGCATACACACTCACACACACAAAGTCACACGGATACAAACACACTTTCTGAATCTTTCTGATGGATGGACTCGGCACGCAGGGCAGTGCTGCCCAAGGGTGCCGTCCCCTCCGCCATTTCAGTCGGCGACCCTCCGGCAAAGGTTCAAGGCCCCTGACTGTCCACCCCGCGCAAGCAGCCGTGGACTCGCCAATGCCCTCACCGACTGGGCAGCGCGCAGTGGGTCCTATAGAGCACAGCCGCGAGCACGAGGGCCAGCAGTGCGTCCACACATCCTCCATTCCGCCTTGCACCCTATAGGCCCCAGCCACAAAACTACCGGCAAGGACCCAGGATGAGTGCCCAAATCGATATCGGCTGTGAGGTGTCACCGGGGCAAGACTCTGCCATCCGGCGTTGAAACCGCCGTTCTGAATGTTGCATAATGTGCCTGCCATCCCGATAGGGTTCGTTAAGCTGAGGTGCTCTGCACCTTCGACAGCACAAAAGTAAGGTCCCATGATCTTGAAACAATTGGCATTTCTAAATGCCTCTGGTGCGCTTTTCCTTGCACGCGCTCCCGAACCAAGATTAGCTCCCATCGAGGCCGCAAGAGCTGGGTCTGTACTGCTGATAGGCTGGCCTTTTTACTGTTTTGGCCTGGGCAAGTTGGGCCTCCAACTCTTTTACTCGGTCCTGACCATTGGACACACTCTGGCTTCTAAACACAATACTCAGTTCGGGCACGACATCCTGGCAGCGTTTCATGCGCAAGCTCTGACTCTATCTGCGAAGACGACGTCAAATGAGTCTAACGTTTTCTTGGGTCACTTCACAGCCCCGGCAGACGGCAGGACCAGTTTAGGAAAAAGTGAATCCAAAGAAATTCGTAAACTTCGCCCAGAACGATGATCCCATTTCGTGGTCTTGGCACCGAGGGGACTCCCTTTCTTTTCCTTGGAAACTGCTGCGGCTCAAGTTTTGGAACTCTGCCGACACCAGGAATATGGGACCATGATGAAGCACTCGAGCTCCATTGTTGACAGCTCTTCCAAAACATGATACTTTCGGACTGTCTTGTTTCGCCTGTTCGTGGGAAACACTGTCCTGCTACATGGGTTTCAGTTGATGAAGAACCTAGCTTGGTGAACATCAGGCAAGAGGATCACGTCGACACATGAAGTTAACCAAGTCCGATCTGGTCGAATTAACACGCCAGGGAAACACACTTGCTGACCCCCCGCAAGGGTTAGTTGAGAATGCTGTCTCGCTCGGCTCCTCTGTTCCTGCCCAAGACATCGTTTCAACAGTCGGAAGAGGGACAGACTTTCTTAGCCGCAGCTACGTTTGCATGGGGAAGCGGTGGTGTCTTCGTGGGTCACCGACCACATGTTCCCTCCATATCCCAGCCAGCGAAAGCCTCTGCAAACAGGCCGCCGCGCACACACTAATTGAAAGGTTCAATTAAATATTGATTTTGGTTATCAAAGATCTGGACATGAAGATCAACATGCAAGAAACATTCAAGATTATCAGATGAAGATGCATCAGTTGTATCAGGATCACCAATGTGAAAGTCCAGACTTCAAAACTCTATCTTGAAAGCTGTGTTATTTCTCATATTGTACACACACACACTCTGACATATTTACGCTTGCATGTATACACATGCAGACTTACTTCGCCGTGGTCCCTGTCGCCTGCGCATGCCCAAGCGCGCGATGCGCACGGAGAGCTCCGCGACATACTCCGTGGACGGCTGGAGGTTGTAAACAGTTGCCTTGGAACGGGGAGAATCGCTTCGAACGACGCAGCGCAGCACAGTAACAAGGCCGGTGCACCTCGGACGCTGGCTTCGCATCACCCTCCACCAGCAATGTGGTCTGATGCCGGGGCCCGTCTGGAAGTTGTCTGAACACATCCAGCCGAAACTCCGTTCCAACCTTGCCGAGGCTCGGGGTGAGCTGTTGCCAAGAAAATGTGGCTGACGTGATGCCTTTGGCATGCACCGCGAGGCCAGCTGAGCCGCTCGTCATCAGGACTGGTGGCAGCTTAAAGCTAACTGGGACCGTGTCGGCTGACCATTGAGACCGCCGTGCTCGTGCAAGCAGCTGGGCCGAAAAGATGTAGGTCTTCCCTGGGTGGAGGCCATGCATTTCAGAAAGATACACCATGAGCTTGGACCGGCCACTTTCCAGCGGCTGCGCAGGCAGCTGTGCCCAGTTCGTGGGCCGACCGCTTCCGCTGGTGCTACAGGCACGAAACCGTACACGAACAGCGGTTGCCCAAGGCACCGGCGTGTCCGCGGTAAGCTGCACCTGCAGATGCCCAGTGCAGATGGCCTCTGCAGAAAGGCTTGGCGAGGGCACATGGGCGATGCAGACATCGCTGCTTGGGCCGATTGATCCGATTGATCCTCCCTTCCAGCGGAAGCGGACGAGGTCACAAGGCAAGTCGAAAACTGCGACGTAGTTTGTCTCGCTGAACCGAACACGGACCCATGTGGCTTTCTTCCAGCCAAGTACCTGCCATGGGGGACAAACGCTCCAACAAAAACTGCCATGGCAAGAAACAAGAGACGTCTAGCAGTCTAGCTAAACTCGATTCTTGAACTCCATGGTTTCCTGATGGACCAGGTGGTTCTCTTCTCGGACTTCCAGGACCAGCTCTTCACAGCGCTCGTCTTCACATGGCCAGGACAAAAGCACGGCTCTCTTCCATCGCGGGCTCGTCTCCTCAAGGTCTCCATCCGGGAGGAGCACTTGCCTTACATGAATGGCACATGGTAAGCTAGATGCCGGTCCTGCTTGACCACAGCACGTCCTTCAACATCATTTTGACATGGAGTGACCCTTGTCCTTGACATTATGCGGCCAAGCGGCTGCGGCATGGGAAGCGCCCAATCTACAAGGCAGGACCATTCCTCTGAGATGTCTGGCCACTGGAAGGGTTCGGACCGCGCAACTGGTGCAGAGCATGGGCCCTTGCGGGGGTGTAGCCGCGGCAGCGCGGCCGCGGCGTATAGCAGGATCTGGTACCTTTCGCCTGGCTTGAAGCCATGTGCAGCCACCTCCACGTGATCTCGGTCACTTTGGTCACTGTGGATGTCTTCATTGTGCTGCTTAGAGCAAGCAGTGCAGGTGCACCTTGCTAACAGCACCTCGTCCTTGCTCTCGGAATGGATCTGAAGTAAGGTCACAACGCACTCGACTGGTATTGTGCCCAAATCACAGCACAACCGACTCCAATCCAGGGCCACTTTATGATTTACAGGCCCGGCGACAGTAATGTGACCGTTTGGCGAGCAGACTGCCGGCTGCAGCAGCTGGCATCTTTCACCAAACTCGCTCCAGGGCGACCAGAGGCTGGCATCACCCACGCGAATTGCAGCTGAAACTTCGCAGCCATGCGCGGGTAAGTTCGAGATTGGGATGGAGATCAAATTATCTGTCAACGCCAGCATGACACAAACTTCTTGGGACTCCTGATCGCGGAACTTGACTTGACACCTGCTCGCATGCTTCCAAGCCAGACTCGTAGCTCTCGATGGTGCGAACTCGACCTTCACCATAAGCTGGCTAAGCAGGCGGTCCCATGCCAGAGTTAAAGTTGGCGGCAGCGGCGGCACGAAGCCTGTTGTGATGGGCTCCGACACGTGCGAGAACCAAAGGCTCTGGGGCAGCACAGCTTTGGCAAGGTCGTCCTGAGCGCTGCGGGATTGAAATGAATTTGCTTGTTCCTGCACTCTCAGCTGCAGATGCCTGCGTGATGGACCTGCTTCTGCAGCTTCAAGAATTTCAGGGGAGCCATCGTTTTGCCCGATCAAACACCCCAACCACGGACAAGCCAGGTCCTGCAGTGAGAGGCGCAACTCAACTTGCTGGTCCTTCGCTTCCCTGTCCACTTCCAGATTCCAAAGCGCCTGCAGACATCCAGACATGGAGCACAGCCGAAGTGTGTCGCACCCCCGACCTGTGCAGTGGCGGCAGGCCTGGCTTCGTCCTGACCACATCTCACCATATCTCACGCAAAAGATGGCAAACAGGAAGCAACAGACACAGGCAAGTCTACAATTGCAGTCAGCAAACTCGGACCTGGAATTGAACCGAGGCTGGCCGCCAATCCGCCTCCAAGACCCTGTCCAGCCTGTGCTTTCAATATTTTTCAATGCTGCACAGCATCTGCTAGGAGCTGCATGCGGGATCCCACATCCCCTGAGAGGCGTGACAGGACAGTGTCAAGGTTGTGTCATGAGTACTTCAGCCGCCCAACATCTGCAGAGGAGCATGCGCCACTGCAGCGCCCACAACAGCTCCTGGCAGCTGCTTCTTGTCTCCTGCCACTGATGCTGCCACTGATGCTTTGATGCTGCCTGAGGCCGAATGGCCCGCGGGTCCAGCGCCAGTGGAAGCGTCTGGAGCGAAGCACTCCTTGGATGGGCAGGGCCGGATGTGCCACATTTACCGGACGGGCGCACGGGTGCACCAAGTACATCGCTGACCTGGCCTCCTGGCCGTTAGCTCAGGCGACTCCAACCGACTCAAATTTCGTCAGCCTTGTTTCAAACACTGTTGAGCCCGGATGCTGAGTTGAATCTTTCCTCACGTGGGGTGCCATCAGCGGCGCTAAGCAAGCACTTCTGCAGGGTCCTGGCCGTTGAAGCTTTCGGTGTCACCAGAGGCTATGCAGAATCTGAGGATGTACTCTGATAGACACGGGCCCGAAACAGCCAAAACCCCCAAAACACCCCTGGCTCCTGTACGAAAAAGAGTGTCAAGCCTGGCTCCCTTGTCTTTGGCATGTGCTGCCCTGACAGCGAAGCGGTACCTTAGCTTCACATGCATGACGGACCCCTGCTTCTCGAGAAAGCTACCCCGACAACCGGTGGCTGTTGTTAGTCACGGCGTCGTTGAAGCAGCAGTGATATGGTTTGGCGCCTTGATCTTAATCCATGTTGTTTCAGCTGTTGTCTGCAATTTGAGGTCTCTGGCGCCATAAATTGCAAGGAAGCCCAAAAGCCGTTGCCACGGTCACGATCGACATATTCATGCTTGCAGCCAGTTTAACGATAGTTGCATGAATAGATACGGGTGTGCGAACTGTATACAGGCATATACAGGTAGAAGCCCCCCAAAAGTCCATGGGCTGCATGTTCCCTCAGCCAGGGCACTCCGCCTCAGGCGCCAGGCGCCGCAGGGGCGCTGCGCAGCGCAGGGCCAGGGCCGCGCTTGGGCTCGGCACAAAAACCTTCGAAACAATGATCGCTGTAGGGGCGGACGATGTCAACTACTTTGTGAGGAGTTGTTGTTGCGTTGGGGATGTCAAGGATTAAAAAAGGGCGTTCAAGCCCGCCAAGTTAACGAGATGGATAGGTTACAGATACAGTATGGAGAAAGGAAGCACGACAATACTGAAGTTCGAATCGGATGGCACCGGAAGGCTTGTGGCTGGTTTGTGCCCTCCACATGAGACACCTCTCAATGCACTGGCTGCGGGGTCGGACGCAGGCTTCGGGGCGGGCTTCGATCGTGCTCCGATCACGGGGACGCGTGGTTGCTCACGCCCGATGCATTCGCCGCACCTCGTCATCCACATCCTTCAAGGACGACTCCAAGGATGCTGTCAGCTGGTAGCCTGCGATCAGACCTTGTCACATGGGGCTTCCAATGGGCAAACAAGCTCTTGTTCTGGCAAGCTCTGCCAAGCTCTGCCTGCAAACTCTGCCTGCAAACCCTGAGGCTGAAGCTCTGTGACGTGAAACTATCCCAGGACAGCTGCACACAGCAGTTGAAAACCGCCGCGGCCATATCCCCAAACTTCTGGGCACCCGGATGACCCGGATGTGCACCTGCAGAGAGGCCCAGACGCTGCAGAGCTCCAGAGAAACTAACGCGCCCCACCGTCAGCGCGGGCACGCAGCTCGTCGTTCACCCTCGGCCGCGGCGGCTGCCTCTCCAAAAGGACTTGGACAGCCTCAGAGCCAGGAGCGGAGCAAAATGTGAGCAGATGATTGCTGTCCAGGTCTGTCCACCGTTTACGAAGTTTATTGTCAACCTGGATCCACCATCTCCCTCGCCTCACTCCAGAGGGACCACAGCGAGGTTGGGGCCAGCGAAGAGTTGCTGGCAGTGCGGAGGTGGAGGCGGTAGCGGCCTAGCGCAAATAACCCTCAAAGCCCCCCCCCCCCCCCCCCGGCCGCACCTCTCAAACTCTCTGAGCTACATTCCATTAGCTCTCCTCCTTCCACGAATCCCAAAACTTCGCCGAGACCCTTCTCTTGTGCCTGGAGAGAGGATGGCCGGCCCCAGCATGACTTTCACCTCCTCGTCCCTGGCACACTCTTCTCCTTCTTCTTCTTCTTCTTCTTCTCTCTTCTTCTCCTTCTGCTTCTGCCGAGCACGAGGGCAGGGGGGGGGGGGGGGGGCGGGCCTGCACGCCCCTTTCTTTCTTCGTTTGTCTTTGCTGTGTCTTGCTTTCAAAAATGTTTGTTGTCTTGTGTTTTTGTTGTTGACTTTATTTTTTTCTTTCGTTTATGTGTGTTTGTTTCTTTTTCGTCTTTATTTCTTTGTTTCTTTCTTGCTGTGTGTCCGTCTTTGCTAATATTATATTTCACTTTTTCGCTTATATATCTTGTACACGTTTAGGAGAGAACAATAACATGATTGTTACGGTATCTTACTCGTGTCTTCATTCTACTTTTACTTACTTATTGACTTCATTTTGTATCTTCTTCTTTTATTGGGATTACTTTGCGCTCTCGGCCGTTCATAATGACATGAAAATCATGTCCTTTTCCTTTATAAATCCCTTTGTGCCCTCATTTGGCTTCTATTTGTATCAAGCACCATTTGCATAATTTGGACACCTTATTAAAATCATTCCAGCCGCAGAGACCTCACATAGTTGTGAGGCTTTTCATTCACGTTATTGCTTTTCTTTTCCTGCAGGCACGACATGCAATTCTGTCTTTCTGTCTGTCTGTCTGTCTGTCTTTCTGTCTTTCTGTCTTTCTTCCTTTCGCTCTTTCTTTCTTTCGTTCTTTTGTTTTCTCGCTCGTGTACGACGTCTGGTGAGACTGGTGGCTGTAACGCCCTTTCCACATTGAAAATGGGCCTGGCTTCATCAGCTGGGCGAGCGAGTGAAGCGTTAGCATTATGACCGGAAATTCACTCTTCCCATGTGATCCTTTTGAGGGTCCCGAGCTGTGAAACTACTGGGGTCTCTCTCTCTCTCTCTCTCTCTCTCTCTCTCTCTCTACCTACACACACACGCACACACTTCCAGTACCCGGAGGGGCTGCCCCAAACGGCATGCTCCACGGATCAGACGGTGTGAAAAAGGTGCAACTGCGACCAGGCTCTCAACGACCTAAACGAGCCCCACATAGAACAAAAGGTGTCTTTTGAGAAAGCTTCCATCCTTCTGCACGCTCCCTCTACTGCAACCGGTGGTCACGGTGCCAGCATTTTCGTCTACCGAGCCTTTTGTGAACCTGCCCTCCTCCCCTCAAGGAACCTGGCATGCGCATCCAAGAGAAGATGAGCCTGCGGATGACGGGATGGTCCACTGCACGTGCCGGCAGTGTGATCTGCTCACCAGTCTCTGCCTGCGCAAAGGCACGCAACTTTGCCCTTTAGCCTATTGAAGATCACCAAGTTCAGAACCCCTGCAAGAATCCCCTGCAACTGCAAAGTCGGCTGCCCGCCTTGCAGTAGACCTGAAAATGCGAGACTGCCTCCAGCACAACTCTGTCTACAAATGCCACCCAGGCCCTGCTGCTAGGGCTTCGCAGTTGCAACCACTTCTCGGAAGCAAATCGCCACGTTCTGCCATCTCAGTGGCCTCGCGGCAGCCTGCTCGAAAGCGCAGCTGCAGTGCTGGAGCGCCATGGCGGAAGAAGACGTCGGCCGCAAAGGTCGGAGCCTGGAGCTCCCAAGTCAAGGGGAGATTCGGCTTTGAAGGGGAAACCCGGGCCTCGGCAGGTGCCCACAGCGGAACCATCTCACCCGGCTCATGCTCCGCCCAGCGGAGGTAGCTGCGGCCGGGTCCCAATCTGAAAAATCACCCATGTCCATTCTCAAGCAAAGACTTGTGAAGACTGAATGAAGACTGGTACAGACTGAACGGATAACACATGGCAGCACACGGGGCAGCCGCTTGCTCGTCCTGCCTGCTGGTCGTCACTGCCAACAATCCCTGCTCCTGCTCGGTGCGTAGTAGCTGCCACTCCAGGTGCCGACCTCACTCATTGAGTCCCCCGGGCCCCTAGTGCTGTCGACATCAGCCCACAGAGGCTCCTAATGATTGGGAGTATCGGCTACGCTGGGCCATGCTGGGCTCCACGGCTCCTGAGCGCTGATGCCACCCGCAACTCCGCTTCAACGGCAGGGGGCTTCAACCATGTCCGGACCTCACAGTATGAGCGCACGGTTGGCAAAACTTCAGAGGTTCCGACTTGTAACATCTAACAATCTAACGATCAGGAGGACCGGGGGAATCTTCAAAAGCTCTTGTGTCGTTTGTGTGGCCTGGTTCGTGTCCTCGACCGCCTCGTTGTTCAAGAACTGCGGGGCAAGCAGCTGTCCCAGATGTTGAGAGTCCCTCCGGCTCTGCGGAAGGCAGAAGGAGAGTTGGAGACGGGACCAGCTGCCATCAGCTCCGTCACCCGCAGAGTGGCGGCCCTCCACCCGCACTTCATACTCGAAGAGTGGCCTAGGCTGTGCGAGTGGGGAAGCCCCCATGGCAACGCATTAGCAAGGCGTTCGCAACGCGATTAATTAAGCGACACCTGAGCTTGAGCTTGGCCACTGCAATCCACTTAGAAGGAACACCTGCTCGTCAGTTTCGCCCTCGGCCTGCAGATGACCCCAAACTTGCCATCCTCCATCCTTCCAAGATGGCTCGGCCAGGCTTTTCAGGAGGATGCGGTACTCCAATTCGCGACTGCGACATCCCAAGATCTCGAAAGCCCTCCAGCGAAGTGTGGCTACACATGGGTTGCAGTCGTCAAACTCAATCTGCAGCTCGCTGGCAAGGGGTGCAGGCAAGCCCAGCAACACAGGACCAGCGCTCTGACTCCAGCCACTCCAGGCCGCATCAGCCAGGCCCTCGCCCAAAGTCGAATACCTCAACGACATCTCCACACGGCCAGCCGATAGAGGGGTCCAAGGCCCCCGTAGCGGAGCAGATACATAAGTCCCAGAGCTCCCCGACTGGCTTGATGCTGTTGCTGTGGCTTCCAGCTGGGGTCCCAAAACCCATTCCTCACCATCACCAAGCCGCCACCGGTACTGCCACACGAGGCCTAGGCCCCTGCACAGCACGTGACTCACGTGACTTTGCTCTGGCACTTGCCACTCAAGCACAACACAGCCGTTTGCACGGTTGAAGCACCTGAGCGTTGCGGGCTCTAAGCCGAGGAGAACCGGCATCGTCGCCTGCCCAAGCCATGTGCCCGGCTCCTTCCGAACCGCCAGACCCCACTTCACCCAATCCGGCTGCTTGTACACCAGCCGGAACGCGATGGCAGCGCCCACGCTGCTTGGAACGTACGCTGCCAGAAGCTGCCCGCAAGATCCGTCGCCCGGGGACGTCCTGCTCTCATCTAAGTCCACCCATGGGGCATGCGGCACACCTACGACACCTACCTAGCGCCTATCTGACCTATCTCAAGCTTCTTACTGCCGTGTCAGGGCTGCGAAGCTAACACAAACCTGTCCTCCCTTCTGAAGACCCCACCCAGCAGGGCAAAGGCACCCAACCGTCTGCGCCGTCTTTGGACTCCTTGCCATCTTTGGACTCTTTGTCTTGGGGACGCTCGGAGCGTGTGCCGCGTGCGGAGTTCTTGCTGTCGGCCCGGCTGCGGGCATCCACTGGCTTGGGCGGGTTCTTGCTGTTTGCCCTCGGCTTTGCCTCGCGGCCATTTTCCATATCGACATCAAGAACGTTTCTAGTCAAGGGTCAAAGTCAAGGGATTGTTTTTTTCTCAACGGCCTCCGCTTGGCGCCCCAGTGATGCGGCCTTGCCCTCCGAAGCACCTGGAGCGGAAGCCAGGAACCACACAGAAAAACCCAATTCCCACCTTCTGGCTTCAAACTGGGGCGTTGGCTGCCTTTGCTCGGAGCCCTTGTGACTTCATCCCAGGCGTTGCCTCTTCGTAGGAAAACCGTTTGTTTTTCTAGCTCGGCTAGGTCCGTCCAAAACACAGGAAGAATCGCCTATCGGACGGTGCTCGTGCATCTGCAGAGTGTGTGTCGACATGACATCCTGCAGCTGGCCAGTAGCTTGTCTCAGGCGTTCTCCCACTCCAAGTCTCCCCAGCTCACACCTCCGAAAGGGCTCTCAGTCCTGGCCGGAAGTCCCCAAAACATTCATGACGAGCAGCTGTTCTGTATCCTGGAAACAGAACAGAACAACTCAGCGCCCCCTTAGACATGTGCCCTGAGAAAGTCGAGTCGCATGCGCAGGGGCACTGAGGCCTGGGCTTGCAACTCCAGGGCGGCCTCAGGAAGCTGTGTTGAGCCCCCTCACTAGTTCTCCTAAATTCAAAGGAACGCTTCTCTCCTTGCCCAACCCCTGAACGTTCAGAAGTCGTGGGGATCGAGTTCTGCATCTGCGGCCCAACTATCAATTTGCTGAGCATCAAGAGCGGAGAAGAGCAAGGACCTTGTATAGCGACCCCTCCAAAACCCTGTATTTCGACAAAGTTCCAACGCACATGCAACTTGTAGAGCAGCCTGGTATGCACGTTTTTCAAATGTCTAACAGTGTAACATTGACGAGGTTCAACTCGGCGGGGCGTATATACAAGAAGAGGACGTGCTTGGAGGGTATTGACAATGGTTCGCTTGAAGGCTCGATTTCAGGGGCTAAGCCAGCCCGTCCTTGACTAACCACAGAATAGCTTGCCTGAATGCCAGGATCGCCCGCTTGCAGGTGTGAAGAATTCACTGCTCCAGCCAGCACGGTTTTTATCTCTTGCTGGGCTGGCAAGCTCTTTTTGGGAAGGACCGGATGACGGTCGCGGGGCTTCAGCAACATGATTTCGGCTGATGCTCTGGCCGTCATCAGGCACGGCAACAGGAAGCGTTTCCCTGAGCACGGCACAGGACGCGCGTCGAGAGCTTTCTGTAAGTCAGCTTCCATGACAGCAACCACCTGCCAGTGACAGTGGTGAGCGGCGTGTGCTAGAGAAAGCTGGCAAGAGGGGAAGTGAGAGCGAGGGACTCAGACATGAAGCTCGAAGGCAAACACAAGAAAGAAGCTGAAAAAGAGTCATTGCACTGGGGCCCCCCGACTTGAATGACAGGGTGAGGGCGCAGCTTTGTTCCTGAAGTAGACCTGTGGCAAATGCCCGGCGAGCGCAGCTCCCACAAACGCCGTTGCTTCTTCACGTGCTGTTCACTCAGATCGCAAGTACATCATGCAAAGGTCCCCATGGCCCGCGCCCCGCACATGCCCGTCACAGCCGCCTGGGTTCCGCAACCGCGCGAGGGGTCTGGCTCGAAGTTCCTATAGTGGGGCACGGGCATCACGCAGCGCGAACAGCGCTATCCGATGCTACGCCCCACTCTTCCGCCTGCATCGGCAGTCGGCGCAGAGCTGGGTGCGCTCGAAACTGCCGGAAGCCTCTGCCAGGAAAGCCGAGACTGAGAGACTCAGCGTGCATCTCTTACAATGTGATCCGATGGGATTGTGGTAAGGAAATAACACGGACATGAATGCGCAAGCTTGTGGGGATGTTTAGAGAAAGCCGGCTGGTGCCTCTGTCTGGCATCTGACCTGTGTCTGGCATCAAAGCCTTGGCGTCAAAATGCCCCAAGCGCAGCCCCACTAAATCCCTCTAAACTTGGGGCGGGGCTCTACCATCATTTGCAGGCCTCTACTATGAAAGAGAGGCTTGCAGGTACAGAAACTGTAACGGAACGTACGCGTAGCGGAGCTGTAACGGATGTGTCGCGGAGCTGTAACAGAGCCTTAGCGGAGGCATGCAATGAAGCGCTGCCACCGGCTGTAGCGGTGCTGTAACGGAGGCTGTATCGGAGCTGTAGTGGAAGCAGCACCTGGACGTTGGAGCAAGCTGCATCGGACCTGTAACGGAGCTGTAACGGAACTGCAACGGAGCTTTATCACCAAGGTGTAACGGAAGCTGCAACGGAAAACTGTAGCGGCGGAGCTGTAGCACGGAGAGTAGCGCGAATCCCATGTTAGAGCCCATCCCGAGTTCGGTAGGCACACTGCGAAGCGAGATGAGTAGACCCGAAAGCTTATAAACTATGAACAAAAAAACTCATGAGCCACGGCCGAGTTCCTGATGCGTTGTTTACATGCAAGTGATCTGCACGCGCCGGCGAGACTGCGAAGCATTGTGCGGACACTGATCCTGCAATTCACTTAGCAATGTGTACAAGGAACTCCATCTACACGGCCCAAAGGCCCTGCGTCACATGAAAACATCTCCGCAGATCCGGGTCGCCAGCTCCGCGCTCTGACCGGAGCCGCCTTCCAAAGGGCTTGAAGCTTCGAAGCAAACTCCAGTTCGATGTACTCCACCCTATTTAGTATGGTTATGGGTACCTAATTCTATCATAGTACTACAATGGACCATCTGGGTACTTCGTCCCTGACTCTGGCCTTTGCTCCCCGTCTAGGCGGTGGCGCGGAAGGCGCTCGTGGCAAAGGTGGCAACATGCGTGCTTCGGCTGTGCTCTTAGACTCTACATATATGAGACAGTGCAGAGCTTGGGTCCACGCTTGTCTTGATGCTCTACATTCTACATCTCTCTACATGTAGTTACAAGGTAGTTTCGGAGGGATTCGGGACGACTCGGAGGTTTGGAGCCACTTTTTCACAAGGGACTCGACTGCTGCCCTTTCTGCCTCGCCCGAAGTCACAGATTCATGCTGAGTCTAGCAGGATCCATGTGCGCTGGTCTCAAGCTGACTACTGACCGCAAGGGAGAAACGGCCATTCTGCGCTCCACTGATGCCATTCTAGCCGCTTCTAGCCCTGCTGTCAAGAATCAGGTTTCAGGTTTGGGATGAAGCTGGGTCTGAATCGTTTTTCCCTGCGACCACTCAGCCAGCAGGCGGTTGAAGGAAGCGACTGACCTCCTTGAAACGCAGAGCACAGACTCAGAGTTTTAAAGTCACGCATCGGAGATATCATGCAGACAGCAGTGATGGAAACTGTCCAGCTGTCCTGAGGGAGAGCCACATGCAGCACAGGATACTCCACAATGGCTTTGTCCATCAGGTTCTCCCGCAACGTCCGCGCCAAGTCAAGCCTCACGCCGGTGCATGTGAGTAATTATGAGTATAACTTAGACCGTCCGCCCCACCTCCCCACCTCTTCAATGCCGCTCTAAGCACACGTACGAGTAGTTTCCTTGGCCTCCTCTTCGTTTACTTCCTTGCACTGTCTTTGGCGCCCACCTGGCGTAGGGCTCATAGCGCTCCTCCGGCTCCTCCGCCGCCGACTCGGACTCGCTCTCATCGCTGGGCTCATCGCTGGGCTCATCGCTCTCCTCCGACTCCGCATCCTCCAAGTCGAAGTCATGTCAGGGCACTGTGTGCCAGAGGTCTATGCAGATGTCTGTGCAGATGTCTGCTCTCAAGCTCAGCTTTGGCGCCTCGACGCGCGCCGGTTTTGGAGGCGGAGGTGGAGGCGGCGGTGGGGGAGGTGGAGGTGGGAAGCCTCGGACCGAAGAAGCAGCAAGTAGTTGGGGGTATGTCTCTCCGAAGCTGAATCCCGAGAGCGGCTAAGGCAAGGGCTGCCCTCGTTCGGCCTGGCTGACCGAAGTTTGCCAACCCTGATGCGTCTACGTATTACAAAGTTGAACCCTCTGCCTCTTTGGAGGCGGCTCTCCTTCGCTTGGGGTCTCTTCCGCCTCCTCGACCATCATCTCGTGCCTGGACCTCCAGCCTTCCATCAGAAACGGAGCTTCAACTCAAGCTTCAGTTGAACCTCTGTGCGGTTGACACGGAATTTGCACTGTGACACTGTAACATGCAGCCGCAGGGACTTTGGGTCTCAGTCCTTGCCCGCAGTGGCTGCTGCAGAAATACCTCTGCAGTCGCTTCTACCTTTGTCCGAAAGCTTTGCTGCGTCTTCCTCCCCGTGCCCTGCCTGGAGAGCCTCCAGCCCTTGTTCAGCATACCTCTGCAAGGAAGTGGCTGCAAGGGTAGCCGAACCGACGTAAATGCAAGCGCACGGGAGCAGCAAGTGCCGAGTGGGACCCCGTGTCCACGAGTTGTTGAGGAACCGCTCCTTGAGGCCAAGATGGCGCCAAGATGCAGCTTCTTCCCCACTCAAAAGTCCACTGTAGAGCTTACAAAAGCTAACTTACACTGAGCCACCAGGGCCCGGCCCACCACCTCGTGCTCTGCTGTGCCCCGATCCTTGCCAGAACTTGGCGGAGCGTGGTGGGAGCGTGGTAGGAGCGTGGTAGGAGCGTGGAAAGCAGATCTTTGAGCCGGGAGGCTGTGAGTACCTGGCCACATGCGCCGAAGTGCCAGTCCACGCGCCAAGCGATGTGGGCCGGTTTTGATTCGGACCCCGCCATCTTGGAGCCTCGCCACAACCAAATCACACAGACGGAGCACTTTTCCTTGGAGTTCCAGCCTTTCTTCCCCTTCCCTTTGCCTTTCCCTGCAAGGAAGCAGCTCGCATGGACCCTATCCAGAACCTCTTGCGCATACACACGCGAACACCGGAGCCGGCTCCGGTATTTCGGCGCCTTTGCGCTTGCCCTTGCCGATGGGGTCCACAACGCGTGAGGTGTTGTCCCGAGCCAAGGCCATGGCAAAGGGTGCCAAGATCAACCTGCTGCAATTTGTTCTGGATAAACACAAGCTATTTATGCACAGGTGTGTAGTGTATATGTATGTGTTTATCGTGGCATATCGTGACTCTCCTCTAATGGTCATGTAATGTCACCACAAAATCGGAAATGCCCATCCCCACCCTGCACCTGGTCTGCCTCTCGGGCGCAGCGCACGCCCTTGCCAGGTCAATTCGCATCTTGTGTCGCCTCGGTGGCCAAAAACGCACTTTCAGTGAGCTTCCACCCTTTGTGTGGGAACCAGTGGGCACGCGGCTTTGGCTGATAAAGTCGCAGCTCCTGCGGGCAAAGTCGTTGGGGCAACACAGTTCTGGACACCAGCCTCCGATGTCATCTCTTGTCTGTTCCGATCGCTTCGGTCCTCGTCGCGAATCCTCAAGTCCCTATTGGCCCGGTCGACTGCCGCATCCACCTCCTCCAAGAGTCCGAAGTCTCGGAGAAGGACCTCAGCAGCTTTCTCAAGGTGCCCCAAACCACAGAACGTGGGTCCATGCTCATGGCAGCCCCAGTTCGAGGCGAGGCGCATCATCCGTGAAGGAGTTTAGGGGTGCCACCCGCTTCGTGCGTGGCCGCTTCCCTGTGCAGCCAGACTGCACCTTGTGCTCCTGCGCGCGTTCATCGGGCCATCTGGCCATCTTTTGCTTTTGCTCAAACCATCTCGAATCCCAAACCTTTCACGAGCTACAGTATGGGGAGGCTGTGCGAACCTGAAAGCGGGAATTGGTGCTCGTAGGCACTGCCCATGACCGGCCCAGCGGCCTTGACGCAGTTGGCCGAACAAGTCCGGATCTCGCAGGCTGGGCAGCCTAGGACTGAAGGCTCGCGTGTCGAGCTGATCCTCCTCTACTGATTACTGAATAGTATAAGACTTTCTAAGCCTAGGAGTTCAAGCTTGTGAGGAATGTCTTAGACGAATGGAGCAGGACAGATCACACAACACCACAGCACGCCAACACCACAGCAAGCGCGCTGCAGAAATTTGTCCCACCGCTTGGGATCCGGGCGGTACTTTGCCTGCTCCTTGTTGCAAACCCCGCAAACTGGCGAGGCTGGCCTCAGGGAGTATCAGCTGGGCACCGCAAACTTAATTCGAGCACCGAAAGCCCGAACGTCAGCCCGGCCTACTCATGGGCACCACGCGAGCGCTCACCCGGAAGGTCACGGACCTAGAACGGCACAAGCCCGAAATCGTGGCACAATTCATCCCGAGAGAGAATGAAGAATGAATGGGGAGCTTGGCAGCTGTCTCGCGCACAACGCCCGCTTCAGTCTACACCGACGTCTCTCTCTCGCTCTCTGCCGTGAAGTGGCATCCATAACTTGAAGCAAATTGGGGACTCTGAACCCACATCCAACAACAAACGCATCTCTGCGTTCAGTTTATGCGATATCCGCTCCATGAGGACTCCGTCGAGCATTGTGGAGGTGCACCCCGGCAGGACTTTAACAGTCGAGTCTATGCAAAGTCCTCTACACTACCAAGAAACTTCCTATAGGATCAGGGTAACCTCCGGGCCACCGTGCCTGCGCCGAGTCGGGCAAGTGCAGACGTCCAAGCATCCCAAGCATGGCAGCAAAACATCGATTTAGGATGGATAATTAGCGACATATTTTCGCACCCTTGTTGGACTGCATTGTGTTAGAGGAATAATGCAAAAGACAAATGCTTTGAGATGGTTTCCGCACACGCACTATGCGCTAGCTGAGCAAACAATGTCAGCTCATGTTCTCAACTTTGAACAACATAGCCTACACCTGCAGCCTGCAACCCAGGAAGCTTCTCCCTGTTCTGCACTAGGTCACTGAGGTTTCGTGACAAGAAACATCGCAAGGACCTGAGGCCTTGATCGGGGACAGTGCAGGTCAAATGCTTGTCACATTGTAGCTGCTTGTACAGCCTTGTACGTTTGATGCGCCGAGCGGCATCCAGGACACCACACTGCCGTGCGCTTTCGCTTGGTTTTGTGCCCTCCGTACTGATCAACGAAGCATATTTCTACTTCTGCTTATGTTGCTCATTTTTGTTTGTTTGGGGGGACATCCTAACCAGTCGTCCGGCTCAGCACGGCGTGGCTATCCTGAAGCAGGAAGCCAGCCCCAAGTTTACATCTGCAGCAGTCACGCAAGGCACGTTTTCACCGTGTTCCGCAGTGGGAATGCCAGGAGCTGCGGGTATTGCACGCTTGGCTTTGGGAAAATCACTGGTGCGGACAAGTAGGGTTTCCCAAAATAGGGGCACCATGGGCACCCTGTTTGGGTCGTTCCTATGATTTCGGAATCTAGCATTTTGCACCTTCGAGGGTCCCCTATTCCCCTATTATTTTGGGAAGTGCCCAAATGGCTCCTGTGTCTTTGTGGGCTCCCATTGCTCAGCTCACGCGGACTGCGGCGGTTTACCGTCCTCGCCCACGATGTTGACGTTCTGAACCGCCGGGTACTTGCGCTTGATTCGGTTCTGCACTTCGACACGGACCTGAGCCCCCAGATTCAAAAAAATCTGAAGTGACTGAGGCTGAGAGCTGCGCTCAGATCTCTGGAAGACGAGCCACGGCCATGCTCTTCAAGGGTGGGCCGATCATCTTCAGCACAACTTTTGCATCCTCGCCATCTACAAGCTCGAAGATTTCGATGGATCCGCCACTGACGCTGAGGAATGGTCGGATGCCGTTCAAGACCTGCGCGCTACACCCCTACCCTAGTAGCCCTAGGACATGACTAAGCTGACTAAGCACCCCGAACCCGCTCTCCCCGCCTCCTCGATCCCCGACTCTGTGAGAGGCTCTTGCTCCTGCTCTATAGCCACGACCTCGGAAACCTCGGGGATGCGCTCTTTGAGCGTCTTCCTTGGCGCCAAGAGCAATGGCAGCTGAGATGGTGCTTGGGGGCTCAAAAAGCTCGGACGGAATATTTTGCAGGTGGGGGTCTCTATGCCCATCTTCATAGTTACCGAAGATGCGGAACAGCTACTGCAGGCACCGATCAGTTCCAGCTTCACCACCGAGCCCTCGATCTCGGAGATCTTGCAGTCTCCGCCGTCGCTCTTCAGGTATGGCCGCAGCTCGTCAAGGACCTGTACATCAGGAGGCAGAGGACGACCGCTGTTTGGAGACATCAGGAGATTCATTCATTGAACCAACTACTCACTCCAAAAAGCCCATAAATGAGACGGCCCTGAAGAACCCCAACCTCCTGGACATTGTCCCAGGTCAGAGTGAGCTTGGGCTTCTCCTTCTTCTCCGGCTCGCTGGGTTTCTCAGCCTCTTTCTCCTTTGCCTATCAGAGAAAGAAGGTTGTAGATGCACAAGGAAGGCCACTTTCCACTAGCCAATGGCAACCGGCTCTTCAACAAAAGGGTCTCATGAGGGCTCGAAGAGGAGCTCTCTTCTAAAATACCGGGGGCTCTCAAAAGCGGGGGTGATAATTGGGTGGCTTTCGGATGATTTTGGGGCAGCTTGGGAAGGACTTCGGCCTCTGCCTCGTTGAATGGCCTGGGCTCCAGAGCACTCAGCGACTCTGAGAGAATCTGAGGCATGTTCTAGTCTAATAAGGCGTCATTGGTGACTGCAGAGCAATACCGCAGGACAAGCCCAGCTGGGAAGGGTGGCTCTTTCCTTGCTTGACCCTCTCTCTCCATGTCCACATACTTCTACTTCTGGCGTGCAAGCCCGCGGCGACACCACGGTCGCTGCTCGCGCAATGCGTCGGCGAGACGGGCCACCTGCATTCCGAAAAGCCTCCGAATCGTTCACTTAGAGAATGACACGAGGACTTCTTAGACCCAGCCCTCTCTCTACAAAAAATCCGCTGGCCTCGGCAGCTTGCCACAGTGCCGGCGACCACGGCGCATGGCAGGGTGAGGCCTCTAAGGCCTCATTTGCCCATGCGAAGCAAGTCGGGCTGTGTCATATGCAGTTCGTAAATAAAGGGCCGGGCTAAGGTCGCTGGGCGCAGGCCGGGCCGCCACGCGCGCAGTGGGCGCCGTCGAGCGTGGCACGGTGTTCGGTCCCGTCCGAAGAGGGCAGAGCAGCATGGCCGAACAACAGGTGCAAGGATTCTCGGATTCTGTCCCTTGCGGGGGATGGTTCTGATGCTTTTCTGAATTTCTAGGGTGGGGAGTATGCCAAGTATTGCCAAGTCCTAGAATGGTCGCAGGCAAGCTATTCTGGCTTCGGCGGTGCAAGCACGTCCTGTTCCATGCACCAATTCGCTGGCATTGCTCAATGTCTCGCTCTCCCCCACTCTCACTAGAGGCTCTTCTTGATTTTCGAGTTCTGCTCCTTCCCTGAGGTGTGCAAAGGTTGTCTTTGCCAAAAAAGCATTGACCTAGCAGACTGCCCCTGCCACGAGCATCTCGAGTGCGCACCACCATTGGTGCCACTCACTGGCATCCTGTCCTGGCCTGCAAAGTTTACTGTGAAGCAAAGCCATTGAACCAAAAAAAACAGTGCGGCCCTGCCACCCCTACCGCACAGATAAGGCTGTGTCTTTGAAACCAGGCCACATTATGCCACATTGAAAGCCAGTACAGCAGGAGAGGCTTGGTACCCACAGAGTAGCCCCAACCAGGGTTCTGGAACTGCTGTCGGGCTGTTAAGGTTTGATGCCGCTTCGAACTGCTGAAGCGTAATGAACTGGAATCTTCCCTTGGGTGGTTCAAGTTGTGCTACCTACATTCGCCCTAAGCTTGTGCGAAAGTCCTCAGGACATCGCGCAGGTGAAACGGAGCTTCTCAAACGGTTTCCGGTTCAGTCCTGCAAGCACTTCTTGCTTCCTTAATTTTGATCTAGCTCGGCGCGATTCCTCAAGGTCCGGAAACCGGCGGCCTGTGCACGCTGTTGAGAAACTGCCAGGAGGGCGCTCAAAGCCAGAGGACAGCTCGTGCTGGGAACTCTCATCGGGCCTTTTCAAGGGTCTCTGTGTGTTTCGGTGCCTTTCTCTGTGCGTGCTTTCTAGACGCTCGCCATCCCGCAAGCTGAAAGCCTGGCCTGTGAGCACACCGAGAGACGGCGCTACGATTCGTTGCGTCGCAAGTGCAGAAAAGTCTTCAGGAAAGAATCGGCATGACGAGCTCTTGCCCTTGCCCCCATGATTGGTATGCAAGTTCGACAAAATGGGGAAGCCCAGTTTAGCGGGTTCCTTGCAGTTCGGATCGTGACAGCGTGCTCTTTGAGCAGTCGCGGCCACTTCTACCAGCCATAACCAGCCTCAGAGACATCAGACAATCACACCCCTAAATGCCATGACTGGAACCATGCCAAGCCTTTGCAGCTTTCGGGGGGCTTGAAAATTGAATGCCTTGCTCCACACCCCTTGTTTGGGTTTTTGGTCTAGACAACTGCAGAAATTCCACAGAAGCAAATGCACTGCAACAACCGTTGCTTTCGGACCCTGCTCGGCCCCAGGCCACAATCCCCGGCGACACGCACAGGGCCATGGCTGTGCGAGGCGTCGGCAGTTGTGGGAAGGCCTCGGGCCGCAAAAGCCACCATGCGCCACCATATGTTCTCATGAACCGGTAACCTCGCGCAACCTCTTCTCCCTTCTCCCTCATTTCTCCAACCAATGCGCCAAGACAAACTGCGGTCTCAAAAATGTCAAGACAAGATATGCTGAGTCAGGGCGAAGCCTTTGAATACCTTTTAAGCCGCTGTAAACTGTTGCGAGGCGCATCCGTCGGTCGCCACGCACCTTCTTCTGCATCAAAGACCAGGACCGTGCTGAACTGCCGAGCCAAAGAGGCAGTGGACTCGTCCTCTGACCAGTCCTCCAAAAGCAAAATAAGGCACCGTAGAAGGCTGAAAGTTTGTGGGGTTAGAGTTAGAGTTCTCCCAGCGCCAATGCTCGTCCTCGTCTCCATTCTCCCCGCCGACAACAACAACGCACTGCCTCGTGCAAGTGGGAAAAGTCCTTGGCATTCGCTTCCGGGCGGCAGACACTTGGGCCTCCTAGGGACCCGGGAGCACGATTGGATTCAAAAGCAGTGCATGTGTACATGTTGTGCATCTCTTACCAACATCGGAAATTCGACTGACCTTTTCTTCGAGTATTTAGGGTGTTGTGTTGTTCAGTGAAATCAAAGGCCCGGGCCGACCCGGGGCAGGAAGCCTCATTGCCACTGCCTGCCGGATGCGATGACTTCGCTTGCCAGCTTCGGTGTGGAAACTGTGTTAAACTGTGTCAAGCCACCGCTGTCCAAGCAATCGGCCTGGCATCCCATGCGGCCTTCCGCCATGTCCCCAACCTCAAAGCCCTCGCCATGGCAGGCACCTTCAACTGGGACTGCGTTTGTCTCGCTATGTCTGGGTCAGTCTGCGGCAACACATTGCCGCGGCTGTGCTAAGGTAACGGCTGTGCTCTGGGTTGCGCTTGTGCACATGGTACACCTGCCAACAGATCTGCAAAAAATGAATGCTGACAAAAACACCAAAGGGCCACCACGTGGCACCCACTACTCCCCGAAGCCACCCCGATCAACCCTTCCTGCCCTTGGCCTCGGCTGAGGAGAGCGAAGGGGCACCCCCCATCACCTTGAAAGGAACGTGGCATTGTGGGGGAATTGTGCAAACCTCTGTGAAGAAGACAGCGCCGCATTGGGTGCTGCAGCTCAATCAATCAGAGCTGCTAGAATCCTCTCTGCGTCCAGAGCCACGGCTGCTGCTGTCGTCCTGTCAGGACGAGTTTTGCTGATTTTGCTTCGGTTTGTCACTCGTCGCAGGAACAATGCCAAAGCGAGCTGCCAAAGCGAAAGCAACGAGGCTCCTGGGAACGCCTAGCTGCGTGTCCAGCAGGACCCAATGATCGTGTCTGGCAGCAGGCAATCCCCAACTACATCCACATTTGGAGAAGAAGCATGTTTGCGTCCATGCGATGTGTCAACAAGCCATGGTGTCCCTTGGTTCAGGATCTCCACGCTGGCCAACATCCTGGGTGCTGAGAGCCCGTCTGCTGTTTAAATTCAAATGCGCACAGCTCGCTGCATGAAACTTGTGCTATGTGAGCAGCCGCAAAAAATCTTATGTAAATGCTAATTAAAAAATCGTGGGGTATCGCTTTTGGGGGGGGCCTTATCGCTTTATGGGACTTTGGCTCAATGCTACTACGAAAACCTATCGCTTTACTGCTTATGAGATCCTAAACCTGGAACCCTCCCCTAAATACACCTGAATTCCTAAACCCGTTTCCTTTCTTTAGGACCTATAGACTGCTCCTTTTCTAGGAACTGGAGCCCCCGCTGCTCGAATCAGAAATCCAAATCCTAAACTTCGAGCCCTCAACCTGGGGCCACGGCCTTTGCCCAGCTCTTCGGGTGGCAAAATGGGTATCGTAGGGGTATCGCTTTGAGTATCACTCTGGAATAGGACCCAACCACGAAATCATGACATTTCTGCAGAACGACTATTGGATTCAAGATTGAGGGTATCGCTTTTGGGGGGGGCCTATCGCTTTCCGAGGTTTTAGGCATGAACGTTGATTTTTATCTCCGCCACAAGAAACCTCCTGCAACGTAATAAAAGTGGTCGCTCATGTCACAACGGCATGCCATGCGATTGCCATTACCAGCACCGTTACCAATACCAGCGGCAGTAGCTATATGCCCATCACTGCCACACAGCACCGCACCCGCACCACGCCTGCACCACGCCTCCCCAAAATTGCGCTACATCACGCACATGCACTTGTACATACAGACACAGACTCAAACGGAATCTGAGAGAGAAAAAGATTGACGCGAAAGGGTGGACACAAAAAAAAAAAAAAACAGGTGACACAAAGCTACTTGCTTGCGGAGTTATAACCGGACGTACGCAACTGATTCTTGAGTATGCGTGCGTAACCGAGGCTGGACATGCCAAGCCTGAAAAGTACAGCATTCCGATGCGTTTATGTACAGGTCACCTCAGCCACAATGGTTGTAAGCTCCATGCTCCGCGCGGCCAAACACGTCGTCGCAACCGCCGACGGCCGCGAGCTTTCCGCCGGCGATTGTCACCACCCTCAGGATCTGCAAGCTGTCTGTGCCGCACAAAAGCACTGACATGTAAGTTATGCATGGACTCCCGACTCAATCTGCGAGCTTCGCGTCACTCCGTCATTTCGGGTCACTGTCGGCTTCAAGTAAAGGTGAAATGCGTGCAGTCGTGTGCAATGTTTGCACGAAACTCACGAGCTGATACAATAACGCAACTCAACGTATTATGCATGTGACTCATACATCTGTCTATTCACGATACAGGGTACTCTCTAATCTTGGGCTCCCAAAGTGATGTCGAATTGCCTTCTTGCAATCGTATGCCTGCACAGCACCACGACTGCATGATGCACCGGCCACTCCCTCGTCTACGCGAGAGCTCTGGACCGACTTCTTGGAGACCCTTGGCGAGACCCTCATCTTGCGCAAGGGCCGCCTTAGGTTGCATCCGTCGGACATCCTATGCCTGCGCAGCGTTCTTGAACAGGAACGATGGAGTCCGGATCCTTTGCTACCATTACAATGGGTGCACGACGCACCGGCCACTCCCCTCTCACAGGGTTGGCCAAACTTCTCGCAGCAGCTTCAGCTAGTCTAAAGTACCAGATGTTATTGGCACTTCTGGGCCGCGATCATCTGCTGGACTTGGGGCCCATGAGCAAGCTGACGCCACTGGAACATGCAGATTATGCATTCTTAGGTAATGAGAGAGAGAGGTGGGTCTTGCAAAGCCGGCGTACCCATGAAACATCAAGACAAAGCAGAAGGGAGCAGTCTTCGGTACTACAGGTACCTCCTAGGCCAGGTTTGCAAGATTTTTGCCTCACGAATTGAACGGTGGCAAAAGCTGTTACTCGCTGGCCTGGCTGCGTGATTGAGATCCTGTGCGCTGTGGAACTGCGAATTCACGGTTTGCTCTTCCAGTGTGCCTGCACTACTACTACTGCTACTACTACTACTACTACTACTACTACTACTACTACTACTACTACTACTACTACTACTACTACTACTACTACTACTACTACTACTACTACTACTACTACTACTACTACTACTTCTACTACTACTGCTACTACTGCTACTACACTACTGCTACTACTGCTACTACTGCTACTACTGCTACTACTGCTACTACTCCGACTACTACTACTACTACTACTACTACTACTACTACTACTACTACTACTACTACTACTACTACTACTACTACTACTACTACTACTACTACTACTACTACTACTACTACTACTACTACTACTACTACTACTACTACTACTACTCTACTACTACTCTACGACTACTATACTACTAATACTACTACTACTACTACTACTACTACTACTACTACTACACTTACTACGCTACTACTACTACTACTACTACTACTACTACTACTACTACTACTACTACTACTACTATACTACTACTACTACTACTACTACTACTACTCTACTACTACTACTACTACTACTACTACTACTACTTACTACTACTACTACTACTACTACGATACTACTACTACTATACTACGACTACTAATACTACTACTACTACTACTACTACTACTACTACTACTACTACTACTACTACTACTACTACTACTACTACTACTACTACTACTACAACTACCTACTACTACTACTACTACTACTACTACTACTACTACTACTACTACTACTACTACTACTACTACTACTACTACTACTACTACTACTACTACACTACTACTACTACTACTACTACTACTACTACTACTACTACTACTACTACTACTACTACTACTACTACACTACTACTACTACTACTACTACTACTACTACTACTACTACTACTACTACTACTACTACTACTACTACTACTACTACTACTACTACTACTACTACTACTACCTTCTGCTAAGAGCGTAGTGCGTACTTGACGCCATGCTTTTCCTTACTTCACATGCCCAAAACTCGATTTTTCAGCGCATTTAAGATTTTCTGTGGGGAGCGGGGAATTCTGGGAAGCTCCAGTTAGGCTTTCTTTTATCAGTGTTTGCGTGTCATGATTTGTGTTGCACTTGCCCATACTCGAGTTTTTTTTTGAGCCTACATTATAACCATCCTGTGGGGAGCAGGGAATTCTGGGAAGCTCCAGTTTGGGTTTTTTTCCAGTGTTTTCGTGTCATGATTTGTGTTGCATTTCGGCGGCTCCGTGACTGTTTTCTCGTTGCGTCTCGGCATTTACACTGTTTTGCGGGGCCTTGGATTTTCCTATGAGTGGCCTTGGATTTCCTGTGAGGGCCTTGGATTTCCTATGAGGGCCTTGCTTTTCTATTTTCATCATTTAGATTGGCTTTGGCTTGGCTTGGCTTGGCTTGGCTTGGCTTGGGGGGGGAGTGGCCTGGGGCTGGTGGTTTGGGGGGGGGGGGGGCGTTGAGGAAAGACTTTTTTTGCCACCCGTCTAGCAAAGCTCCACGGGGCAACTGAAGAGGGAATGCTGTGTACAGACTTCAGAGCCCAAGTTGAGGAAATCTTAGAGTTCCACACCAACCCCAGTACCCGAATCATCAACCGGCCTCACCATCAACCGCAGGGTACGAAAACCAACCCACAGACCCATTGGGCACGCCAAGGGTTGGTGCGGCTTGTCGGCTCCGGCGTACGCCTAGCCACCCCGGTACCTGTCTGTTCCTTCAAGCACCACGGTCCTGGCTAGAGGCAACCCGGAAAATGGAAAAAGGTGTTCCCTACATCAATGCCGGGGGGGGGGGCTCATATCCGGCCAACACACCAACAGTCCCCAACCAAACACATACAGCTCCCAACCATGCTGCCAAAAACCCAAGGCGACTGTCCCCCTCCCGGCATCCTACCAGCAGGACGTTAAAGTGGCCTGCCCGTAGACCTATTTGCACATACCGATCTTGTCATCACAGCTAACCCAACACAGTGCCCCCCAGTGTACTAAGTAATTAGCAAACAGAACCAAAGCAAGTCGGCCTGTGTAAGCTCGCGCCCCGACTATGCAGGAGATGCCAGCCCGTTGGTGCACATGCATGGGCTCCTAAATTCGCGGCAGCACGCACTAGGGGGCGAGAGAAGGAAGTATTCACATGTGGGCACGCCTGTGGCCAGTCGCATCGGGTGTCAGGCAAGTGCAGGCTCATCCCCCCAGAGGCATGCAGGCGTTGAAATAGACCGCAAGCAGAAGGACATGCAATATATACAGGGGGTCATGCATTGAGGGGGCGTGCAGTACATGCAGACATGCAGCGCACATGCGGCGCGGCAGGGGGGGGGGTTTTAAATTCAGACATGCACTTGCATCATGCAGACGTGGGGAACATGCAGCCATATTGTATTCGGGCGGGAGGAGTCCACTGCCATCTACTATTTGGGATATGGGCACGCCTGTGGCCGGTGATGACGTTACAGGTTGGGGCAGTTGCGACTCTTCCATAGGTGGGCACAGGCCCTCCTGCACTCACATCATGCAAACCTAGGGACATGCATCTGTACCGTACTCGGGCGGGAAGAGTCCAGTGCCTCCAAAAATCCGGGCAGCGTTGGCTTTATCTGGCTCCGGATCCTCTCGCCCAAGCCGTGACGAAGTCCGGTGCCCACGGTTGGCCCTGTCGGTCTCCTTCAGCGATGTTCCTCGGCTCCCGAAGCAGGAAGAGGCTGGCGATGTAATCGCCTCTCAGCACCATGCGGCTGTAGACCAGGTTGAAGTCGCCTTCACGAACGTCCTCGACGACCAGCCGGCCCCTGGCAATGGAGGCCAGGCGCCCCTCCAGCAGCACACCGCAGGTGGTTCTGATGCGCAGCACAGAGCCGGCTTGTGGAGGAGGCCGCGGCCGCAGGCACACCTCCAGTGTGTAGTGCTGACGCTGGTCGTGCGGGATTCCTTCCTGGTCGCTCAGAAAGTCCAGGCGGGGGACGTCACAAACCAGGCATACTCAGGCCTATGCAGTGACCACTTGTGCAAACGGGACACAGGGGTCCCACACTACAACCCTATGAGGAGGGCAGGTCCTACAAACCCCAAGAAAGGGGGAAACAAACAAACCAAAACACGGAGGCCCTAAACCCTAGGGGAAGGGAAGGGAGTCGTGAAACTATGAGCTCTGAGGAACGAGAGCGCATCGGCTGGGCACTCATGAGCACTATTTTGGCTGCGTCTTGTTGCGCAGGGCAAAGAGAAAACGTTATCGGTACCCCTAACAGGTTAGGCCCCGCGCTGTGGCCATCAACCACCTGAGGAGTCATGAGCATTGCAGGGACTCTCAAAGTCCGTCACAGTGAGCCGCAGTGGATATTCCGGACTGCACGCATCCTGCGCCCCAACCCCAGAAAACGCAATAGCCACCAATCCATGGTTTACTCGCAAAAACAAACGAAGCAAGGTCACAGTTGGACCGTCTTGCTTGCGCTAGAGGTCACTGCACCCGCGTTGCCAAGCTGTGTGGGAAAAAGTTTTACCCTAGTTATTCAATAGGATATTGAGCGGAACATTCCACCGCCACGTCGTAAATGGTTCCGGCTGCATACGCAGCCAAGTGAGCATTGCGTGCACTCGCGCAGGTTGCCGGAATTTAGGACGATGATTGAGCCCCACCGCCTGCTTTGGCAGATTGAAAGGAGTGAGATGACTGACTAAAGTGTGGGTAGCCGGTGTGGCTGGAATGCTTGGTGAAAACTGTCTCGGCATGAGCCGCAAAGCAGAAGCAAAGGCTGATGTGGCCCTCCGATTTTTTGGGTTGAGGAGAGTGACCCCGCCAGAAAAAGCATAAAAATCGCAAAACAGCTCGAAAAGGCTGACCTTGCCTTGAGTGGACCATTCAAGGTGCTGGAAGTAGTCCCACATACAATCGAGCGTTTGCTGGGGCAAGTGCCAGGAGTATCCCCCGCCCGCTCTACTCAACTTTTCCGAGCCGAGCTGATAAGTGGAGAGACCCGACAGGATCTTCCACGGGTAGTATGGAACCTCACGCCGACACTGCTTTACCTCGGCTTCGGAAGGTTTGTGAAGTGGAAGGTCGAGACCCCCCTGTTCTACTAGCCGGAGCTCCTCAACCGCACTTGTCAAGGCGGGTTGACTGGCATGGCTGGCTTCATCAGCGAACCCGGCTTCCTCATCCTCATCACCTTCCTCGGGCACCATGGTTTTAAGCTCCAGCGTGATGGTGTTGCCATTCAGCGTCTTCACAAAGATCTGCATGGCTGCACACCCCGGGAGCCCATCAACGCATTCGAGCTACAAAACTTGAGCCAAAATGGCTTGAGCCAAAATGGCTACAGGGGAAAGACTTTAGGCTTTAGGGTTTAAGGGGTTAAGGCCTCGGCTCTATTGTTCAAGGTTAAGGGTTTAGGGATTAAGCTTAAGGGTTAAGGCTTTTGGGTTTAGGATTTCGGGATTAGGGTTTAGCGAAAGCGGGTTTAGGGCTTGAGATTAAGGATTAAGGCTTTTGGGTTTAGGCTTTCGGGTTTATGGTGCTCAGCCGCGCAACACACACCGCAACAAGTGTTCATGCCAAGCCCTTCGGCTTTAGTGTTCATAACTTATCGAGAAATTCCCCGCTCCCCTGACAGACTCTATCCATGCCTTGCAAATATCGCAAATACCAGTGTTCTGTGCCTGCGACGTGGACGAAAACGCAGCATCAAATATGCACTACGCGCGTACTACTGCTACTAGGCTAGCGCGCCCCTGCACGTGTCAACACCCGAACTGCATGGTATTTACAATGGATTCGTGGTTTCGTGTAAAAAAACGGAAAAGGCCATTTTTTGGACCACTACTTTTGGGAAGGAGAAGGGCAGGATTTGTTCTGGATGGACGTTATCATCGTGCGGACATGGATGCTCTGGGAACACGGATGCTATCATCGTGCGGACATGAATGCTCTGGTGGTAACATTGCGTGGACATGGATGCTCTGGCCATTCGCACGCAACGAAGGCACGAAGTGTCGCAAATACCGATTTTTTGCATGGACGCTATCATCGTGCGGACATGGATGCTCTGGCCACTCGCACGCAGTGGTCACACGAACGTTATCATCGTGCGGACATGGATGCTCTGGGCGGCGGGAACACGGACGTTGTCATCGCGCGACATGAATGCTCTGGCAACATGGACGCTATCATCGTGCAGACATGGATGCTCTGGCCATCCGCACGCAACGAAGCCACGAAGTGTCGTAAATGTAGATGGTTTGGCATTTCATGAAATTTTATGTGCACGCAACACTGCAAATAACCATGCACGTTGTTTTGCAGTGTCCATTCGCAGGCAGCGAAGCCAGGACGTGCCGTAAATACCGCGGCATAACAACCTGAGAAAGTACCAGGCGCCACAGGGAGCGCATGGCTGCTACTGCTACTGCTACTACTACTACTACTACTACTACTACTACTACTACTACTCCTACTACTACTACTACTACTACTACTACTACTACTACTACTACTACTACTACTACTACTACTACTACTACTACTACTACTACTACTACTACTACTACTACTACTACTACTACTACTACTACGACTGCTACTGCTACTGCTATTGCTACTGCTACTGCCACTACCACTACCACTACCACTACCACTACCATTACTACTCCGAATGCAGCATTCCGACAAGCCTCGGCGACGCACAGCAAACTCAATCACACAAAGCCGCAGCCTAAACTGAGATGCATGCATAAAGATTGGCCCATGCAAACTACAAGAGCCCTGGTGGGTACTGTCTCTCGCTTGCGTCGCCACCCTGGACCTTGAGCTTGATCAACGCAACACTAACCCTGACCTGTGGCAATGGTCCCAGGGTAATCGCTGTGATGTAGCAGCTTTCGTCTTCCGTGGGCTCGCAAGGCCGGCCCACAACCAAGCCTGTCAGCTTGTCCAGCATTACTCCAAGCGGAAGCCTCGAAGCCACAAACAACGTGCAGCTTCGCATGTAGGACACCGGCGGCCACAACTCCACCATCTGCCCAACACAAACCTCGAGGCTGTCGGGCTTGTACTCGAAGAAGTCCATCGAAAAGGCTTCGGGAGTGGCAATCTCCTGAAGTTGGGGAAGCATACTCAGCAAGCATTGCCAGGAAGCGGCCCTCAGCGAGAGCTGCTGGTGCAATGCGCTGCTTGGCTGCCCGATGTCTGTGACCAGCCCGGATTGCATTGAGGATGGCAAACGTGTCGAGGACCCCTCTGGGACCTCTTGTGCCTCTCCATCCGGGATCCTCCATGCGCTGCTCATCGACAACGTCAACTGGCAATCCGGAGTTTTGCCAGTTTTGCTCACTTCGCGAAGGCGAGATGCTCCTCGCTTCCTGTGTGCTATGACTGCCTTCGTGCGTGATCTCATGTTGCCAATGCCGTTTCGAGCCACCTGCATCGCCCTCTCCTCGCACGCGGACTCGCCACCTGTAGTTGTACTGCTGCTGTTGCTGAGTGACCAATCATCTTCCACTGCTGGCATCCCGCCAGCCCTGCAAGGTCTAGTGACACCAAGGTTCTTCAAGCCTTCACCGTCCACAGCAGGCATGAACTGTCTCGCGAATCTTGCTCGCATGCCTCCCGTTGCTGCAAACAACTTCGAACCTGATGGTGAAGACGATGCCTATGTTAGGATGGGCGAGCAACGGCCGCAGGAACGTGGTGGACATGTGGCTTGAGCCCAACATGAGCGGCAAGCTCAGGGATCTTCCGCCGAGATCGCAATGCAAGCACATCTCGCAAGCTCCTCTAGCTGGTATTTCACGGATCTGTGCAAAAAAACTGCTGCCTCCGCGAAATTCCAAGCCAACCAAATGCCCACAGCAACCCATGCACCAACTTGTGCAGAAGATCTTCACTGCCCAGCCTGGCCCCGGCACGGGCCACGTTGAGGTTGGGAGCTGCGAACCATTGATTCAGTGAGACATCGTAGGCCTCGCGAACTTGTCAAGTGGGGGGCGGAAGGGCCCCTCTTAGTCTTCCCTTACGCATAGCCTTTCTCTGCATCTGCCTGCTATATTCAACTCTATCTACACATGGCGCACGCTCGGCTACATTGATTGCGGCCACCTTTACTGTTCACCAACAGCGACTTCGAACGTAAGACGATTCCAAGCAGGAACCCTGCTGCTGCCTTTTTTGTGACAAGGCAACGTCTTCTTCCATGCAAACATCGGCGTCTTCACCGTATTTGAGCTTTTTCAACTTCCAGGGCCGACAAAACTTTTTTCAATTTCGACACGCTAGCCAGATAGATTTACACAAGCAAAATGGAAGCACAAGATGGATGCTGGAAGTTGTTGACGGTATATAAGGGCAGTTGGCGTGGATTTAAATCGCGTTCCTACAATAAGGATTGTATCGTCTTGCGCCCCTATCTTGGAAACCCATCTGTAGGCTTTGAGAGCTTCACCAGGCCTCGCAGCTGCGCAGGGTCTCCATCAGCTCCTCTTTTCTCTGAAAAACAACAGTGGATGCGTAGGAAGGGAAGAGATGTATTGAAGATGGTAACACACACACACATATACATATATATAGATATGTATACATATACTGCGTGCGTGTTAAAACGCAGAAAGCATGTATGCATGTATGCATGTACGCATGTACGCATGTATGCATGTATGCATGTATGCACATGTGTATATATGTATGTACATATATATATATATATGTACATGGTTGGCCCCGGCGGGGTTTCCCTTGACTCTCACTCTCGCACAAGGCAGGAAAGGTCTGCCACCCGGCACCCCTGGATCTCCATGGCATTGCCAGTCCCGAGACCACCCGTCCTACCCCTGCGCCCCCACTGTGGTTTGGAACATGTTGTGCCCCGAAGGGCGTGGAACATGTTGTTCCCTGAAACGACAGGAAAATTCTCCCCCCCCCCCCCCCCCCCCCTGTTTTGGTTAGATTTCAATCCCCGCCCCCGCCCCCTGTTGAACCGTTTGGCATTTCCCATCAACAGGTTTGCTGCCCGTTGTAGCAATAGCAGTCGCAGCAGCACTGGTAGCAGTTGCAGTTGCTCATTACTGGTATGTGCAGTTGTAGCAGTAGTAGCCGCAAGGGATATACCGTGTGGGGGGGGGGAGGGGGTGGGGGGGGGGGGGGTTTTGCGCATTGCTGACATAAATCTATATATATACAGAAAACGCCTATATGCAAATATAGATATATGTATATATGCAAATATACATATATATATATATATGTGTGTGTGTGTGTGTGTGTGAAAGCTGTATACACAGACATACCGTCACCCTGAAGACTGGCACGGTCTCCTCACCAATCAGGGAGCCTCCCAGCAGGGCACAGCCCCCGACCTCGGGAAATTGTCTCCTTACCCGGCAAATATCAAGATCCCAGCGGACTTGTATGAGAGCAGCCCAGACACTCCCACCTAAATATACACTTGCACTTACACTTGCCCTTACCTCTAACTCTTGTGAAATTGAATGCCCACACACTTGTAGACGCTCTAGTACGAGTGGAAGCTGATGCAGTAGAGGGAGTGGACGCAAAGGATAACGAAGGGAATGGTCTATGAATATGTTGTAGGGCTTTGTGGGCGTTACTTTTGTCTTGGAAAGTGCCGGGGATTCTCTCGCTGCAGACGTAACGTGTTTCACACATGCTGCACTTGCCACGTCATATGCTGGTCCATACACAGGTGACTGGCGTCCCATCTCCATATCACCGTGGAAAGCTGGCGTCCATGTTAGCAGGACTCCAGCAATCCATGTTCCCACCCCCTGCTCAAGATACATGACATGACTCTTGCTTTTCGCGTCGTTGCCATCGCACTGTTGCAAATTGTGGGTCTCGGCGCACGCAAGCACACATGCACCAGCGCTCCAGCGCAAGATCATCAGCACACCAGCACACCAGCACACCACCAGCACCAGACAAGGAAGGACGGCGTCTGAAGCACACGCATACACACACACACACACATACACACAGAAACAGCAAGCTGACCAGAGAGGTACCGTGTCGGACGGGGCATCGGACATCTACTCTGACTGGCCTGCATCCATACGATTTCTGCCACTCATTGAAAATTCTTAAGGCATCCTATAAGTGCGGTCCAGAGCTGATGTCGATTTCACAAAGCTAAGGCTTCTGCAGCAATGGCGGTGTTGCCGAGCACAGAGCAACCTGGCATGGCGCAAGAAAACACAACTCGTAGCTACAGCAACTCCTGCACAGTTGCACTTGCACGCCTTTAAAGAAAGGGGACGACAACATGACAGCCTTGCCGTGGCCCCACCGTGCTCGCATCAAGGCCTTGTGACATGCTCAATGTTGCAGATTTGCAGTTTGCACCAAGCAGCTCAGCTTGGCCAAGGTCCTGGCTGCACCTGTGTTGCACCACACTTGCTTGATAGGATCAAAGACCTGCAGCCAACATCGGGGTCAAAGAAGATGCTGGGCCCATGCGAGTTGAACTTGTGACAAATGACGGGGCGTGATCGTGGCCGCTGACGCAGAACTACCACAACTCTCCGAACCTCACAGCTGTCCAACACCCCTCGGACGATGCCCTGCTCGTCGTATCCTCGTTTTGTCACTTGCCCAACATTGCCCAACAACAGGGTTGTGATGCAGATGGGATTGGTGCATAGGTCTGCTTTACCCCCGCGCGAAGCCTCCACACACCAGGAAGCAGCCATTGGGCAATGGTGCGGCTGCGCAACCTCGCCCCAAGCGAGACAAGCCACAAGCCAATGCAACCCTAACATCCTAACCACAGGCAGGGGACCAAAAACCCAAACCTGAACTCCAAGCCATCCCGGAACTGGTTCCAAGGCGATGGCCAGCCCGTTTGGCCAGCATTGGTGGGCAGGTGACCCACCTGGTTCTGCTTTCTCCTCCCCTCTCAACAAGTTGGATGGATCTTCTCTCGCCTTCCGTTCCATGAGTCGAACATCTCCACAACATTCAGCGGCTCCTGCGCAACATGCACTTGGCTTGCAAAGCACAAGGGTTGATCAGCTAGTGCTTCCGAGGGCCTACGAGTCTCTGACCTATCACCGGTTCATCCTTTTCGGTCAGAAAGCGGGGCTTGATTTGAAATCGTAATGTCATGTGCTCACCCATGGGAGAAAGCAGAGGGTGTCCTGGTTGCTGTCCCTTCCGCCAATCACGTAAAGCTGGTCCGGGACGGGTCCTGGTTTAGCATGCAGGGCGTTGCAGGAAGAACCTGGAAGAAGGTTAATCCAGATCCCAGCTGCCATTGAAGCTCAGGTAGGGTGCGATTACCTGGCTGTAGACAAACCTGAGATGCCGACGCTGGTTATCCCCAATGCCCAACAATGCCAACCAGCTCCCGCAGTAATTTTCTAGGGCCCGAGCGGTGGCAGGGGCGGTCGCTTGTAAGGTTGCCCTCGGTGGTCCTCTAAGGCCAGGAGGGCGAGCTTGGCCATTGCGCCTGGCTGTTTAGGCCCCCACAAAGCCACATCCCAACATGTATGATGTCACCATGTGCTGATCTGTGCTGCTAGGCAAGGTAAACCAGGTAAACCAGGTAAACCAATGACCAAATGATCTCCGTTTTTCTGCAGTTGCTCCCATCTCCCAGCAGGTGCCTTGCTCCACCCATCGTCCTCCTGGCTGTCGATGTGGCCTTCCGGGACTCTGACTCTGCAGGCACAGCACGAAGTGCGCAAACTTGCTCGAGTGTTGCCAATTACCAATGCTCTTGTGACTCACATGGCTATGCCAGCAGCTAAACCTCCATGTTGTCCGACAACCTGAAATTATTCAGCCCTGCTGACTCGGCCAGCCCCAGTTCGCAGTTGCACCAAGAGCCATTAGACTCGCTGTGATCCTAACTGGAATTTTTTTTTGGGGGGGGGGGGGGGTCCCTTACTGGACTGAAATATTCTCAAGACCAGCGGTATCAACAGCACAGTGACAGTCTCTGCTTGCACGGAGCGCAGGCTGATTCTTAAACCCGGCCTGGTGTTTGACGCTCTTCTCGCAGCTCCCACGCGTGAGGCAAAGTCCCATGTGATCATCGGGTGCCTCAAGCATCGAAGGAGGTGCAGACAGGTACTTTGCACATCATCGTTGGCCAATCAGCCTATTTCCCCCAAGGAGCGGCCCGTGGCCCAAAGAGACAATATCACGATCACCCATCTTGCCTGGTATCCGCGGATCGCAGCTCCATTTGTGGTCTGCAGCCTGAGAGTTAATGGACTCCGGGTACATCGAGAGTATGCTTGCGCATGTATGTAGACAAAAGTCAAACAGGAAACGGAGGTGGCCTCGGACCTCTCGAACTCCGTCGAACTCCGGGGCCCGGGTGAATCTACGCCAGAGCGAGCCGGCTGAGTTGCGGAGGTCAGTCGGCACGAGTATGCCGAGGCAAAACCCAGCAAATGCCAAGTGTTTGTCCCACTCGCGGCAAGCTTCGGCAGCGCTCCAAAGCAGCAAATTGATTTCGACTTTACGCTCGGGTTTTGCCTAAATCACAGTCGGGGCCAGGGCAATTCCTGCCGGCCCCACTGCTTTCCCCTCGGACTCGATCTAGATGAGGCTCTGCATTCACAGAGCCAGCTACATCATCCTAACTTTTATGCATCTTCGACACAAGAATACACAAGACTATCCATTGCTAGGTGCTTTGTCGGCACGGCGGCACGACTGCAATGCGCGACAGGCGTAGCCAGGCACTGCCGCTGTAACTGGTGTGCCGGCATCGCCTACCGCTGCGTGCCAACCTCTGAGCCAATACTGATGAAATGGTGATAATGAGGGCTGAACTCCTAGAAGACTTATGACTTATGAGGTCACGTATGCAGCGCTAGATGCGCCTGTGGAAAGCATTAGCGAAAAGTGGCCCGCACACTGGGGGGCGTAGCGGACGTGTGCTCAGGTACCTGGCCATGGCCATGTGAATGGAGAGGTCACTGCAAAGCCGCCCCATAAGGCCCAAAAAAGGGGCTCTTTGAAACCCCAACTTCACCGGCAACTTAACAGGCCAGAACCTCTGAAGAGGAACTGAATGTCCTCGGCACTGAGCCGCTGCAAGGCCTCCAGGGTGCGAAACAGCCAAAAGCAACATCGCGCGGCGATGGCAATACCTCCAGATTTTGACCATGTGTTTCATGATGTTTCATGGTGTTTCGTGGCTTGGTTGCTCGAAGATCTGAAGCGCATTCCAGCTGGTTGCTCGAAAACGCTCAGAAGCTATTTCTTTCTCTGGCTGTTGGAGGTGCAGACGCCGCTCTTAAAGCACCTCGCAAACGAAACGTCACTGAAACATATGGACAGTCGGCGCAAGCGTCCACTCTAACCTCTGCAACTCACCGTATCCAAGCTCTTCGTGCAATTTGGACCAGAAGTTCTGGTGAAGCCCTGAGTGGATGCTGTTTAAGAGCCTGGGCCTACACTGCGCGTGTGGAGATGCGACTTTCAACCCGGATCCCCAATATCTGGCTGCATGGATGCGGTACTTCAAGGCAGAGAGAGCACTCTGGGCATATGACCCCAGGCTTCTATGAGTTCGGCTTCATGATTCGACTTCCATTTGATGGCTTGGTGCCAGCCGCGTGTGCCCACTAGTGCCCACCTGGTTGGAGTTGCCCACAGTGCAATCAAAGACCGTTTGCTTCTTCTCTTGCAGTTCAATGATCTTCTCCTCAATTGTGTTGGCCTGCAAGCCCATTGCTCCACATGAACGTGGAACTTCATCGAAGGTCGATGCTGGGTTTTTGCGCCGAGCTCCGCGCGGCCACGAAGCGCGTCGCCTTTACTGGCCGTGTCTGGCCGATGCGATGGGCTCCTGACGGCGTATGCTAGCTGCGGCTTCTTGTGGTCTTCTGGGCTTCTTCGAAATGTGCTGGGTGTCCGAGGCACTTGCGTTGTATGGCCTGGGCCTCTGCAGCAGGATTCCACCTAAGCTCAAGTCCCCCACCCAAAGGCGTCCCCTCTCTTATTCTCATCCAGGCCAGAACCATGGATCCATCAGAAAGATGTGATCCGCCGCTTGCAGGTTCAAGCCTTCTCCTGGAAGCTCTAGCTTTCAGCCATGCCAAGGATGGCCTTGTCAACGCCTGCTAGGTCCTAGAAATCTCCAGCCTGGATCCTTACAAAAAGACTGTGCAAAGTGCACGAAAGACTGGCGAGGCTCCTCCAGCCTTCAGGGAGATGAGAAGGACCTTGAGAGTGGGCTCCGTCTGGAAAGACACGATGATGTTGTTCCTGGCGGAATTTTAAAGAACCTATCGAGGCCTTTTTCAGAGGTTCCCAGCTTCAATGCACAGGAAAACTGACGAAGGCTGCACTGCAGGAGCTGTCCGTGAGACGATGGGCATGCTGCCCAGCACTGTGGCAGCGGAGACACCCTCCCGCTTCAACCGCCACTCGATGAGCTCCAGGAAGCGGGTGAACTGCGAGAAGACGAGTGCCTGGCCACAGGTACCGCAAGACTCCCTTTCCACGATCCTAAGGCCCCGACGGCCCTGAAGGCCCCAAAAGGCCCTAAGGCCCCAACCTTGCTGGAGGGATCCTTCTCCTGCATCCTCTGGATCTCCTCGTGAAACAAAAAGCAACTCATGGAAGCCCTTTCAAGGTCCCCCATCTGCTAAGCGCTGCAGCACAGGCTCCTGAACCAAGGCCTCGATCTTGGTGCTGCTCTGGAACTCCGAGGTCTTGATCTTCTGCATGATCCCTTGGCAGCCACAAGCCTACGATCGCCACCCCTGGAGGCCATGAAGCATCACGAAGCTCTGAACCCACGAGGCTGGCGCCTTTGCGGCGACCCTTCTCGAGCTCCACGCCTGGAAGCTCGGGAAACATCCCGAGAAGCCCCAAAAGCCCGAAAGCCCGAAAGGGCATCGGCCTTTGGCGTTTCGCTCCGCATCCAGGTCCTCCGGGATGAGGTCGTCCTGGGCAAATCTGCACTGAAGGGCTTTTCGCGGATGAGCGCAAAAGGCTTTCAGGTTCACAGCGCGCCTCCTCTTGGTTCTCATCCTGGCCGTGGCTCTCTGCAACTCGATTTCACTGCAGGGGGCAGGTGCAAAGGGGCCCGTTAAGGCTCCGTGCAGGGAGCCTTAGCCTCGGCCTCTGCCCAGGTCATCGGGACAAAGCAGGTAGGACCTGGGCCAGCGAGACTTGCCGCGACTTGCATCAGCCTTCGGCTCTTCAAACCTGACTGCACAACGGCGCGCAACAGAAATCCCAGGCACAGCCAACTCCACCACTCGGAAGTTGCGGCGCTTGCTGCAGGTACCTTGGCGACAAGCCGTAGACAAGGCTCTCTCGCGGCTTCAGATTGTGTAGCACGGCTTTGGGTTTGATTGCCATATGCGTGGATGTCCTTGCGACTTGCTGCGCAAGTTATTTGTGTCACTGTTTTCATGGTCAACATGACAATATTCTTCGAGGTATTACAAAGGCCTGAGTGCAAACAGACATGTACAGGACAGGCGCACATAATTACGTCCAGCCATCGGGCACTGCTACCTACAATGCGGCGTTCGCGTATGACTTGGTAAGGCGAGCCAACGATGTCGCAAACTCATTCAATGTGCGAGTGTCCACAGCTTAGCTTTCGAAGAGGCTCAACAAGATCTGAGCTGACAATCTGTAAGCCGTTGTTGTCGTGCAAAACCGGTGTAGATTCGCGAATGTGTGCTACCTACCTAGCGATTAACACACTGGTCACTTGTCTTGGGGGGAACACATTCTATCAATCCACAAGCATTGCCTGCGTTGGGCATTCTGCAGGATCAGAAGTTCCACAAGAGGTTTTACGAGCGAACTACAAAGCACGAGAACCCATGTCATTCCCGACAGATAGCATCGAAGCACGAAACCAACCTGAGCGCACAGCTCTTGCAGACATTCTCTGTGGAAGGCGTGCCCACACGAGGCAGTCGCCTGCTGGCTTCGGTCCTGATGTAGGAGCACGCTGTGAGATCGCGCCGGCATCGAAACTCTAAATTTCGACCAGTCCCTCCGCGGCAACCACGCAAGGTTGTTGCATTCACGGCTCTGTGGCCTAACCATCCTCATCCCGACCCCAAAGCCCCAAGGGCACGCAAGCCTCGATGTCATCCTGGCACAAGGCGCAAACCTCCGAGATGCCTGAGATGCTAGAACTGCTTGGGGTCTTCTTGTTCTCGAGGCAATCTAGGAGTCTAGGGTGAGGACCGTGGCTCTTGCTGGGAATCAAGCCCACGCCGGGGTCCTGCGAAGAAATGCCGGCGAAGGAAACTTCGGTAGAACGTCTTTCTCCTGCACTGTTACACGAGGCCACGAGGCCCTGGCGGCGGCTTTGAGGGAGCCGTGGACAATGAGGTAAGGATGATCCACCTCTGGCACGCGCAGCACGGAACCCACGTGTGAAGCGCGTGCCACGGAGCAGCCGTCACCAAAACTCGGAGCGCAGCCGCTTGCCGCAACCTCATTATCAAATCGAACCTGAGCGTGGCAAACACAATTTCCTTGAAGACTGCTAAACAGAGCTCCTGAGGTGGAGACACATGTGCGTAGTTGTGGAGCACAGTCCCGCCTTCGACGTAGGTGTCGAACTGTGTCCGGCCTTCCGCATGCAAGTAGAATGTACAGAGATCTGAAAACAGGTCCGAGAAAACGCTAAAGCCTGCTGTGTACATGGCAGTATAGAAGTCCTGCTCTTGGTCAGACAAGGAGTCCTTGCCTAGGTCGCATCACCGTGAATCCGCCCCATTCCTGGGCTGAGGCCCTGGCGGATCCGAACCGTTAGCTCTGGCAACCTTTGTTCACAAGCAGGTTCTTCTAAACTCGTGTCCTCTGTATCTCTGGAGACTCCTGCTGGCACCAAGCCTAAGAAAAAACTCGCTCTCAGCATGTGACTGCACGTCAGCTGCACGCTCCACCTTTGTGCGCCGTAGGAGTATACCTTCGCAAGATTCGCAAGGCGCTGTTTTTTTGTGTCGGTCCCTTGCAAGGGCAATCGGCACAACACTTGCCAGCTCCGCAGTCAAGGACTTCCGATCTCAACTTCTCCATGGCCTGAAGCTTGGCAAACGGTGTGAACATTGCCTAGACTCCTCGACTCTGCGACTGGGCCGAGTGCGACCTTGCCAGCTCCACAGAAGCCGTACTTCTTGATGGGGTTGGAGACCTGCAAAGAAGTGCAATTGGACGGCTTAGAAAGACTGAAGCAACGTTGCGCAACTTTCTCGACCTCGGTCGTGAAGTGACTGCGATGCTGCATCTTCGTGTGGCCTGGCTAGACTCGGCTAGACCGGAAACGTCGCCGCTGGACTGGGACTGACGAATTAGCTGGACGTATCTGCATGTGGTCGGCATCGTGGTCAGCTCACTCGCCAGGCTGGCCACATTTCTTGCAGAGTGAGTTTTTGTCGAAGCGATAGTGTATCGAGGCACAGCTGCAACCCTTCTTTGTGCAGAAGTAGTGTGCCTCGGGACAAGTGGGGCAGTGGGCAGACTGCGATTAACTGCGGGAGTTTCAGGAATGCACTCCAGCCGCAGCTGGGAAGCGAGCATAGGGGAAGAACCGAATGAAGCGGATCATGGACCAGAACTCCCCTACTCGATTCTGTAGTGGCCTGAGATCACGGCTCACGGAAGATGTCAGTGTTGCCAAATCAGTAGTGGGGAGCCGGCGTCCCAGAAAGACACCAGCGTGACCCCCTCACCCGCAGGGCAAAGGCCGCCTTGGCAATTCTCAACACCACAAGAAGCCAAGACATACCAAGAGTGTGACTACGACTTTGGGAGACGCACCCAAACCAGTGAGGCCCCTACCTGTGCCGTGCTGTTTGTTCGGGTCTTGATGCGGTGCGCCTGAAGCTGGAGCCCATGGTCATGGGCCTACACGGGTTGGCACTCAGCGCAAATCCCTCGCCATGGCCTCGTCGAGAACAACGCGTCCCCAAACGGTTCGGTACAACGCCGACCTAGTCGTTCGACAGCGGTTCGACAGGGCACGCAGGGCAACACAGGCGCCAATGTGAGATTTGCGGACGGCCTCGAGAGATCGATGTCCGCAGAATCCTGCGCCAGCTTCTGGAGTATCATGGAGTATCTATTGCGAGGGGCAGCCATCGGAAAGCCGGGACATGTTTTGGGCATCCTCATCACTGTCAGTTTGCGGAACGGGATTGGCCTCCGTCCAGGAATGCACACGCCGACGAAACAAAAAACACAGCAGCCAAAGAGCAACACGGGTCGGCCTCGGGCTCGGCCTCGTGGGAACATGCCGATTTGCTCTTCTTGGCTTTGGGAGAGGAAGCGGCGGAAGCCGACCTCATGAGTAATGAGCAGCAAGGCGCCAAAGCTCTCTCAATAGCACATCTAGGCACATCTAAGCACCAAGCCCAAACACCAAGCCATGCTTTGATGCGCCCTTCTCGTGCAAGATCTCCAAGTCGCTGTCGTCGCCTGCAGCTCTTGGCTGCGGCTTGGCTACGGCGCTGGGCTCAACAGTCGAGACTATGCTAAGGAAACGGCTTTGAGAGAGCTCGATGACTTTGGTGGACTGCTTGCCGTTCAGGATGGTGCCCCACCCCACCCGAGGCGGTTCCTTCTCAACATGGCCAATTGATGTGTTTTGTTGGTCTTCATGGTCTTCATGGTATTCATCAAAACTCCATGGCTTGGTGGACAAGCTAAAGGAAGCATGCCAGAGACACCGTCGCAGGCTTGCTGCCTCTTGGGCTGGGCGGCGGCGATGTCTTTGAGCTGGGCGGCGATGTCTTTGAGCTGGACGGCGGCGATGTCTTTGACGCCTGGCCCTTACCCTTGCCGCGGCAGCGCTTCGCAGGTGTGGCAGAGGCCTAGCGGCATGGCTACATCCCTGGCGCCCCACACGCGCAAAGACCCTCGCACACTCGTGAACATGATTGAAGGTCATGCAGCCTTGGCTTCTGCTTTCGAAGAGCTCTCGCCTGCCGCAGATAAAGTACACTGACCTCTTGCTGGCTGCGCTTTCCCTCGCCACCTGCTTCCTGCTGCAAGGCCGCCCGAGCTGCATCTGGAAGCACTTTCATCGGGAAGGGCCTGTACGAACTTCTTCCCAAGAGGACGAGAAGCATTCTTTTTAACTTGTTCACAATTTCTGGGGCCGCAGCGTGACCGAGGGCTTGGCTCGGCGACCTAGGCGGCCTTGGGGCAACTTCGGGTGCTTAAGCTGTAATGTTGACTTGACATTAATAAAGCCCGCTACAATTATAAAATCCCGCTGCCCGGAACACAATAATGTAACCCGCCACAATTATAAAATCCCCGCCCGGAATTATTTTTTTTTCGGGCGATGTTGTGCAACTAACTTAAACTGATAAGTTTCAGGCTACCTAATACTAAAACTAATACTACGTCCTACCAGGATTTAGGCGGATATTATTGAGGAGGCGCTGGCCGAAAAGATTGATCAATGAAGGGAGGGGGGGGGTTTATTAATGCGAAGTCAACATTATTGGCTCACATGGAGCTGCGACATGCTTTTTTGTGGGGAGGAAGAGTTGTGAGGCGGGCACGCAGGGCCGCTGTGCTCACGCTACGGATCGCATTGAGCGGATTCAGGACGATGTTCGTCTCGGTCCCGCCGATCTTCATTTTTTTGACGGCCTCGTCCTTGCAGCCAAAAAAGGATTCGAAAGCATTTTTGCAGAAAGCCTGTTGCCCAGATTTTGCAGTCCTTGAAGTCAGCCTTCCGCTGCGACTTCATCTGCTTCTCCGTTTTCTGGGCATCTGGACCACAGAAATACTTCTGGTGGTATTCGAGCTTCTCTTTCTGAAAGAGTCGCCCACACCACTGGCACTGAACCTTCGTCCGGTTCACCTGCTGGCGGTAGTCGCTCTCCAGCGTCTGGTAGGTGGTCAGAACAACTGTTCGCCGGAGGTAAATCGTGTCGTCCATCAGGTCCTCTAGCGCACTCTTCTTCTCGAGGCCATAATATAGCCTTACCTCCAAGCTGCCTGGCAGGAGTATGAGGCTTGCTCTTACTCTATTCTGCAGCCACCCCCAGCCCCTCATCCCGGGCCTGGCTCAGTGAAGCGGAGGATCTCGTTCCGCCACTGGAGCATGGCCGCGGCAGGGCATACGACCAGCGTGGCGCCTTTGATCTCACCTGGAGCGGCACCAACCCGTCTTGCCTTTGCCTGAGGCCTGTCGCAGGCTCATGAAGGCTCATACAGGCTCTCGGCGCCTGCAAGTATCAGCGAGATGGTCTGGAGTGTCTTTCCCATACCCATCTCCTCGGCTCGCGATGTCGTGTATGCTCCCTGCCACTTGCAGAAGTTGCATCTGCGTACCAGTCGGAGTTGTGTAAGGAAAGGGGTTGGGGGGGGGGGGGGGGCCGATGGGGGAGGCATCGATGATCCAGCCTAGAGTCATCTGCCAGGATCCCGCCGCGAGTGGCTTCGTCGGCCTCTCGCTCCAACATCCAGCCCAAGCCTCAAAGGCCGGCGATTACTGGGAGAGATACACAGCTCCGTTTGAGAAAGGTGGGAGAAAGAACTCAAAACCGAACTTGCCAGCATCCGAACTGCAGAGCTTGCTACGTCCCGGGCCTTCGGCCTGAAAGGCCAGCATCGAGCGCGTGAGCGCTTTCGGGGCCGGGTGCTGCGGCAACTGGCCTTGGTTCTCTGTGGCAACTCCAGGCCAACCACCCCTCTGCTTGTCTTCTCCCTTGGGTGACGAGGGCCGGTTCACTCTTTTGTTGCCTTCTTTTGCTGCAGGAGGTCATTCAGACGGCCAAAATCCCATCATGTCATCTTTCTTGCCTGCCTTCCGTGAATGAAGCTTGCATCGTGCGGGCTTTCTGCATTTATCCGGTGTTCTATATCTTTCTTTTTCTATTTATCTAAGTCTTCCTTTCGTTCGTTCATGGCCACTGCCATGAGCAATCCAAATTGCTGCAGCCGGCCTTGAGCCCACCCGACAGCCTCCCCGGTGCTCAGTCGCAGTTGACCGAGACCCCAGCGTCGCGCCTGCTCGGCCGGCGGGAGCTGTAGCTGGGGCTCCTGGCAGGTGCACCGGCAGGCACACAGACACTCGCCCAGTTCAGTCCATTTTTCAGGCTTTAGGATCTGGAGAACGGTCCAGCTGGAAACCCCAAAACAAAGGCCAGAACAAAACAGATGTGCTGCTCTGTCACATAGCCGAAGTTTGCCAAGAGTAGTAGAAGCAGCAAGCAAACTTTCGTCAGGAACCCAAATGCTGACACCCGAACCCCTGCGAATGCGAACATGAAATAGCTGCCCTGGAAACTGGTGACGCCCTACGTTTTGTCCCCAAAAGCTCGTCCCCAGCACATGCCAGAGACTTGGATCGGAACTGCATCTCGCAAAGGGTAGCCTATTGCAGCAGGCCAGCCGAAAACTAAGCATGCTCTACACATGTACACACTATACTCAAGCGAGACAAGGACAGGAGCTAGAGCAATGGCGGGGGAAGCTGGGCAGGTCACACACTTGCAACAACACATGGTGGGCCCCCCCCCCCCCGCCCTTTCCCATTACCATCCAACGTCCGAGCGAAAAAAGAGCCCTCTCAACACCGGAAGTGTGTAGCTCCTCCTTGGGCTTCAGCAACTCTGCACAAAATTCCTGGCGCCTCGGAGATGACAGCACATTCAGACAATCGCGCTTAGACATGCATGATGCTCCATGCTTCACGATGCTTCAACACAACTAGCCACCAAGCAGCAGGTCCGCCGGCATGTCTGCATAGCCCAAAATTTTCTTCGACATCGCGTCATCCCCCATCTTGGCATAGCCCACAGCAAAGTTGTCGTGCCGAGCGCATGCCAGATGGAACCAATTCACAAGGGCACCATACTCACCTTCAGCCAGACTTGCAATACATGGCAACACACACTTGCCATCACCTGCCCCTCCTGTTTGCCGCATTTTTGCTGCGCCTCGCTGGTCCTTGACTGGGTAACCAATCCTCAACGCGTGCTTCGGGATCTTGTCACCGCAGCGCTTGCAAGCGGCAGCGCCGGTCTTCGACTTCTCCGCCTTCGCACCCGTCTCGTTTAGGGGCGGATCGGGGAAGAGAAGGGTCTCAGGGCGGCCTTGTGCGTGTAGCCATGAAGGAGGTATGGCCGCCGCTTTTCGGGCACCTTACCGATCTGGCCACGAGGTACCCAGTCTTGTCCTGTGCATCGTTGCTTCCGCCGTCCAGACAAGCAACCTAAAGCAACTGGCCTTGCCAACTGACGCTGGAACTGTCTGGTGTTACATTGCGGTGGCCTGCCTGAGGTGTCAAAGGCACAGTGCGCCAGCCGCTCCGGCAGCTGGTTTGCAGAGCCGGCCAAGGTGACCAAGCCTTGCATTGACTCGTCGGGTGGCGCATCGGCCTCAGGAGCAGAGCCCAGCGCATGCCCTCCACATCACTTTCTGTGAACACTCTATAGCCACTCTAGTCACTTTTAACAGTCACTAACTAACGTCACTAAGTCTGCAGCCTTCGCGGCTCCAGCATGGCTCGGATCCTCGCCCCTTGGCGCCGCAGCTGGCGCGGCTTGTGGAGGCTCCGGGGGCAGTGGCTGTGGTGGGTCGCGTGTCTGCGTTGGCGGCCTCGCACCTCAGGCATGCGCCGTTTATCAATTGCCAGGCTTCCCTACATGTCTTACAGTACGTCTGTGAATTTGCACCGTAAGCTATCAGTCCTTCGGGCGCGTGCCTGCAGCGGACGCCCCGCTGTCTTGTTGGCGCGAAGCCTTCCGGCCTCCAGACCAGGTTGTCTCACAAAACGCAGTGCCGACAGCTTCAGATTGCTTCAAAACGCGGCCTTTTCCTCTTCCCTTGCCCTTCTTCGTAACAGGAGTGGGCTCATTGACGGCCTGAGTCTGCTGTTTGTCGAGCCTGAACAACTCTTCTTTGAAGGACACCAACAAGTCTGTGCCTGTTGCTCGGGAGACTGCGCGGGGCTGCCCTGAAGTTCAAGAAGGTTACATGCTACATGCAAAGACTATGACGACCCGACATCTGGGCCTTCGGGACCTTCCGCACCACACCCCTCTCCATGGCGGTCTGTGTTTTCAGCTTCTCGCTGGCCAGAGCTGCTGCCTTCCGCTTGGCTCTGCCATCTCCCTCAGGTTCGATGATGCCAGCCCTGAGGGTCTCCTCTTGACACATCTTGACACGAATTACGACAATCACAGAATCACAGCATGAATGATGGCATGCACTGACATTGGCGTGGTCCTCCTGCAGCTTCCGCTTGAAAGCCTTGACCTTGCTGTTGCTCTCGGACTCCGGGGCTTGGGGCATGATGCTTTGGCCACTGGCCTCGAGAGAGAGAAGCACCCACGACACAAGCCTCCCATGCTCCTCCCCCGCCTGCGGCTCGCTGCCGGACGCCAATGACGGTGATGTCCCCTCCGCGTGCCCAGATTCACCCATGGCCATGGCCACGGCACAGGCACGGCGGCCGAAGTCCCATTCGTTCCTGAGGTCTGAGATCGCCTCTCCCCCTTCTTCCGACCTCTTGAGCCCTCTCTGGGATTAGAGCAAAGAGCTGTGCAAATGCTGCCAACGCTCTCCTTCCAGACTCGGAAATCCGTGGCAATCCTTATGGCCTTATGGGTACCTCTCCACTTCAGAGTTAACAGTTAACACATGAACAAGCCTCGACCATCTTCGAACCAGAGCTGCACTCCAGATCACTCCAGGCTTTTCTTTGCCCGGATCGCCAAACTTCGCCATACTTCTGGTTGATTTCGGGCTAGGGCAAAGTCCGTCAGCGCAATCTTACGAGGGGAGATGGGCCAAGCAGATAAACCCGGCCATCTCCCTAGCTTTACAATGCGTTTCTCGGTCCCGGCCCTCTACATTCAAAGCGTGGCTCAGACTACGCGGCTCAGACTGCAAAGGTGCGACTGGGCCGACTGCCTCGGTTTGAGTTTGCATGGGGAGATTTCCAAGGACAAGCGGCCGCCAGCTCAGGCTTCGGCTCTGAGAGCCTCACTGCAAGACCTGCATTCAGCGGTGGCAGGCACACGCTCTCGCTGCTAGAAGATGAGATTCTCTGATCCCTCTGCAGTGCCTCGAAGGGATTGTCCGCATATTTGTTGTGGTCGTCAGGGCCGTCCTGCTTCCAGCTCTTGCCTCCCTTCCACGCCTTTGTCCCAGCCTCAGATCTTCTTCAACCTGAGAAAGGTACGCCACAGCGCTTTTGACCCTCACACACATATCACAACTTATGCAAGTTATGCAACATGTTTGAGGGCATCACGTCATCCTGGTGCGGCAGCCTTCCTGGAATCAAGCTTCGATTTAACATTTCGGAGGTGCCCCCCATTTCCTCACCTTGAAGGAGACCGACACCTCGAACTCAGAGCCCGCAGAGCCCCCGTCCTCCCTGCCGACCTGACCCCAGCTTTGTCACGTGCATCACGAATGCCACATCGTGTTCTCGGCCAGGAAGATCCGCTTTTAGCATCCGAGCGCTGGGCCAGCCAAGAGAGCCGGTGCGGGTTGGGGCCTGGACCCTGCGGAAGCATGCGCAAGCTGTTTTGGAAGGGTGCAGATCAGCCCTTACACCGCCTGTACCACATGGAAGCCTTGGAAAGATGCCAAAAATCAAAGCACTCTGCTTTCTTGCACACCACGTGTGCCTCTAGGGTGCGGGCGCCCTGGCCGCGCATTGCGACAGTTTGGGAAGAGCGCTTGGTTCGGGTCCCCTTCCTGCAGGCTCTGGCAGTCTCGCATGTCTCCCTGAAAGCGGGGTGTCTTGGCACTTCATGGTCCTTCAGGATCTGGAAGGACTCCTCACCTGCTCGGCGGGACTCACATTTGACATGTTGGTTCGGGGCTTTGGAGATCAAATAAAAACTTTTGGGATCCCGGGTTTACGGTATGGAGGTCTCACAGCTTACAGACCGACCTCCACGCACCATACCTCTTCGCTTGCTCAGATCTCAGCCCAAGTAGCCTTCAGGCCCCAGGCGCAGCCACCCATGCCAGCCATCCGCATCGCACCACATGGCCTGCAGCCTAGGTCGGCACCAAACAGCGTACACTGCGTTTGCACTGTGTGGCGGGGATGCACATCGTGGCTCTTGCCCCCATCGTGAGCTCTTGCCATCGGGATGTGCATTTCAATTTCGCAGTGTTCGATGCTGTCGCGCTCCCACCACAGTAAGTGCCAGCCCATATCCAAGTTCTAAATTGTGATCACTTGCAGTGGCTTTCCACTGTTTGTGGATGCTTGGGGTGATGGTTTGACGACCAGCAGAAATCAGGAGAGAAGGACCTCGTCCAGTTGTCCCAGCTGCCGATCAAGCAATACTTGGGCGTGGGGCCTGCCCATGCGTTTGCATTTTTGCTTCTGCATACCAGATGCATCAGATCTTTCCAGGAACGGCCTTCTCCAGGAACTTCCGCCAACGGGCTGTTTCGACCCTTTCCGTCCTCAGGGGGCTGAAAGGAAGAAAGGGAGACTAGGGGAGACTAAGGCCTAGCAAAGTTCTTCAACACGCGGAGGAGTCTGAAATTGAGCCGGCCGTACGACATGCTCCGGCGCCGGCATTTATGGAGCATGCCGAGAACTTCGTCGAGCACCCGAAGCCCCGCATGGAACCGAAGCCCCGCATGGGACGCAGAGAGCACACGGAGAGCACACGGAGAGCACACGGAGAGCAGAGGGAAGGGGGCCTCCATGGCGCTGAGGAGCTCCGGCTTCAAAACCGCAGGGTCCTCCTGTGCTGTGGTTCGTGTTGGAACGCGTTGCGCATTGCAACCGTGAGATGCCGTGAGTTCCACATAGTTCCACTCTCTCCCACTCTCCCACTCCCCGACCTGAGCCATGGGGCCGCCGAAGCCCCACAGCACAGCGTAGGCGATGCTCCCACCTGAATGGGCTCAGCAAATTGGAATGCGCCCGGCTCACCACGTGCCTCCCCGCACCACCCCGCACCTCCCCACACCTCCCCGCACCTCCCCACAACTCCCTGCACTCCGACATCACTTGTAGTGGCAGCCCCCGCCTCCTCGGCCAAGAACGCCAGCATAAAGATTGGGTTCCGTGAGCTGCCCAGGCTCCACCTGAGAGAACCCTACAGCTGCTGGATGCCTTTTCTGTACGTAGGGTTTGTTCGTGTTTGGTTGTGTTTGTTCTAGATCCCTAGGGTCACCAAGCGCCGCCAGCGAGGGACTTCTCATGTGCTTCGGCCCGAGATTGTCGAACGAAGGAGAGCAGAGCAGTCGTATGACGCGGGTATGCACACTCCTAAAATGAAGGCACTGCCGCTCGCTCTCACATGCTCGCACACACAGAGGTTCGGCCAAGGCACCCCGGAGTGGCTTTCGGTGGCGTTGTGGAGACACTGCGGGTTCAATTGCCGCAAGTGCGGCTGGGCCTCGGCACCAAGCCCTTTTTCAGCTCACGTTTCTCATCACACATCAGCATGGCAAGAATCCGGCAACCTGTGGAGTGTCTCAGGGAGGCACTGCTGTGGTGCCCAAGCGAATAGCAGCCAGGAGCTGCATCACACATGCGAGTCCTGTGGAAGGAGATGTAGCATGGATACAAAGCCAGGCACTTCGTAGCAGCTTTTCAGGGTCATCCTGCACACTGCACCTGGTGACCGCAGCTGGCCTGGCACCCACGTGCGCAGCACTGCTGATGCACAGCTGATGCACAGCTGATTCCAAGCCATGTCGACGTCCTTGTTCAAGGTTTGTCAGGGTCCCACCTCGCCTTGAGCGAGGTGAGTTGCAGTGGACCGGCTTGGGTGCCCTGACCTCAGCGAGTCATGGCGTGTGTGCGGTACAGGGAGCTCTCTCACTGGCCTCTATGGGTCACTCGGAGGGTCGTCATCTCGAGCATCTCAGCCGCGGGGCCCAGGCCTCGGAGCACAGCCTGCAGCGTCTCAGCCCTGTGTGAGCCCCATGTGAGCCCATCTGAGCCCCCGAGCCATCAACCTCTGCAATGTCAACGAAATCGGCCTCGAGACCAGACATGGCCTGGACGACGTCAAATGGATGGTCCTCTCTAAGCTATGGTCCTATGTTTTCGGGGTGCCCCATAGAATCGTGGCCATACTCGTACAAGGAAGCAGACCTCATATCGCACGACGGCTTGGCCAGCTTGGCACATACAGAGTGATGACATCCTAGGCCAGCAAGCCATTTGCCAGGGCCTCGAAGACGGTGCGTCGAATTGCGTCAGCTCTGGCCGGCGCCTTTGCGAGAGAGATCTCACTTGTGCCGGACAACGCACACCCAAAACCGTTTGCAGCTACTACAGCATTGGAACGAAGTAGCTGCGCTGGCGCTTGCATCAAAGAAACCCCATCGCACGGTGCGTGGTATGATGTGCCGTGATTGTCATTGTCAGACACAACTCTTAAGGAGCAAACCGCAAGGTCCGCGCTTGAGCCCTTCGAACTCACGGCACTGCCGACGATGCAGCCCGCAGGCGGGCCTCGGCCACACCGTTACCTGGGACCTTCAAATACCTTAAGGCTTGCACCGCGGATGCACTGCTGATGCATCAAATCAGCTCAAGCTCCCAACTGGCTGTCTCGGTCGGATCCTCAGCAGCCACATGGCAAGAAGCACGTGCCCGAACACGCAGACATTCAAGGGCCAAGGCAGGAAGCTTAAACCGGGAAAGCATCAGCGCACAACAGCCCTCGCCGCGCACCTCGGCATCAAGTTGCCAGTGCATACCTCCGACCAGCCAAGCGCATTCTGCTGAGGGCTGCGCGAATCCGTCACTCGAAGCGTCGAATGCGAAACAGCGTCCAGAACGCGAGAGTGGAGTGGATACACCGTATCGAGACCTAACTGAGCGGCAGGCACATCCCATATGGCATCATCGGCAAAACACCAATGCAAAGCGGCAGAACTGCTATCCGAGATGCCACATCCGTGGTGAAAGGCACAAATGCACCCCCAGCGCCAGAGCAGAGTCGCAAGCCTGCCAAGGCTCAAGGCACCTTAAAGCTGCGCACATGGACCGAAACGCTTCTTCCAGCCCCTGGCCTGCAAGGCTTCAGCTGCAAGCGAGGCTGCTGCCAAGCCGCTGGCACTCTCCAAGCACACCTCTGCAGTGGCAAGCACTCGGTCCGCCTTTCTTCTCTGCGTTCTGACAGCTTTTGTGGCTGAGCCTTTGGCGAGTGATGAGGGCCCCCTGAGCCCTAGCATCATCGACATTCGGCTCGCCAGCGCCTCCTGCAGAGGGTTCGGAACTCACGCAGCACATGTCCATCAAGACCACGGTCCAGCGTCCTGAGCACTGATCGGCTTGGCTTTGGGCCCATGCTCCCAATCAGCCCCGGATGGGCACGCGACATAAAGTCCGGAACTTCGCTGATTGCGTATCGGGTTCCCACCGTTCACGCCAGCACCTGGCAGTACCAGTCTGACCGGTTACGCTTTCATGACATGAGCCTTTCTTTCGTTTGCCCTCGCACCGGTTTCCATAGGTCAGGGCGGTCTCAGTCGGCATCATATTCGCCATTCGTGTGCCGCTTGCTCTCTTCTTCTTGTTACAGGAACAAGGTCTTCTTTACGCTGGATACTCTTGCATGCCTGCTCGCCTCACCCTCCTGCGGTTTTGAAGGTTGCAAGAGGGCCCACTTAAGACAGGTACTATGTCAGGCGAACTAGCTTCACCTGCGGAATGACTCACAAATGGCAGCCCAAGCTCGGGCACAGTCTCACATGGGCATGGGTACAAAAAAGATGGGGTTGATCTCCTTGCCACGCTTGGAATGGAGAAGATCAAGGGATTCTCACTGTTGGGTCTTGGGGGCTTGGCCTACCTGTCCACCACCCTATTTCGCAACCCGAACCCAATGCCGCTTGGAGACTTTCAAGCGCAATCCCCTCAACTGTCCGCCCTGCCCCACACGCCTGAACCGAACTTCAAGACTTCAAGACACTTGCCGGGCCGCTGCTTCCCCCTTCTCTCTCGGGCAGAAGGACAAAAAGTCTTGGACCCCTTGTTTCCAGTTTCTGCGTAGAGTCACGCGCCTCTTACAACAAGGAAAATCCACTGGTCAGATTCCGCAAGCAAACCGAGGAACAATGGAAGACGCAACCTGCGCCACTTCTTCTCTCTAGACTTTATGGACTTCCTGCCAGTTAGCACGCGGCCCTGGTGCCCTCGGGGTGTGTGAGCGGCACAGCGCCAAGCAATGATGGTTTCTGCTGCACCAAGCAGAAGCAGAACTCGGATGATAGCTACGCGTGGGACAAATCAAAACTTGTGCAGCCTGGGCACTGTGCAGAATGGAGAAAGCAGCTTCGAGGCCCAAGCGTTGGTATGGATCGAGGTGCTGAGTTTCCTGCCCAGCGAACCCCATTTTTCAGCATCAGCAAGGTGCGTGTGAAAGCTGCTCAGCAAGCCCCAGATTTCCTCTGGCAACATGCTGAAGGTGCTGCTCGCAAACAGGTCCAAGCCGTCGATGAAAGCAGCATGTCGGCAACAAGATGTTCCTCTTTTCTGGCTGTTTGGGTCCGGATCGTACACCTGGGGATACGGAGACAGACGGGGCATACTAGCAGAAGTGCAGCCACATCGAAAAGAGACATGCAACATGCACAAAAAAATTGCATGTCAAAGCCCTGGCGGCCTCCGAGTGGTCCCAGCGTTGGAAGGGAACCTCCGTAGCAAAGTCCGCTGCGGCCACACCGGCCGTGCGACACCACGCATCCAACGTATCTGCCGAGGCTACCGAATCGCCCTTCCTTTTTATAGCGAAGAAACGCTCAATTGGTGGAAGGGGTGCCTGCCCGAGGGAAGCGGCCAGCAGCACAGTTCACAGCCACCATGAGGCCGTTGTCATAGCTACGGCGGAGGTCCTGCCAGGCAGCACAGCGTCTCAAGGGCCCCCACGCGCACGAGCAACGCGCGACTACACACGGAAGGGTCCTTCCGCCAAGAAAAAGGAATGTCAAGGCCGACGCAGTCCTCCTGCAAGCAACTGCACTTATATATGATCAGCGCTTGGAAACAGCAGCGATCAAACTGTTGCGCCAGGTCTCAAGTCTAACCCAACATAACACACAGGCAGTTCAGCCTACCTCGCTCAGCTTCTGCAGCCGGCAGCGCGTCCATTCATCCAGAGCACAAGCTGCTGGGCTGTGCCCTTGACCAGGCCAGACTCTCCGAGCACTCGGCCTCCTTTCATCGTTCCCACATTATCATATTCACACTTCGGACCAATCCCCTGGACCCTCCACTGTGCTGCGCCTGCCCAAAGCAAAACATGTCATCACCAGGGAACCCGCGGGGGCATGCAGCTGCCGCGCGAGGAGCTCTGGGCGGAGGACCAAAGCGTGGCCTGCCTCAAGCTGCACCTGCCAGGTCAGCAAGCGGTGTGCGCACACGATCTGACGCAAAAAGCGGCCACAACTAATCGCCCCTCCGTGGCCTGCATGGGGTGCTTGGGGCTGCCTCCCTGGAACGTCCACAAGTCCAAAACGCCGCTTTGCGGACCCAAGTAGAATATGCTCAAAAGACGGTGTCGACGGAAAACATCGAGCCATCGCGATGCATCGATTTCTGAAAGGCTCGCTTCTTCCCCTTCAAGTTCACACCGTCTGTGAAGGATGACCGGCGTTTGTGCGCAGAATTCGAAAACACTGGCCATGTGCTGGGCCACGCATGCACTGAGATCGAGAAGGTCCCGAGCCAGGTCCCAAAGGGGAAACTGGGTGGCAGCCTGCCATCTCCACATCAGCACACACGTAAGCGACATGAAGCCTCCCTAACACACATGGCTCATGCACAACCACGCCTGAGAAGCACCGGTAGGAAATTCGACGCCGACACCAAAGTCTGGGCCAAGCAGTCCCTGTGCGACGATCTCGCTGGGCAGTTCGAACTCTTCTGTGGAGGCCGTTTCCTCAATCAGTGCATGCCGGTCATGATGAGTGTTTACAACCGGTTGCTTAAGACCAGGACCCTCCAAAACATGAAACGGCTCAGTGTTCAATCAATGTCTCAATTGTCCAAAACGCTGATTAGAATAAGCCCCATGCAATTGCACACGAAGTTGCGTGAGCTTGCGCCAGTCTGCTTGCCGGAACCCGCGCTGGCAAAACACCTTTTGCCCGGAAGCTTCACACACGAGAACGCCATTCACAACTGTCCTCTCAAGTGCACAACGCGATGCAACGGTCAGTCTGGCACAATATCCGCTGAACTGGAGCCACCTCGCCTCGGCACTGATTTGTTTTCTTTCAGATCTTGCAACATGTGTCTGCACCCCCTCACCGGCGGCGCCATTCAATCGAGGACCTCGCTGCATCGTCTGCAGATGTTGCCTGCGATCCCTCCTTTGCACATTTGTTCTTGGTCACTTCTAGTACTTCGCCACTAACGCCCCCCGTGCCTGTCTTTGCATGGTCCGGCATGGACCTTGCCTTCATCATGCCGTGAGCTGGCTCAGCCATGGCATGCCGATGTAACTTTTCAGCTGCGATATCAACGACTGTGAAGTACTTAACGCCACTAACGGGTTTCAATTCAACACAATGCGTGTTTGAACACAAACGTCTACGTTTTGAGCCAGGGCATGGGAGCAAGCGGGGCGTGCAGCTCGCGAGCGAGGTCTCTAGAAAATCTCGGGTCGAAGTTCCTAACAACCCTGAAGTTTCGCAACATAACTTTGGAATTTGTTTGAAGATTTCCGACGTCAGCGAAAATTTCCGTGGCGTGGGGTGGCCCCAAAAGTCTAGGACCTTTAAGATGCTTGGTAAAAGCCGGCCGGAATGCACAAAAACCGCCGGGCCGAAGGTGCCTGGGTAGCATAAAGCAGGTGGGCCATGTAACTGCAACTACTTGGGATTGTAACAGAAACCAGCCGGGCAACGAAACCGAAACCAGGCTCGGGCTTGCTGTAGGGGCAGGTGTAAGTGGCTGAAACCAAGCCACGGCAACTGTGCAGACGACTGGGCTCGCTCAAGCCTGACCCGTAAATAACTAGAGCGCAACGTCTTATGTTCGGATGACCAAAGAGATGTGGCAAGCTTACGGGTTTTGGGTCAATGGTTGAAGGTGGATCCCAAACTATGCCCATGCCACGAGAGCACCGATTACGCCTGCATGGTGCACCAGCCACCCAGAGCTTCATTTTTGGCTGGCAGCTAGCTCTTGAAAATTGCCACCGCGCCGCGTTGCCGCCCGACTGGCCGAACCTCCCTTTTGGGTTTGAAGGGGCGCGCCAAAGCGCTTTGGCCAGCACCTGACCAACATTGCGACGAACCCAACCCTAACCCCGAATGCCTGCTGGGTCACACCAGCACCTACCGTTCTCCCTACACTGCAAGTCTTGGTCCGGTTTAAAGTCGGTGGAAACAAGTGCTGCTAGCCTTGCTAGCCAGCCCTGGCGTCCGGCTGGAGCTGCGAAGCGGAGCGGAAGGAGCATATGTTTGTGGGGTCCTTGAATTGTTGGCGGTATCCTCCTGTCCTCTCCTCGTCCGCTTTGTGAAAGAAACACTCGTGTTGTATGTCATATTCTTCTCATCCTTGCTTAACAAGACGGAGAACGTTCAATAGCTGTCCTCGCTGTCTCTGCCCGTTGTTGTGTTTTGCGAGAGACAAGCACAGGGGAGGACCGTTGCAACAAACTTGAGGGTGCCTGGAATATGCAGCTATCTCACCCTGTCCGTTGTTGAATTGAATATCGCACAAAACCGGAAATTCTACGTACATGTAGGTAGTACTATGGATTCTTCTGACTCGTATCCGGGCTATCCTTCATAGGATGGCAAAAACCAAAAATCTCCCCCCTCCCCGGCCTTGTGGCTCTGGCAGGCCGGCGGACTCTCGGGAACTGGGCTCCTGGAGAATCCCAAGGCACGTCATTCAGTGGACCAGAAGCTCAAAGTCTTCTTGGTTTAGGGTTTAGGGTTTAGGGCTTCATATCATAGTAAACTCCAGTACTTTAGTATATTCTAACGTGCGATAGCACACTGGCGTGTTGCGCGTTCTACTTTGGAAATTTTTGCTCTGCAGAGCATTTACATTCCTGAAGCCAAGAATCTTTATTGCTAGTTCTGAATTAGAGTCCTGCACCCTATGTTGGGGCCATTCCATTACACTCTGACCAAGGTCCTTCAGGATAATAACCCCGGCGGCACTTCGCAACGAGCGTTGACGATGTAGCGAAAAGCAATTTGGGCGGGGGTGGGGGCGGGGGGGCGGGCATCTTTGCCTGCTGAGCCACATGCTTGCCGCTGCTCTGCCCAGCTGGGCCTGTCGGAGGATACCAGGATCATACTTGCGGGGGTCTGAGAATAATTCGAAGGAGACTTCTGCTCCCGGAACGGTGCAAGAGGCTCCCAAAAGCACCAATTAAGAACTAGAAATGCGTATGGACGCATAGAGACTTATGCTCTCAGAAAAGGCAAACCCACCACCACCCCGAAAAAGAAACGAGACCAACCAACCACCAATTATGAAATAGAATCGAATATGAAATCCAGGGTCCAGGAACCAATGCAAAACAAAACAAAACACAACGCAAAATTCGCATTCGGACGGCAGGAACGAAAGCTAGTGCAGTTGCTCGCGAAGCCACTCAGACTAACAGCAGTGACCGAGCAGGCAAGTGTGAGACCTGCCATCTACGACCGAGTGCACGGCCGGTCTACTCCTCGCCCATCACCCGCATCCCACCCCAGAGCAAGAAAGCCTAGACTATCCCCAAAGACTTTTTGGAATGATCCCCAGAGAATCCCCTGAGCATTACATGGCTTCGAGTTTGGAAATGCATTTAGCTCACCCGTGCATGGCTTCGACGTTGCGCTTGCAAATGTAGAAACGTCCCCACTCCCCCGCTGTAGGCCCCTAATTACGGCACTAAAGCTTCAAGTTCGGCAGGAGAACTTCAGGCCTTAAGGCCCTAAAGGCTTGTGGCTTTAAGGGTCGTGGCTTCTGCCCAGCTAGACAGCTTCAAGCCTTCTGCCTTCAAAGGCTTCACCCTACCGCCTCCATCCAGATGAGGCCCATGCTCAGGCTGTCCGGAGTGTCCTGGCACGCAATTGCCCAATTCAGCCCAAAGCAACTTTAAAATTATGATCTTTCGCGATCTAAGTGCGGCACGCAAAAGAAAGTGCACTCGGACTCGGCAAAGTCCTTAAGCGACAGATCGATCACGACGAAGACTTGAAGGCCAAGAAGCTGAGCCCAACGCGAGGGAAGGCGGACACGATATGTTGCTGTGCTCCCCCTGCCAGACATGCGTATTCTAAAGGTGTGTCTGGAGCCACTACCAGTAGGTGCCTGGGCACCCTCAAAGTGGATGAAGCTGTTGGCCGTTTCCATCCTGGATTGCAGGTCCCCCGGGTTTGCGGGCATCATGTTATGGCCATCAACACCTGCCACAAAGGGCCGCGCTTCACGCGACGAACAGGAAGGAGGCTTAAAGCACGATTCGTCCTGAACAGGAAAAGCAATGAAAAAGTTTGAACACTACAACAACACAAGTAACAAGCTCATGAACCCTATCTCTGTTTCGACTGAAATGTCCCGCCTCCACACGACGGCCTTTTCCGGTGACCGAGTGCTGCGAGCCAAACTGCATGAAGCAAGTAGCCATCGTTTCGTGTCTTGTCGGCCGGCATTCTGCGGGGGGGGGATGGCAAGTGTTCCGGGACCAAGATCTTTTGCAAGAGTAGGCCTGCAATTTTGAATTGTCAGTACCGGATGGCACGCGCCATTAAGCCGCCTCTTTCTCTTTGATTTCTCTCGGGTCGAGTGTCTGACACCCAGAGAAATTCCTTGTATGTAATATTGCACTGGCGTTAGTTCATCCAGGGTCTATAATCACTGCGAATCGAGCTTGTTGGGGTGAAGAAGAAGAAGAAGAAGAATAAAAAGAAAAAGAAGAAGAAGAAGAGGAAGTGGGCGATGACCTCCAGCTTACGAAACGCCCCTACCTGCAGTAGACCCCCCATGTATAACGAAACTCCCTCATCGCTCTCTTGTCCTTCCCGACCCTTGAAACGTAACTCCCACCCTGGCGCGCGCAATAGGGATGGTCCCTCCCAAAGGCTCGCCCGGTAGGCAATGCCTCTCCTTGACGGTCGTCGGGAGAAAGCTGAGGTGACCACAGCAGATCGGTGAGTCCATGTATCAGTGAGGTCGGAGCACCAGTTTTTTCAAAAGGTGGTGTGGGTCCATTGTGCAATGTTTGCAAGTGTGTGACTGTGGAATCTGGTGTGTGGTCCGAGGTGTACAAGGGCAACACCAATTCAAGAAAGGGTATGACCCCCATGGAGCCTTGTCCCCCAGCCCCTACACGTCACGCATCTCCCCAACCGGAAACCTCCCTGAACCCGCCCCCCCCCCCCCCCCCCCCCCGCCCGCGTCGGCCATCCCCACAGGATCAACTTCAGGTGCCTCAGCTTCCTCGTGTATTCCCTCTTTTTTTTTTTCCTCGCACACTTTTTGCGCCTGCGGGTGCGGGTCTCAGTCGGGGGGCTGGGCAGGGCGGCCTACTGTGGGCGAGCCGGCAGGCGGCTGGCCTGGGTGGGGAGGTCCCAGCGGCCGTCAGCCAAGAGCTCATGCAGCGGCGGCGCTGCCTGCTCCCCGTGCAGCTCGGCCCAGGCGGCCCGCTGACGGGCGAGCAGGCGCAGCAACGTCGCAGCCTCTGCGCCAAAGCGGCCGCCATGAGCTCAGGGTAGGTGTCGCGTCGCTTGCGTCTGGCGGCATTGTCAACGGCCCAGCCGGGCTGCGTGTCGGCGCGCGGGCGCGGGTCGCCGGAGCGGGTGACCGGCGAGACTATGGTGGCGTCGAGGGCGAGTTGGGCCCATGCCACAGTGGGAGGCCGTTGGCGACGACCTCGATGCGCCGCCCGCCCGTGACGGGACCTGGACATTCATGTCAGCGACCCGGACATTGCGGGCGACACGGGCTCCGGCCTCACGGCACACCCTCGCGACGGCCCATTCGAGCGGCAGCGCACGCGTCGCGAGCACCCCAGAAGCAGCGCACGCGCTGCAGTGGTCTCCCAGAACGTCCAGGCGCGTCCTGCTCGACGACGCCGTCGTGGGTGGGCGCGACCGTGAGGGCTCGTGCGGAGTGAGGCCCGGACTGCGAGAGCAGCAGAGCGCGAGACGCAGGTGTCAGGTGAGCAAGATGCGACTCGCACGCGCGCTCATCACAGGTCCGGGCGGCACAACGCTGCCATCTGCTGCAGCTGCAGCGCACGGCAGGGGGACGTCACCCTGCAGGGCATGCAGCAGGCGGCCGGCGACCGTGGGGGCCCGCGCGTGGATGACTGGCAAGGTGTCGCACCAGGAGGCCCAGTGCGCCGCGTGTCGGTCGGCCTCAGCGCTCCGCAAGCCGAGGCCGCCAAACCGCAGCGCCAGCTGCGCCGCACGAAGGCTCTGCGGAGGC